AGGGCATCCCCATGTACCCATTGTACCCAGTCATATAAATCAGATTAACCATCAAATCATGCTTTGCTGACTACCTGAACTGAAATAACCACGAAAGTGCATCCGGCTGTGCTTGCATTTTTTAGCACTTAGGCTACTTCTCGGCTCATCCATCATCCCATTTAGTAGTCGCCATAGGTCCCATTTCTGCATTTCTCCCATTGATCAATGGATATCCATGGCTAACTCCAGTTGCAACCCGCAACTAGCGCACTCTTCGGCACGTTTCAACGCTTCTTCGGCCTGGGAAGATGTCTGTCTTTTGGGGGGGGACAGGAATCATCAAATCCACGTGTTTGACGCTGAGGTCCCAATGTTGGTTGGTGAAATGCCGATTTTGCTGTTGAAACCCCCAGTTTGATGACTTCATGCCTGTTTTTGCTGGTGAAAAGTTAAAAGTCAAATATTCACCAGGGGCGTGAAATGGTGGTGACCGTCAGGAGGAATAGGGAGGTACAAGTAAGGACACTTCAGAGAGATATGGGTCTAAGTCTCTAAGAGACACGGGGCCATGGTCATCGCAGCGGGAGGATACTATCCTTCGTTAAGGGTGCCCGGTTTTGTTAACGCCGCACACATACATCGTCTTATAGCCTATGTACATCATTGTACATCTATGTGCAATTTGTTCATTTCGAGTTGAGGATTTCGTTGATCATTTTGGCCCCATAGCCCTGGTTCAGAATGAAGATAATGTCGAACCAGCAAATGCCGCTGTTCAGGTATCCGTGCGGATCGCCGCAGATTTCCATACGATCATCCCAGCAGGCCCCTGAAAGCGGCACCAGTCGTTTGGTTGCAAGCCAAAAACCAAAGTAATTTAAATTCAGCATAAATTGCCACACAGATTTCACGTTGGGCTCTGCGATGTGCTTGCTGTGGAAGACAGGCTTTCCTCCTTGGTAGCTAGCTCCCCAGAAATCTGGATTCATCTTGTCACTCACTTCCATGACCACCACCATGATCTCTTTGGCTCGTAGCATGCTCAATGCACCCTGCACCACTGTGAAATCATGTCCCTCTGTGTCAATCTTCAGCAGATCAATCTTTGCCAGGTTATGCAAGCGAGCATAGGTGGCCACATCCCAGGCCATCACTTGCATACTTTCTGCATAGGGCCGATCCGCTTTCGCCGGATGTTTCTTATGACCGGACTCAGCTAGGTGTCCCGTCAGAGAGGCGACATTGGCCTTCCCTGCCAGTTGGAGACGTGAGGTCACGTTTGAGAATGCTGCATTTTCCAAAGCGACGCAAAAGCGATCCGGAAACAACTCCTTGTTCAAGCATTGCATGGTTTTCATGAACACATCTGGTTGTGGTTCAAAGGCGAAAAATCGATTCTTGGCGCAGCCGAAGTGCTTGGCGAACTTGATGGCCAGTGTTGAATCAGAGTCTGAGCCACTGGCGTAGCAGCCTGCACCGATGTCAAACATCACTAGGCCATCAGTGGGCCACAGGGAGATGTAGGTCTCCAGAAAAACATCCAGGCCATCCCTCCGCCGAACCGCAAGATTGTAGAACTCTTTAGTCAAATGATCCAAGAAATACTGTGGTAAACAAGACTGGAAGTATCGCTTCTCGGAATCAACAGGGTTGACCGATCGTACGGTGACAGTATCAGAAACGTTTTCAAGTTGACTCACTCGGCTCACTGGGTTCGTTCGATTTATCGTCCTTCCTGTCCATCCTGGGCTCTTAGCTGAGAGTTGTTGACATAAAAAGGGCCTTTGGAACACGATGACGACGATGTTCAAGGCGATGATGTTCAAAGCCAAAAGAACTGCACAGCGTTTGCAGCCGGCTGGCCATTGGAAACTCAACCTACCACTGCATGGCACTGCATGGCACTGCATGGCGTGGCAATATGGGTGAAGTGGATATACTGTACCAATATACCGGGCCGTTTTGAATCTGTCCAAGCAATGAGGTGGGCTATGGTCCAATACCAGGCTGTGTTTGAGGCCAGGCTTCTATCCTGATGTAAAGTCATGAAGGTTGTGCTTTAAACTAGCGGGATTCGCTGCAAACTTTGTTCATGCTATCCTCAGTGTTGCGACTGTCAAGTCCCTCTGTTGTTCATCCTAAACACCTAGATCATCAATCTAAAAAAAAGAACAACAACGTAAATCCCATTTTTGAATTTTGTGTTGGTATCCCCAACAGACTCAATCATACTTCCGGTATATTTCCGGGACATGTCGCGACGTTACCCAGTCATTTCCTGCACTCAGACCCTGGCGAATTCGCTGGTGGCATGTGACATCTGCCTGAGGACCTCGGTATCACCAGTCACGATGGACCAAATTTGGGTTTCCAAAAAAGACGGCGGATGGTTGCGAAATCCTGCACCAGTTGATAGGTGGTGACTTCCCTCTATTTGTAGGGTTTCAACCATCATTTCGGTGGTGCAGGATTTCTTCCATCCACCGTAATGTACTCCTAAACCCAATGGCTCATCATCATTTCTTCGAAATGCTGAAAAAATGCGGAGGTATACTACTGGTATACACCAGGTCCAGACACGCCCTAATTGAAGACCTGGGTGGAGATGTCAAGATGAAAAGCTGCATCTCCAACAACTAAAAATGGGAGATCCAAATTGGTGTTGGGATGTGAACCTGGGGTTATTGGCTAATATTGGCTATAGCCCAAACAACCCAAAAAAAATGCACTTGCCCAAGCAAAAGTTGGATAATTCAACCTGAGATGGAACAAATGAACAGTTCATCCAGCTAAACTAGTTTTTCATGCCTGGTTGCGTGATGAGACCTATATTGGTTTGGTTTCAATCCAACTCAACCAAAAAAAGATCCAAGAACTCAGTGAAACGCAATTGGCATGGCTTTAAAATGACCCTGTCCTTCCCAAAACAAGTCCTGGTTTCGGCGCATCAGACCCCCGCACCATCCCAGTTCCATCTGGGACTTTGACCCAGCGGCCGGAGCCTCATGGAGTGGCTCTGACCAAACAGGGGTGGAAGTGAAGCCCATGAAGGTCGAGAAAAGGAACAAAATTGAGGATTGGTTAGTGCCAATTGAAGATTGGATTTTATTTCACCAAAAGATTGGATGATGATTGGATAGTGGATTTTATTGCCCCAGCCGGGCCTATCTACCATCAGCCCGTCATTCTTTTGCTGTGTCCAAGACAGTATGGGGCTAAATTCAAGGCCCTGGGGAAGATAAATGGACTGATCGACGATCTGAAACCCATCGATCGCTGGTTACAATCCCATGTTTGCCGGTTACAATCCCTGCGTTAAAAACTGGTTTTACCAACACATCCTATATCTCATTCTATTCCCACTATTATTTGAAAGAATTTGTTGCTAAATGTCCACCTGGTGTTTTCCTAACCACTAAAAAAAAAACAGTAGCTCCTCAGTGACATTTCCTCCATTTCCTCTCTGGGTGCTCCTAACTCCTCAGCCAACTTCACCAGCTCCTTGAACTGCTGATGCACGCCATCCACGCTATGCAGCGCCACGATGCTCAGCCGAATGCTTTTCCCCATGGCCTTGCCGATCCTGCCAGTGGCTGGCGCAAGGCGAGTACGTGAGCGGCGAACGTTAAGGGCCAAATGGCTGGGGAGATGTCATCCACAAAATGAGTGTATCTGTATGTGTATATATATATATATACATATATATATATATGTGTGTGTGTGCGCGTATGTATGTGTCAAAAGAATATGCGTTTATTTTTAAAATTATTTGTTGATTTAGTTGTTTATTTGTCTATTTCTAAATACATACATATGTATATTTGCATATATGTACATATGTATACATGCAAATATCAATGCATGTATGTACATGTATGTATTTTATATATATATATGCTTATTGAATTCTTATTTATGTATCTGTATACATATATATATATATATGCACGTGTATTTATATAATATATATATATATATATATGTATTTATATACGTATGTATATGTGTATTGAAATAGGTGTACATATCATATATATATATAATATTATATATATATATATACATATACAGTAGTGATTTTCATACATGCCATCTGTTTGGTTGAAACCCACATGATCCTCATTAAGATGGCCATCGACTCGAGCTCAAAACCCCCATGTTTCCACTCCTGTTCCGGCTCAGAGCGAAGATCACGGGCACCTCAGAATGGGAGACCCGGGTATTCAACATTTTCCTATGGAAAATGGCAACCATTCCTGTGATGTTAGGGAAGCAATGCCAAGCAATGCCATAAACCACCTGTATAGATTGGTGGTTGGAATCCCACCCAAAAAAAAATGGCGGCAGGAAAATCCACCACCGATAGTTCAAGGATTTTCCTGGCGAACTAAACCTCCATTGAGTTCGGGGATTTCCCAGCCACGGCCATGATGCCCCATTTTGGGGTGGCTAACCCTAGCTCTATTTGTATGTGTATATAAATATATATATATATAATTATATATATATATAATCATATATATATATAATCATATATATAATATAATATAATTATATATGTTACATATACAGTATATATATACCCATATCAACCCCTGGTAATCAATACATTCCAAATTTGACCTTATAGCAACCTCAAAAAGACTACCACCCCGCCCAGCGCCCCAGCGCCTCATTCTCCCGCGCCAACTCAATGAGCTCCTCTACGGTATCATCCAGGCCCCCCTCAAGCGTCGACACTTCGAGGTTCGGCGCCACCACCAGGCCCTGGCGAGGCGTGTTTTACCACGTGGCATGGAAAGATCTGAAAGTCATGGGCAATTTGGCGAAGTCCATATGAATTATGGTGTAATTGTAATATATTAATATATTACAATTATATAATACTATACTAATGATCATATATTATCAGTGTCTGTTACTAGTACTAGGTTGGCTTTTGGCTTTGGTGTGAGGGGTGAGATGATGTCTCTGAACGAGTTTTCTGCTGAATTGATGTTGCAAAACATGGCCCAACAGGGAACAAAAAACATCCACCGGGGGCTCTTGGAGCACGTCCCGCTCCGGAGTCCTTGCACTTCTTGCGATTGATGGCGCGTTTCGCCTCCCGAAGGCCTACGCAGAATCCTCAAATCTGGCAGGAGGTTGTCTTCAAAACACGCTGGTTCTTCTACGCAAAAGCGGGTGAAGCATGGAAAGTCAGTTCCCAAAAAACAAAAATATCGAATTTTTGGTGTATACCACATTTCTGGGCAAATTCAGATAAACAATCACGAAATGCCACCTTCGAGGCTCTTAGATGGGTGAGAAACCCCTACAGCTTCCGATCTGTTTCTCGACCCATTCTCACATTGTGGTTCCTTCTGGTTTCAAACCAATCCATCCTACAGCCACAGACAATCCTATTAGAAAGGGAAAAAAAACATTAGAATCATTAGAAAACGAAAACCTGGGTTTGTCCGAAATGAGGTATCCCAAAAATGGTCATCATTTTCCCTACTAAAATTACCAGAAATTGGGTGTCATGTACCCCCGTTCTTGGACAAAGCCGTAGCCCACCCAGCATCATCACAACCCAGGCGCGTTTCAGCTTGGCGTATTTCATGGCGTTCTGCTCCTTGGCTCGTTCCTGAAAGCGTACCAGCTCGCCCAGCACCTGGATTCGCGAGTGAAAACCCGCGCTGGTTTTGTGGTTTTTACACTCTTCATTGAAGGTGGAAGAAGGCCAGAAAGTATGATAGATGATTATATTATGAGAATATATGACAATTATGATGAGCTGGGTCAAAACTCATGCATTATCCCAAAATGATGCACCATTGAAAAAAAAAACTACATGTCTGCAGCATTTCGCGCGCAGAGATGCATCCACGACACGAATTTCACCTTCTCATCCAACTCATCGCTGAGTTCTTGATGCACCTTGGTGAGGCCCCCGGTCACGAAATCGCGAGATGTTGACGTATAACTTGATTAACTTGATTAACTTGGGCTTATGGTGGATATAACATGATATAACATGATATAACATGATAATATAACTGTAATTAATGGACTTATAAACGAAGAATCACCAAATCGGTGGTGAATCCCGAATCATCCTTAAGTCACCATGGGTGGTTGAAACAACGATGGTGACGACTGGGGATCCCGTTTTAAGAAACCCGAAAATATGTTTGGTATGATTGTGAAAACATGTGAAAACGCTCCATTGTTGGTGCCTCTAGCCCTGTTTGATTGGACAATAGCCAATCAATTGCTAATTACTAACTGTTGCTCTAAATAATGGAAATATACGTAAAAAATCCTGCCCAAAAATCATTGCGACAGAAAGAACTTCACCAATCTACAGAAAGCATCACATATCTCCATCAAGTTCCATGAAGATGTCCCCAATATGTGGTGAACCGCCATCAAGCTGCCATTTGGCCTTGATGTTTTACCAACTATTGATGTTGTTTTATGTTCATAGTGGGGCTGGTTTCCTATGCCCTCCGGAAACTAACATAGCTATTGAATATTGCCATTTATCGTTGATTTACCGATTAAAAATGGTGGATCTTTCCATAATCCATAGTTGACCAGAGGCTATCCCAGCTAGAGTAGCCCCAAAAAACGGCGATCCCAGGCGCGTAGTGTCGCACTTCCAGGTCCGCCGTGGCCGCTTTGGGTCTCGCTCCGCTTAATGTCGGCAGCGCCGTCAGCCGCTGCAGGGTCTCGCTGATGGACATGGCCAGCAAGGCGTCCCGGGCCTGCTAAATTGATATGGTCATGTGAGCTATGGTCAATACTCATGGTTAATAACCATTAATAGGGGCTAGTCATCCAATGGTTCATAGGGATTTATAATAACCATTATAAGGATCCTTATTATGGATGGGATGACCATCAACCATATAGTGAGTATTGACCATGGCTCATGTCTTTTTGAGCAATGAGATGGGTTGAAGTTGGATGTTTGGGTGAGTGTTCAGCAAGGGTCTAAAGCATCAAAATCGGGGGTATGAAGCAAGATTGGATCCCCAGAATGATTGGATGTGCAGGTCATTGATGGAGGAATGGTCAAGAATCCAAGAAAAATTAAAGGCTGAGGTTCAGCAAAAGTTTATACTGCGAACCCAGTTGTAAGCCCACTCATAATTTGAACGAACTGGTCAAGGATTCGTAAATGGGATCAATAATCAAAGTGAGATGTAAACCTTCAGAAAAGTGATATAAACCGACTAGCATGGGGTATTTACTGGGTAAACGAACCATTGAAGGGACTCTACCTGTTTGAACACCGGCTTACTCTCTGAAGACTAAGCAGGGCACCGAATGGGGTTTGGAAGCTGGGATTCCTTTCGGAAACTGCACATACAGGCGGTACACGTTTGTTTGAGGGGTGTTGAAAATTGGCTTTTGTCTGAAGACAATGAGTATAGACTTTAGATCCCACACATTATGCTATTGAAGTTGAAAATAATGAAATGGTTAGTTTATTTTCGGATATTTGTTTGCGTTATCAGAATGTTTACAATTCTATTTGTTGTCCTGGTATCCACATGATTACGAGAATTTATGATAGAACATCATAAAATATTTGCACAAAATAATCCTCTCGCATATTCCTCTCTCAAACAACCTTGGATGCTTGGATATGCATGGTTACTGATGATCAAATATAGAACAAATACTGGTTGGTGGTTTCAACCTCTCTGAAAAATATGAGTTCGTCAGTTGGGATGATTATTCCCAATATATATATATATACATATATATATATTATATATATTATATATAATATAGATATATACATATATATATACGTATATGTGGAAAAATAATCCAAATGTTCCAAACCACCAACCAGATGGGGACAGACAGACCATCACTACCAATGCTGGGGATGATCAAGAGTCGTCCCCAAAGACGCAAAGACGACGTGACACCGTGGGTATAACGGTCTAGAACCAAGTACTGATAGTACTGTAGCAATGGACTCACAAAGTTGGTCGTTTGTCGGCGCAATCCTCAATTGTTCTAGCAAAAGCAAAATAAACACGACATTCGTAGGTAAAAGAAAAATCTCAATGCTGCACCCCACCCTGCACTCAGTGCCTTCTCTTCCCTCTCCTTCTCGTCCACTGGCTCATCCGGTTCTTCAGCTTCTTCCGGCTCATCTGGCCTTGGGATTTCCACTCGGCTACACTCCCCAGTCCTTCGAAAGTCACCGGGCTAGGACACTCTCAATGTTAAAAACATATCAAAAGCTAACCTGTTTGACTCCAAACAAAATTGGCATCGCAAACCTACCTATTGCCAAAGAAAGGTCCCTAAATACTCAGCCACCCACAGATTTCTAGGTCAGATTCAGTCAGGTGTCTCTTCTCCCAGATCATTCTCCTTCTCCTCCTCCTCTTCCACCTTCTGCCGTTCCGAGGCCTCCTCTGGGTGGTTTCAACCCGTCCAAAAAAACATCAGTCGATTAGGATCCTCCTCCCACGTGGCTATCTCTGAAAATGAGGTAAATCTCTCAAATGGCTACAGTATCTTAATGATCTTAATGGTGAAAATGATGATCAATTCATCAACCGGGTTTTTTTTTCGGGCTATCCTGTTTTCAGACAAACCCAAATAATCCAAATATATGATGGAAAATAAGAAGTACCCTCTGGTAAACTAACATAAACTATGGAAAATCACCATTTTCAATTGGAAAATCCACTATAAATGGCCATTTTCAATAGCTACGTTAAATTACCAGAGGGTAATCTGAAACCACCAGCCAGTCCTCCTCTTCCATGCACCAGCTGGGCATAAACGGCTCCACCACCGCCGGCGCCGCTACAAGCCCCACGGGCCGCGGGGCGTTCTCAGCGAGGGGAAGAACCGACCCGGGCGCGCGGTATTCGCGGTCCTCCAGGATCGTCTTCTTCAACTTACCTGGGGGAAATCCCGGGATTGGAGAGTTCAAACCGCAAAGCCATGGCTTCTTGCAACATTTTAGATTACCTGATCCATTGAGAACAGGATAAGAAAGGTGCTTGTCATTAATGCCACCAGGGGCAAGTGGAAAAGTGGCCTCCCACAAAATAAATCAGCCTTGAACCAAAAGGGGATGTGAAAACATTTGAAGCCAACACCGACCATTGCGTGATGACCGGGCAGGGAATGAGTTTGCACTTCCCCCACCCATTCCCAACATGGCTCCACTTCAGGCAAAGCGTTGTTTTCGTTCTTTCATAACAGCACTACACAAGTAAGTCCACAGTAGAAACCCATGGCTTTCCGCCCATGCCCACATCCTTCCCACCACCCATCCTTCTCCCAAGCAACTCAAGCGCTTCTTCTTGGACACCAGCCGTTGCTTGCCGATGCGCAGATTCGTCAGATCCATCTCGGACTGTTCCAAGATGCTCTTGCTGACCCCCTGCGCGCGCACACGGCTCGGTTCCGCCATGGCGCTCAACGGCGCCTACGGGCGGTGTTTTGAACTGCGAATGGGGGGTGCGGTGCAACCCCAAGGGTGGTGACAACATGTGATAAATTGTGATAAATTGTGATAACTATAATGTACTACAGCAGACGATAGTATAATAACTATTATGTCATTTTCTATGGCCATTTGGTGAAAAGAAAATACGCCGGCCGGCCTGCCTCGGTGTGGGGTACTGCTTGGCTGATAGGAAATGAAACCAAATCCGTTTCAGCATGAGGTGATATCGTCGTATACCGTATACCCATCAGCAAACACCAAAATTGGCATTGCTCAGTGGAGTTTGAATGTGCATCTTGTAAGATTCGAGGTGCTGCTGAGATAGTTGGGTCTCAAGCAGCACAAACAGCTCCGCAAGTCAAGCGTTGCATGCCATCTGTGCAGCAAATCCGACTGGAATGTCAAAGACTCGAAAAAACCCAAAGATATGATGAAATGGTCTAGTCAGGCAGAGAAAGCCAATGGTTTTTCTTTTTCTTCCCGGTATTCCCCCTGTTTACACCCATTGAGCTACAGCACTCTGGCAGGTCAATAAGATCAAAATGGCAAGTGATACATCCGAAAACCGTCCCAGTGGTGTCACAAGTTTTGACGTACGTCTCCCGTGCTGGTTCCAACATCATTGTTTGGATTGTTTGGCTACCCTCTGGTAAACTAACATAACTATGGGAAATCACCATTTTTCATGGGAAAAAAATAACTATTTCTATTTCTATATATTTCTATGGTGATTTTCCACAGTTATGTTAAATTACCAGAGGCTACATCAGATCATCATGGCAGATTCCGATAGGAACCCTTGGCTCTCCCCTCTCCCAGCTTTTTGACACTGCTCGCAGTGCTCGCACTATCACGAGCTGTCTCAGTTCCTTAGTCGAACGTAGATCCCCACGAAAACCCTGGAGACTACAAACCTGCTGTCACCTCTGTAAGGTCTACAATAGTCACTAATCATCCAGGGATATTAATGTTCATTGATAATTACTGGATATTCATGGATATTCATGGATTATAGACCTAATCATTAATCCGTTAATATCCACTGCGATGTGTCACCAGCAATCGTTGCATTTGATGAGTGGTAGCTGTAAACCATACTTTCTCATTGTGCCATGCAGTGTGCTGAGCCGAGCACAGGAAGGAGCTGTAGGGTACAGGAGCTCCTGCTTTTTCCTTAGGTCCCAGCTGCTTCACATCGTTGAACGGAAAAAAAACCTGCCATGGGCAAGTCATTCATGCTGTCGCCCGAGGTCCAGACATGGAGCGCGGACACGGCCTCAGGGATCCAATTGTCCCTAAGAATCATGACACAAATAGGGGAAATATGGCAGTGTGTCAAAACCTTGTACCCCTGGTGAACATCAAAATAGCTGGTTTATGGATGTTCATTCCCCTAAAAATGGTATTAATAGGTATTGATCCATACCCAAATAGGGGGAATGGTAATTTTGATGAGCCAAAATGGGCCAAAAAGGGCATATTTGGGCATGGATTTGGCATCGCTGGATCTGGATGGACCAACTTCTCCACCGGCTGCCAATGTCCATTGCTTTAGGATTTCCTCACCCATTGGTGAAATCCCACGGTTTCGCTGGTGAAATCCCAGTGTGTTGCGTCGTGTCGTCAAATCCCACCTTCGATGTTTCAATCTCTATTTCTACAGTTTAAAATCGAAGTTCTTCCTAGTTGAAACCCCCATAAGTTGCCGTTGTTTTTCTTTCGGCCGGGACTCTTCCCAATTTTTAGCTGGTTGAAGTCCCAACGGATTTGTTGCTCCAAATACTTCTGATTCTCAGGGTCTATAGTTGGTACCTGATGGTACCAGATGGTACCAGATGGTACCAGATGGTACCAGTGGTCACGGCTAAACCATGCTGTACCCTCCGGTAAACTAACATCACTATGGAAAATCACCATCTTGAACTATTTTAACTGGTAAATCAACTATAAATGATTATAAATGGCCATGTTCCATAGCAAACTGTTAGTCATTACCAGAGGGTAACTACCCTCTGGTAATTTAACATAGCTATTGAAAATGGCCATTTATAGTGAGTTTTCCCATTAAAAATGGTGATTTTCCATAGTTATGTTAGTTTACCAGAGGGTAACTATGCTAAACTCATCCCATTGACATCTCCTCCGTCGGCGCCTCTCGGCTTCCTCTCTTGGCCGCGCCGAGGCGATGTGCCAAGGACCTGGGGCGGCCGGGGAGAGGATGGCGGCTCCCAACTTGGAGAAAGATGGAGCTTAGCATGATCAGGTCATATGGGTATGGATCAATACCTATTAATACCATTTTTAGGGGGATGAACATCCATTTACCAGCTATTTTGATGTTCACCAGGGGTACAAGGTTTTGACACACTGCCATATGGAGGTTTCCTGAAATGGTGGTACCCATGTTAAAATTAAACGATTTTAATAGGATTTTCCATTGTAAACCAACCAGCTATTGGGGATCTCCTATTTATGGAAACCCCCATATGCTTAATAAATGTCAATAATCCATGGCAAAACATGGATCATCCATCTCTGCTATGGTCGAGTGGGTATGTCTATGCTGTATGGTCATCCCACCAAAAAAAAAACAGGAATCCTTAAAGATGGGATTCCAGAACAAATCATTGATGACCATCCCCCAAGGGCTTCAAGGCCATGGTAAATATCATCCGAGTTAAAAAAATGGCACCATGGCACAGTCGCGCATCGCTTCCAAGATGCTGGAAACAGATCTGATCAACTGGATTTTCGCATAGATTAATCTCTTCTGTATCACGAAAGAAATGGCTTCTCCAGGCGTCTGATTTCAGAGTGGGAAACCATTTTGGCTACCACCAAGCGCAATCCCACCCAAACTCTTTTTCCCGCTTCAGGCGAATCTTGCGGGGACGACCTGGCGAAGGCTACCCGGCTACCCCGATCAGGGGCAGTTTCTTACGGAGGCAACCGTTGAGTGGTTTTGCTTCAAAAGCTTTAAAAAATGATGGCAGGTCCGAAGAGTTTGAATTGCAAAATGGATAACTATGGATAACTGACCAACTGTTTTTGTCACAGCATCTGCAGTGTCACACCTGGTGAACCGGGTGAACTATGAGCTTTTGGGGATCTTTGCGGTCTTCTCGTTGATACCATTGGTCCCTGTAGATGGAACCTTTGGTCTAATCGTCGCAAAGAGAGGGATAGGAAGAACAATATGAAACCCCACAGGTTTCTGTAGGTTAAACACTGCCTAATTTTGGATTTGGGGGAGAGATAGTGAGATTGTGAATCACTTGGGTCCAAAATACATGGCACAACATTTCCAGAATCTATTCAGGGGCACCTATGTGGCTAAATGCTTTTCAACTTGGAACCCACCCACCGGGTTTGGGACACATTCTCTTCGACAGCACCATCCAGTCCATCCCGTCGGATCCCGAAAAAACCAAGCTATGTTTAGATTTTCCGGACCCAGTGAGCCAATCAAGACTTGCAGACTTACATCCAAGGGTGCCATTTAGAATGAAAGAAACAGTTATATACAGTAAATCAGATATAAATATTCCCACTAGATTCCTCAAATGGTGGATGAATCTTCCCACTAAATATTCGGTGGATCAATCTTCCCAAAAAAAAAAACACAAAAAACATCGGACTTTTCCTCGACATTCGACGTCTCGTCGTGATCTTCACCAAATCCCAGGGGATTTTTTTCGGAAGCCCCACCTACTGGCAGCAGCCATGCCGCTTGCAATCCGCGCTGTCGGCACAGCAGACTTGGCCTGGAGTCTGATGCCCGGATCCGTGCCATTGGGCCATTGGGCCAGTGCTCAGTGCTGAAATCCAGTGATCTCCAGCGACCTATGGGTAAACTGGTAAACATACAAAAAACATGTGGAATTCCTGGAAAAAAAAACTGAAACTTCGCGTTGGAAAAATGATCGACAAAATGCTGGGGTTTCTTCACATCGATGTTAGTCAAGAAGAAAAAGGAGTTGACCATGAAATTGCTGGTGGAATGCCTGTTTCTGTCGGAAGATGTGCATTTTTTGGAGGGACAACACTCATCCCTCAGTGATGTGATCCTTGTTTTCCCATGTTGACAACTTCCACATGGATCCTCGAAGGCCAGCTATTGCGAGGCTTTTGGCAATGCTTAGTAGGAAAATATGAGGCAAAAAGTAGTTGGTACCCACAGAATTGGATGATTCAAATCAAACATGACGGAGTTTTGCTACAGAAACCATGCAACATGGTCTATTTTAAACGATAGGAAAGGAAAACATGATTTGGGTACCCCATAGTATCATGCCAGAACGTTTTGACCATTGTGCCACTCGCCATAACGAGGCTCCCCAAAAGGATAGAAAAGTTGTCCAGGATGCTTTTAAATGATGTGTCCATCATCATTTCTTTAGATTTCCAACTGTTCTATCATTTCTATCTATTTGGGGGTTGGGATAATTTTTCTAAAATCCCATTAAAATAGCCATCTTGGGGTTAGACAGAGCCTGGACCTACGGTGCCCTCCGCCACTAGACCCCGTCACGTCGCGCCTTTGAAAGGGAGGCATAGCTCGGGGCCTGGGAAGAAACCATCCCAAAATGGCTTGATTTCATGGGAAAATCCCGATGTTTCCGGTGAAGATGTTCCCGCCCATTGTCAAGTCAGCCGGGCTTACCAAATGAAAAATCCACTGACCAGGAATCATACCCACGGCTACCGTTGAAATATAGTGAAGCCCTTCACGGATAATTATCCTAGGGCCTCGGGATTGTTGTGATCCAGCGCTTCAAAAAACACTCCCTGCATTCGCGTTGATTTGAAAATTGCGCTGATCCAGCGCTTCATATTGTTTCAACAACATGCTTCGGAACATAAGGGAAGACTTTAGGCCATAGTTAGAACCGGCTTGATACAATATATTCATATATATATATATATTCAATATACATATATATATATAGTCGATGCTTAGTAAAAAAAAAACACATGTAATAGATATATATATATTATACACACACACACGTACATACAATTGCATCACCCAAAGAGGTCCTACCCCTGGCTACAGCGCGCCAAGCAGCTCTTGGTCGGGTTGAAACAGGGCGTGCGGCAGCTTCCAGTGGTGAGATCTGAAGCCACATAATAACTGGGACAGTTGTAGGCTTGGTCCTGGGATATGGATGGTGACCAGCGGAGTGTAACTCTGGGAAATCACTGAAATGCCAGGGTTGGAACATAGAACAGCACATGGGCTATCATGGGCTCCAAGCCATCAATGTCGAAGATGACGCTTTCACAGACGAAGTACAACGACCCATAACATCCAGTTTTCTTTCCGAGAGGGCGCCTATCACTGCGTGATGGGCGCATTCCAGACTAGCAAAGGTATCACAGCTACAGGATAGTGGGTCTTCACAACATACACACCTGGAAGGTTGCTGGACAATCCCCAGTGTTTTTCAGGGACAATTATCTATAAAATTCTATGGATATCTTCCTCAATTCCTGCCCGCTAGGTTGGATTACCAGTGTCCAATCCAGGTCTAAAACCTCTTGGAACCTCACAGAATCCTCGCTAGAATACCTTGAGCCGTCCTGTTTGGCTTTGCCAATACGCTTAGGAGGAAATGATCCACAATCACTAGTAACAATCATCCCAGCAACCCCCAGCAACCCATCCATTCCCTACGTTTAGCGGCAGCTCGTGTCCGAGAAATCTCTAGATCTGCCAAGTGGCTCCCAATTTGATGACATTTTTGCAATCATTGCCGTCCACCCGCTGCGCACCTCAGCGAAAACTCTCTTGGTCAAGTGAGGAGCAAAAATCGGAGATCCAAGCCTTCCAATTCTTGGGAAAATCTACCTATAAATGGAGGTTTTAGTGGGAAAATCGGCCTAGAAAATTCCAGAAATGGTTTCCCAAGGATCTCCCTTGAGGTCGCTATTTATGAGCTGGATACATCTAGATACGTACCAAGATTTATTGCGTTTTGAATGGGAAAAATGATGACCTGGGATTGTCAAAAAATGGTGTAACTCTGAAATTTCATACCCAATGGAATGCTCATTTCCCCAAATAACAATTGTCTACATGCATGTGGTTCTCAAAGGGTTCTATCCCACCAGCTGGCCACTCCTCCCTGCATATGTCATGGCACCCACGCGCCAAGGGTCTGCAGGCTTGAAGCCCCTGGGTGGCAGCAAGCGAGGCCCGATTCCGAAATCACAAGAGATAAGCCTCACCAAGGGACTGATATTACTGAGGTCAAAGTTCTATTCTGGTAATGATAAGCAAACTAATGATCACCATCGCAAATCTATCCGAGCTCAAAGACAGTTCAATTTACCTCGACCCAAATCGACCACAACCAACGGATCTGCGGGTTTCAGTACCCAAAGCTGTCGGATCCATCGGATCTGTGGCCAACAAGAATGAACTCCGTCATCTATTGTTTTGTGGTTCCAATCCACCATTGGCCACCATGGCCACCATGGCTCCCTCAGTTTCGAAAGTTTCAACTCCACATTCTCGGGGGTCCCAAGCAGAAAAAACCCGCAGGAGGAAAAAAAACATAGCGGAATTCCCGCATGTTGCGGTTGTGACGATGTCCCATTGACAGGTTTAATCACCCTGCCCTTAGTGCGGTAAATCTAAGAATAACCCAAGTTTGCCGAGTTTAGGCTAGAGTCTAGAGATTAAATCATGTTGGGGTTCAAAGAAGTTGTAAGTCATAATTCATCATCTCTGATAGCCATGTTATGATTGGGACATACTCCGGTTTCTGGTTGGGTGTACCACAATATAGAGTGACCTCTCACCAAATAACGCTCCGCCAAGTCTCTCTTCCAGGCCTTATATGTCCAGCACTTGTAGTTGGTCGCTACAGGTCAATGCATGAATCATTCATGCTTCAATTTTTGTACACCATATCTGAATGCAAGTAAACTTGCGCACATATATGCGGATATGAACCCTCTGGTTATTTAACATAGCCATGGAAAATGACCCATTTATAGATGGTTTACCTATAAAAAATGATGGATCTTTCCCTGGCTATGTTAGTCATAACCAAATGGTAAACGATAAGTTGATGATCAATGGATACTTCACCCAGGTCTGTGATCTAGGAACCGGGCTGTCGTCCGCATCGACGCTGTCTAAGCTGTCATCGTTCTCCTGTGGGCTTTATCCCGAGTCTGAATTTACCCTCTGGTAATAGCTGACATAGCTATTGAAAATGGCCAGTTATAGTGGATTTTCCCATTAAAAATGGTGGATCTTTCCATAGTTATGTTAAATTACCAGAGGGTATCTATATAGGTGATTCCAGAATGACTGGACCCCAACACAGGACAACCATCAAGTGGTGAAATGCCCATTTCTTGCAGTAAAAAAAACCGCCAGTCTTGGTCAAGTTCCTGTTTCTTCTTAGCTTTCTTCTTGGATCACCAAGTTTTATTGGGTTATAGTATGTTATAGATTGTTGTAGTCATTTTAAATACCCTCCGCGAATCAAACATGCCTTGCTGGAAAATCCCCCCTTTATAGATGAATTTAGATCATGTTCCAATTAAAGCCTTCATTTCTGTGGGATTTCCCAGCTAGCCATGCTTGATGACACCGAAGAATCTCCGCATTTTGATTGGTTCACCAGCAATTTTTGGGGTCCCCTAGAGGCCGCCAAGCATCAAAGTGTCGTGCACGGATCAGCACCAGACTCGACAGCACTGTGAAGACCCAACGCATCCCATCGAAGCGCTGCAGCCTGGATGCAGCCACGGTTTATAGAATCTATAAGAGTTATTATAAGATGTTATAAGCCACTTGTACAAGTCTTATACATGGATTTGTCTGACAATCTCTTGGAACCCGAAACATCAAACCATGGTTTGGAACATGACTGTTCCCATGTTTAATGACCATCAAATTGCAACCTCAATGGGTAACTTGGGCTAATCCCATCCCATGATAAGCCCACCCTTCACTACTGGGCGTCCCTGCTGGAGACAGCTCTCAGCAAACACAAAGGTGAACCTTAGGTTGCAAATGTGTGGATGAATGCCTTTTCCCAAGTTCGGAAAGAGGATTCACCTGATGTGCTAATGATGTTGGAATTTTCTCGCTGGTTGAAGTACCCTCTGGTTATTTAACATAGCCATGGAAAATGGCCCAATTATAGATCTATAGATGGTTTACCTGGGTTTACCTATTAAAAATGGTGATTTTCCATGGCTATGTTAAATAACCAGATGGTATGTTGAAGTGGTCAATACCCACTGCCTGCGCAGGACACTCTCGGATCATCGGGGTCACCTGTTCAGACCCGAACCTGGAAGAATTCTGCTGCTTTTTGGATCCCTACCATCTGGTTATAACGAACATGACATAGCCATGGAAAATCCCCAACCATAAATGGAGGTTGATGTCGCTGGGAAAATCATCTATTTCTATGGGCCATTTATACCATGGCGAACTGTTAGTCATAACCAGAGGGTAAGTCCTAAAGAGGGCATGATATCAGCCGTTCCCGCTTTTTTCCCGCCGTGTATCCCGCGTTTTGGCAGATCCCATCCTGATCCTCCCGGCCGTATCCCCACCATGCGTCCAAGTCACTGCTCAGAAAACCCGCCAGACTGGCGATGGCTTGAGCCAGATGTTTCAGGCCATTTGATCATCGGGGAGGGAGGCAGATTCTCCACTGGTTGATGTTTGAAAAGGTCTCCAGAAAATGTCATGATTTTTCCACGTTCATGGGGGAAGATATGGGAAATTTGTGATGAACCAGTGGATTTAGTGGTATTCCCAGTCAAGGAAAAACATGACAACAAACTTGCGACCCTGACACACTCTGCCTACCGTAAGCACTGTAAGCTGTCTGTTCTTGCTTCTGTGATCGCAAGGGATATGAAGATATCCGGCTGCTCGTATGGAGTATTACCCCTCGAACTGCTTATCTTCCATCAGCATTGCTTCATGTTGTTTCTATCCCCTCACAGTCCACCTTTCCGAAATGAATTCGATTCTATCCCAAACTCCCCATTCCACGCAGAATTAAGGATCCGACCCGCTAGAGAGCACAGAGAGATGAGCCTGGAAAGGCAGGAGGCAGACTGACCCCAAAAATGGCTGGAGGAAAGAGTGTATCACCTGCCAATCAAACCCTCTTCTCATCCAAGAGTCAAAACTAACTAAAATCAACATGTTGAAGCAAACATGCAATGCATTTGAACTCACTGCTGCGTTCATTGCAAACAGCTAACATCTTGCATGCCGCTTGTGACAAAAAGTGCCGAAGACGTAAATTGTGGTATCCACTCTTTGGACAGCCTACCTATGTAGTTACTATTCTCCCACAACCATGTGTAGCTACCCTCAAGTACCCGTAACCTCAAGTACCCCCTGTGAAAATCCTGGTATCTGGTTATCACATCAAAATAACTGGCATTGATCTTCAAACCCCTCGAGTCGTCTCGTAGAAAATCATTGGCGCCATCACCCATCCCCAGACAACTCCAGCTGGGTTTGTGGTTAAAATATGTTAAAATCGGGTATGATACCCCAAAAAACAATTGGTTAATATATGGTTTCTCATCACGTTCCCTACTAAACAAAGTCCAATTCTAGGGGGTCCATCCCTCATTTTGAAGAACTAAAATTCGTTCGAGGGTTACTCGCCCCAAACCCTGCCTTGCTTCGCAGCAGCCTTGGAAGTGGGCTGAGATATTGCTCCACTGGAAAGCATGGAATGGCTTGACTGGGCACCCTGAACAGGCCTAGTGGAAAGGTGCACAGTTACGAACTTCGGTGAAGTCAATTACGTGGCTCCATTTCCAAACTCTTCTAAGCGCAAAGTATCCACGCCTAAAGCAACTGAATAAAGTAAATCCCAAAAATCCCAACAAAAAAGTCTCAGCTCCGGACATACTCTCCGCAGAGGCATCAAAAGCTTCCTTGAGCAAGGCCTGTGGCAAGATCCCTGGGATCAAAAGATGAACCCAGAGGAACAGTCACTTAAAGGGCCACTTCGGAACGTCAAAAAGTTGCGTTCAGAAGGTGATGTTCAGCCATCAACTACTCTTCTGACTCCATATATATATATATATCATATATATATATATAGTAGTCATATAATATATATTGTATATATATATATGTATTTATATATATGTATGTATATCAGTACCCCAGCACCGCCTTCCCCCATCGCCCGCGCAGCCCCCGACATTTTCCGCTCGTGCCCTGCACTGCGCCGCTTCCCTCGACTCCGCGCCGTGGCTCAGTGCGAAGAGCTCAGCGGCCCGGTGCCAGGCGGCGTCTCGGGCGATGGGACCGTGGTGACTGTGGGAAAATGGGAAAACCATAGGAAAACCATAGGAAAACCATAGGAAAATGAGGTTTACCCTCTGGTAAACATACAAAAAACTATGGAAAATCACCAGTTTTAATGGGAAAATCTACTATTTCTATGGCCATGTTCAATAGCAAACTGTTAAATTACCAGAGGGTAAGACAAGGAGCACCGAGGGGTCTTAGAATGTCTTAGACCACTTAGATCTTTTTTTTGTTGTTGAAAGCTATTTGGAGTTGGTTGATGACTTGTTTGGGCCAGACAACTCAGAGTTCAGCTCGGATGGCTCTATGATTTCCATCTGTAACATGATGGGAGACTTGGTGGATGCTTGATGCGTGAAAACAATCAGCTACCCTCCTGTAAATTAACACATATAGATATGGGAATCCATAGTTTCCTGTTCGGACAATGATCTACACATGGTGGGCTTTCAATATGTTACTGGAGAGTATTCACCCTCAAAATCAACCAGGTGAGTTTGTCAGCAAAATTCATGGTTCATCATCAAGTTTCCCTTTAAAATGACCATATTCGTAAAAAAATATCATCCCCTTCAAACCCACCAAAAAACGGTCCAAAAAATCTGGCCCTTCCCAGCCTGCATCTGGATCTTCAGGGTGCGCCTTCTCCCAGCTTTCGGCTTCTCGTTGCGCCAGCTGCGACAGAAAGGGATGGCCTTCCTCTCTCAGCCGCCCGAAGGCCTCGAAGAGCTGAGGGAAGATCTGCAGCGCCGTGGCGGCTGGCACCTGCGAAGAGGCCCCCCCCAAGGGGCCTGGGAAGAGGGTGATGTTTTCGATTAAAAAGTTGGGTTTTCTGGCATGCTTTGATGGTGTTTGGAGGGGCAAAATCTGAAATAATCGGGTGAAGCACTGGAATGTGCGGAGAATAAGAAAAGTAGAAGCGTGTTCTCCCAGAGCAATTGAGAAAGAAAGACATTGTTTCTACGTCTCCCAAACAGAAAATACATTGAAAGATTTTGAAACCATATAGTCAGCAGGGCCCTAAAGGCATCACTAAATATTCCCCATTCCTCGGGCCTGGTCCAAATGCTTCAGATACATGTGGAAAATTTTGAAATGGTAGGGATGCAATGCAGCCGCACTCTCTTCTCCAAACTCCTTCACAGCAGGTGGGCTTCAATCCATCCTTCCCTTGAGAAAAAGGCTATGTCACCAACCGGTCCCGGACCTTTCCTGCGGAAGCATCTGCAACTTGGGAACCCCGTTCAAAAATCCGCATTGAAAACTGACCCTGGTGTATGATTACTGACAGTGAAACATACTCCATGATCCAGGATCCAGGTTGAATGGCCGTCCCATCTCCCAAATCTGGAGCAGCCCCCAAGGTACAATCCTGAATTTGGGATCCATGGCTAGTACCCCTTCAACCAGGAACACTTGCACCACTGGGGATGTACCCTTTTTCCCAAGTCACTAACCATTCACACAAGGACTTGCGATGATTGGGGGTGCTATTCCCGCGCTTGTTACCCTCTGGTGAACTAACATAGCTATGGAAAACCACCATTTTTTCTGGGAAAACTCACTATAAATGGCCATTTTCAATAGCTATGTTAAATTACCAGAGGGTAACAATCATGATCCCTTTCTGGGTCCGCATGTACCATTGTGCACCCCCCTCGGATCCTCCCCATCCCAACCCCTTGAACTCCTCCAGAGTCTCTGCCTTTTTGAAAGCCTCCAACTGTTCACCACTGCACCGCAAGCCGCACTCCTCAAGGACCCCCTGGAAGTGCTTCAACCATGACTGTAGTGGCACCACAACCATGATTTCTTGGGTATACTGGAAGAAACTAAATAGGCCAGTAACTTTGGCAACTTCCTATCCAGCAATCCACCCCCAACTTGCCAAAGGGCATAGAAGGTTCGGGGTACACAAGTCATGCTGGGAGTGTCTTGTCAGGGTTGGAAAGCGAAGCAAAGAACTTCCTTTGATCTCTGATGTGCCAAGAACTCCGCAATGATCATGGGGCCATGGAAAAATCCCCAATAATTTCAGAAAATGTTCGAAGATTCATGGTGATTGACATCTTCGAGTCCTTGATTTGGATTTGCTCCCAACAAAAAAAAAATCACTATAGATTCCCCAAATGGTGGAGTTTCCATTGAGTAATGAGCCGTCCTCACACAGCAACTCGCAGAAGCCTCCCAGTTCAGTGCATGGAGTCGACGGACAGCATGGGCCCTGAAACGGTGCCACCCTGAAGCCCTTGAGAAGGTGCTTGAGATTTGCTGGGATAAAAGTTAATATCTCCCCCATGTTTGGTATGCACTAGAGTAAGAAATCATGTCAACTAGAAATTCCCTCTTTCTTAGCATGTTTTAACGTGCTCATGAGTCTATGTTAATGGACAATGTCCCGTGTAAGGACCATGAGCCCCCCCAGACTGAAAACGTGTTTGCCAGTTGACTGAAAGCTGCATTTTGCCCTCTGAGACTGCCATGACTGCCATGAATCTTAAGTTCATACAAATAATCCACGGTTAAAAAAACATCTCCTCCAGCCCCCCCAACCACCCAACCTCCCAACCACCCAACCACCCAACCACCCAACCAGCCCGACCTCGCATTCCGGACATCTGAAGGCGCAGCATAGCTCGGGAGTCTCGAAGCCGCAGCACCTCTCACAGCGGCAGTGGAAGTTGAAGCCGTGCAGCAGCAGCCGCTGCATTTGCCAGGTGGGGTAGTACTCCTCGGCCATGGGAAATCTCCCAACTACATGGATATGTTTTGATGGGAAAATCATTGAACTAGATGATGGATTTTCGGTAATAAATGGTGAATTGTTGCTAGATACGTGGGGAATATATATATATAAAGTAAGATACTGTGACATATATAAATATATACATATATATATATAGGTATTATTAGCTGATCCATGATGAAACACGGGGATAGGATTTGATCCATGAAGCTAAGATGGGTTTATGAGGGTGAAGCCTGGTATCCATATTTGGGGTACTTATATGGAGATGATCTGGTTGGTGGTTTGAACCCCTCTGAAAAATATGAAAGTCAGTTAGGATGATTATTCCCAATATATAGAAAAATAAAAAATCTTCCAAACCACCAACCAGTGATTAATATATGCTGAAGTCATACGGCTCCGACTCCAGGATGCTTCCCAAGCACACACATCATGGACTCGTTCGCATCCCCATCTCTGTTCGCATAGTCGTTCTGGCTCCCGCACTGAAAGTGGGTTGGTTTCCAATGAGCCTTTGCCTTGACATCCATTTCAAGAATTTTGCCTCTGTTTTCTTGTGTATTTGGAATTTGCTCTCTATCCCCATTTTTCTTGGCTCATTTAGTGATACAAGACATACTTGCTGATCATTTTAAAAAAAAAAGAAAAACATCTCAACCAGTTCAACCTCCCAGTTGTTCATAAGCCCTCCACATGGCGCCGTTCCCATCATATTTGACTAACCGTCATTTCTAAGTGACCTGGTAGTGATGCGGCTATCATTTACCCAGATTCCTAAGCAATAAAGTTGTTTGAACATGTTACCCCAAAGTCCGTTGGTTAAGCTTCAATTTTCCTCTTGAAACAAAATTGACCATTTGCCATGTCTACCAAATTTCTCAGACAAAGCCAAATCCATCATTCAAACTGTGAAAGGTGAAATCAGTGAAATCCTCATCGTCTATTGATGTCCATAGATGTTTTTTTTCTCCAAGCATCACCCAATCGCCCCAATCGCCCATTATCTCCGAAGGGGGATGGTCATCTCATGTCATCTCCCAAGGTTAACGAATCCATAGCACAGAAAAATCCCGTAAACTTGACCATTGACCATGGCACATGCATGGTGTGAAATATCTATGTATTATGTACATATATATATATTATGTATATGTAGTATATATATATTATATATATTATATATTATATATTATATATTATATTATATATATATATATTATATATATATTATATATATATATATATATTATATATTATATATATATATATATTATATATATATATTATATATTATATATATATTATATATATATTATATATATATTATATATATATATATGGCTGAATTCTGATAATTCCCTGACCTGAAAATAGATCAAGTAAGGCCACTTTGGGATGATTCCGCTTACCAACCATGATTCCAATGACGTCACAGTGAGGACGTTATTCAATTCATCCAGATGATATCCCCATAATTTTACCATGATATCCCCATTTTACCACCATTTTTCATGATTGAATTCCCATTTTTTCGCAGTTAAATCCCTATCTTCCAACCCTGGGCAAGGCTCCGGGATGTACGAAATGCTCACCTTTTCCCCAAGCACCAAGTCCTCCATCGCGCGCACCGTGAGCTGCGAGCCCTGGACGTTCTTGAAGGCGTTGGGCCTGGTACCCAGCGACTCGCGGGATGGTTTCGAGGGGATTTGTTAAGGGGGTACGACTGGGTTTGTCTTAAAAAGCGCCATTTGGGTTTGTCTGACACACCAAATCTATTGGAGTAGAACCTCATGTCCCCCCATTTTTTAAAGCCATGACTGGGGGTATACCCCCATTTGCACACCCAACTATGAGTGAAGGGGATCTTCAAGGATTTTATTGTGATTTTACCACTGGGGTACATTTGGATTGGGCATCAAAAACCATCAAAAACCCATCAAAAACCATGGGGGTGGTTCACCATCAACACATGGATTGAAGCAATGAATCGCAGGAAAACAATGGAATTATGGGATATAATGATATATGACCATGACTTGACTGGATTTTGATGGGTGTTGATTAGATGTTTGCATGTTTTTGATGGGATAATATGGGATATGGAATGGATATGGGTTGGTCTGAAAATAGGGGACACCCCAATTTAGAATGGATTGAATTGAATGGGAAAATATGAGGAAAATGATGAAATCCTCTGCGCACTGGGCCCCCGAAAAAAGGAACGTGCACATTGGGAGGCAAATAATGAAAACGCGAAATGGATGTGTTGTTTTCGGAAGGGTATTCTTTGTTGCTTGAAGGCTTGGATAGAGGGATTTTCAAGCCTATCTTTGGGTGGAGTCCGTTGATGCTTGTGATATTCTACCTTGTGTTGCTTCTCTGCCCATTCATTCTGGCTAAGTCCCAGTGAGATCTGTGTTTGGTGTTTGTATCTGTTGCTTTAAATTACAACGCTTCTCTGGCTGAGTTTGTCTTGAAACGAGCCGAATTCTGATTCACATCATGAGATCGCAGATAAGAGCTATGATCTACGTTCGTAACTCGGAAGTTTTCGAACTAAATTTCCTTTGATGATCCGGGTGATTGTTTTTTCCCGAACCTCAATTCAAAATAATTAGTGCATATCAAAGCCATCCAAATGGGGACTAGGTGAACGTTTCTTTCTGACAACGACCAACGATCCAACAAGCAGGGGATATCACCCACAATTGCCTAAGTCTAAGTATTGGGCACTAGTGGACCCACCCATTTGGATAAGAGGTTATAATTTATAACTCCAATAACCAGGGTTTATATATGCAGATACATCGAACTAGTTGTGGTAAAAAAAACACCAACAAACATAACTGGGGGGTTGCCACCTTGTCGGAAAAATTACATTATCCAATTGGATTAGTTTGTTGGGGAAAATGTTACACCATGCTTAGAAAAAATACAATCATAGTGGTTTCCTGCAGATTTTCCCACCAATTCTGGGAGTATCTGCAATCACACGACCTTGTGGGTAAAAAGTTGGATGGTGTAAAGCCCAAAAAGATCAGAATTTGTGTTTTCCAGGCTTGTTTTAAACTTTGAAACACTGATGCGTCCTCCGTATTTTAGGTGTCCAACTTGAAGTGACAGACATATTCGTCAAGTTTCCAGACCCCCATCCTGACTGTAATGAGGTTGGAAGGTCAATTCGTAGCCCCTTGGCTCCATTTAACAAGGAATGTGGATACCCCTGCAATGTGCTGCCCCCCCAGCGAAAAATTGGTTTACAATAAGCCCACAGCAACTAGTTCGATATATCCAACAGTTATTGGAATTATGTTTACCATCAACTTAGCATATGAAATTTCATTCAAATCAGCTCTAAATCCCATATGAAACCCCCATTTTTCATCAGTTTTCTTGGTCAAAGCACCATGTTCATCCAAAAATCACCATCTTCCCATAGGTTTTTCAATTTTTTCATCCAAAAATCACCATTTTCCATCATTTTCCCATAGGTTTTTCTCTGTATTCCTCCCTTCGCCGCTCCACACCTGCAGCTGTGTTCCGCCATGGAGCCCAGGACGAAGATGGCCGCGCCCTGGGCTCCGTCCACCTCGTGGGCGTTGGCCGCGCACTGGGCGAAGAGCTCCTCGACATAACGGAACCCGGGACATCTATTTTATATTCATAAGTATATATAGTTTATTTCTAGAGTCTATATATATATACATATATGGGATTATATGGGTATATATATATATAAACTATACTTATGATTACTTATGATTATTATATATATATATATATCATATCGTTGTGGGTATATAAAGTATTATATATATATATATACACAGTGTGTATGTATATATATATATGGCTTATAAAACCACTTAGCAACTGGGATGCACATCCAAGCAGAAGGCAATCTCTGGGAAGGGGTGACATCAAGAAAAAATACCAGCAAATGTAGGCCTTTTTTGGTGGGATTTAAAGCTTAGGGCATGCAACAGCCAACTATGGTACAGCTAAATCCATTGACCAACCATCGTTTTCCCCTTTTCCGGGTGGTATACCCCATGACTTGAAAGCACCAGCTGAAGCATCATTTCATCACCTAGGATTATCTTTGTCCACAAACCCCACAGTGTAGCTGCTTACGGCGTAGCCATTTAAGCATCTCCAGTCCCTTTTTTGTCAAAGGCCCATGATTCTTAGACCCACGGGTCCCATTCAACCCGTCTGGGACTGTCCCAAGGCTCTAAGAAACGCTCGAAGGAGATGCTTTGGGCGACTTCCTCCTCGCCACCAATCCATGATCCATTCATGGCGGGAAGTGAAACTCTGAGCTCCCATGGAACCAGTTGAAAGCCAGCGAATTTTGCTGCAGATCCCATGGATTCCACACCGCTTCCCTCCCCCCAATCTCACCTTCAGGCCATCGTACAAGGTCCGTGCAGTGGAGGCCCACTGCTGCTGGTGCCCTTCCAGTTGCTTCAGCTGCTCAATCTTCCTCTGACAGCGAAATCCCCGAAATGGGCATTGAAACTGGGAAAATCACCGAACCATTGCTGTGAGATTTTCCGGCCATGGGAAAAAAACCGAGGGTAGCTGGCCAAAATTCGATGACCTCAAGGATGGCTCAATTGTTTCAAAATTGCCATGAGAAATGAGGCTGCACGTACTTTTTTTGCCTTGACAACTGCTTTGAATCGCATGTTCTATTCCACCTCTTTTCTGCATTCACAAACCCTTAACACTTTCCCTCAACACCCCCAGACCACAGAACTTTGCCACTCCCGATCTCCAGCTGGATTAGGGTTCCGCATAGTTCAATCTCTATGACTCTATGACTACTTCCCCTTGAAAACTGATGCTTCCGCCATGAAAAAACACGTGGAAATACGTCGTTACGTGGAACCGACACAATCCACAAGTTCTCCCAGTGAATGATCCAACTAAATTATGTTGTGGTTGAGAAGCTCAATTCATAGCTCCTTGGCTCCCCAACTGAAAAAAGGAATAGATTTGAATAGATACAAGCATGGTTTCTACCCGCCGAACAGTGCCAAAATCTACCATTGCACACTATGGTTGTGAAAATGATGATGAACCTGGGTAATTTCTTTAGCTGGTTTCCCCTAATTTACTCATCAAAAACATCATAAACCATGAGTTTTTCTTAATCCTTCCCGAAAATCCCATGGTTTCTAAACCGGTTGTTTTTCCCTATGTTTTTCCCCTAAAAAAAAATCAGAGAAACCAACCCCCCATGGCCCCATAGCTGTAGCTCCTGTGCCAAGCATCGCCGTCTGGCCCCGTTGAATCAACTCATGCAGCACCGCCACGAAGAGCTGCGTGGCCAGGGGCAACGCGGTGCTGGGCCGCTGGAAGAGCTCCTGGTGGGCCAAAATCTAGGGGTTTTACGAAGCAAACTTGGGTAAGTTCAAGATTAGTTGGGGGTTTTATTATCAAGATAGATGAGGATTGATATTTAACCAGTAAAAGGGAGGTTTTTTTGTCGGAAATATGTTTTGTTTGCTGCAAGAGATGGATTGAATGCATAGTTCTAAAGGGAGTCTACCAAAGATGGGGGAACAACCAACAAGGGGTGTCAGACAGTACCAAAGGTTGAAATGAATGTCATTTTGGATACCCCAAAGATGGAATGAACTACCGCACATGACACCTGTCTTGCCAGGACCACGTCCAGCAGGACCTGGAGTTGCCTGGACCCTCCACCCCTCTCCTCCTGCATCTTGAGGCATTCTGCTGTAGAGGACCTGAGTTTTTTGGCAAAATTATCCCATCAAGGTGTACCCAAAGTGTAGCTATCGTGCTAGCTACAGTTCTAGAACATTTCACCAATGATATAAACTAGACTATAACTATCTAGTAAAAACCAGTTGCGCGTATCGTTGAATCTATAGAATCTATAGTTATAGTGAAGAAAATATCACTATAATGTCCGACAATAGTTAAAATATCTCTAATGTGGTACCCTCTGGTAAACTAACATAACTATAGAAAATCACCATGTTTCATGGGAAAATCCACTATAAATGGCCATTTTCCATAGCTATGTTAGTCATTACCAGAGGGTAAACCCAAAAATAAACCATCCATCAATAACATCAAAATAACCCCTTTTTTGGGTCATTCTTCATCATCCCAGTAGGATTTTTGTTTGGAGGAACCACGAAAACCGACCCAAATTGGGGATGGATTTTCTATACCCATGAAAAATGATGATTTTTTTGGTGCGAAAAACAGTGAAATGGCCTTTAAGCCAAATTGATCATGATCTCCATATTATAAACCAGAGTGTTCTTGCTGATGTTGCCTGAGTTTTTTTGGATGATTTCTTCGCTCCCCATCATCCGCAGCTCCGCCAGGGCGCAGAAACAGCGGCTCCTCCGTGAACAGCAGCTCCCCCCGTCGCACCGCGCTGGACGCCTCCAGGTGCCGTCCAACCGAGGCACGCCAGGCGCACCGAACCAGCGCCATGGGCAACGGAAGGCGAAGGGAGGACAGTGGACATGGGAAATCAATGGATCCTGGGCTTCCTTTAGTTGGTACCCTCTGGTAATAGCTGACATAGCTATTGAAAATGGCTATTTATAGTGGATTTACCCATTGAAAATGGTGATGTTCCATAGCTATGTTAGTTTACCAGAGGGTAAATATCCCTTTAGTTGGTTTAAATATCCCATTGATCCATGGATCAAAATGGAATGGATATCAATGGAAATATGATTGATCTGATCAATAGAATATTTAGTTGGATATCAATGGACATTTGGTAAAATGTGATCAATATTCCAAATCCAAAATATCCCAACGATGTCAAAATATCCATGCTGTAAATGGAATGGCAAATGATGTCCCATCGAATTGCAGGATAATATCCCGTCATCACCCAACTATATAAATGGGATAAAATCATTGACATAAGGTGACTTCAAGACATAGTTGGGGCAATGTGGTTGCTGTATGGTGCTGGGGATTGCACTGCTGTGCCCATAGAACATGGAAAGCAAAATTCATGTCAACTCACCTTTGGGACTAACTCATCTCTGGGACTCAGCTCTAATTGGTGTGTCCATTTACATTGTGTATAACTTTAATTTTCACAAACGTTGCAAAAATCCAAGCCATTTCCCTTGGTGTTCCGGAAAAAAAACGCGTCGCCAAGTTACTTTCGTCGATCGAGCCGAGAGCCAAGTTGGTTTACAACTCCAATAACTCTTGGACTTATGGTAGATATATCAAGATATATCGAACTAGTTCATGGGTTTATTAAAACAAATCATAACTGGGGGCACCACATTGTAGTTGGGTTTTCTTATTGAAAAAATGCGGATGTCGCATTGCCATGTTTCGTTGCCAGAGGGTACAGTGAACGTACTGCTTGAAAAAAGTAGATTTTTGGTCATTCACATCAGTCATAACATGTCATAACCACATTAGCCGAAATCCATGCTTGTTTGTTCCATTTCCAGGATTATAGGCGCTATCCCCAGAAACAGATGGAGGCTTTTCCAACTTTTTGGACGTACCCTAACTCTCTCATAACATAGTAATACAACACAATGCTCCTATAAATTGCTCCCAGTTGTCACCACGGTTTTTCTCATGTGGGTCACAAGAGATGGTACAAAAACAGTCCACTGGTTTGCCATGTTCTTTTTCTCCATCAATTTTGGTCAGTCCAATTGGGGGATCCCCTTTTTTTCTGGGCTATCCACCATGTACCCTCTGGTAAACGTTTACAAAAAAACTATGGAAAGATCCACCCTTTTTAATGGGTAAATCCACTATTTCAATGGTCATTTTCAATAGCAAACTGTTAAATTACCAGAGGGTACCAAGCCCATTGCTATCCGATTATCCAGTTCCATCCAGTTCGAACTGATCGGGATTTGTTTAACCTCAGAAACCAGTGGAAAAACCGGAAAAGACAGGGTTGCTGTGAGTTTCCGTCCTGAAACCCGAAACCCGTGATTGGTGGTGAAAAAGGGAAAATGATGTTCGAATCAAGTGGAATCAAAGGCTTCCACATCCAAACATTGTTATTCCACTGTATCCCCATGAAATTTCCATGAAATTCCTGTTTAACATATATGATATCCCCATCATATACATCCCTATATCCCACTATGTCACCATGATTGTCGATTTATCCCATCTATTGATTGCTGGTTACAACATGTTATGACATGTTATAACATATTTTGGCCCAAAATGTCCGATAAATCCCATGTATCCCATCAAGATCCCGCTAGTTCATACCAAAGTCACGAGAAAAATCCGCTGAATCCTCAAGAGAGTCATGACTGGATGCTTTTTCCTCCCATGAGCTAGTCAAATTCCCGTGAGATCCCAGTTACCCTCCGGTAATGACTAACGTAGCTATTGAAAATTGCCATTTATAGTGAGTTTTCCCATTAAGAATGGTGATGTTCCATGATTTTCCATAGTTATGTTAGTTTACCAGAGGGTACGCTTCACATGTTACACACCCAAGTGGTGTCATCCCAATCCTCCTGAAATTTTCCTCCAACATTTTCACGCCTGGGACTTTTGCAGCTCAACCTTGGAGACCTTGCGCTCCGCCGTGCGCGCCTCGCTGTCGAACTGTGAAGTTACCAGAGGATAGTGAGGATAATCTAGCATATTGTGATTCATCACTATATTTCATCAATAATCGTAATATTTATAGTAAATCATCTCAATAATCATCACTATATTTCATCAATAATCTAGTACTATTACATAATAGTGATGAAATATTGTGATGCTGATGATGATGATGATCCATGATAGGATCCATGATAGTTATTGTAAATTAACCTAACTTAACTCGTCATTGATTAATTTGATGACTGTTACCTATCTTTTTGGGGGTTACTATATTAGCCAATATTTGTGGATGATGAATTACTTATAGTATAATTATTCAGTAAGAATGCTTATATAATAGTTTTTACTGATGCTTTATAAATCTAGATCAATAGGCGTTAATAATAGTTCACAATTCAACAATGGTGAATACTAATACTGGTCTGGCTGATGGCGTTCATGGCCAATGGTGGTCAATCCAACCTCCAATTTATCTGGATCATTGAACTATTTCACCAAGCTGAAATACGGTCATTTTGACGTTTATTCTCCTTACTAACCATTAAAAAGTGACATCGCGGGTCGTGAAAAAGTCTATCTACTGTAGATATGTAGTACCCCCGCACAGATAGAAAAATGGAAACGACGTTACCAATATGACTCAGGGCGTTATTGTTGTTCTATTGGCGGTTACTATGTGTCACTATAAATACTTAAAACGATTCTTTTCTTCCGCCGCGAAATTGACATGCTTTCTCCACTTTTTGTTGACATCATGGAGTTTGCTTGGCCATTAGATCTCCAGTTAACTCTGGTTAGTTGGCAATCTGATCTTCGGTTTTTCCAACTACCCCAGATCTGCCACCGTGCCTCGTAGGCGGTCTGGTTGCACTTCTGGGACAAATCCTGCAAAGGGTAAAGCTGCCACACATCGTCACTCCATATAGACCGCTTTTTTGGTATGGTTTCCAAAAGGTAAATTGTGGTAAAAAGTCGTATATAAATAGGGGATTGTTTGTTGTGTTGTGAGATTGTGCTTTCCACACGAACGCATGTTTCAATCAAAGAATTGGTCAGGTTAATGAGTCATGATGTCCATTCATGTCCATTCAATTCTTCTTGCTGCTGTTCGTTCAACTACCACCACATCGCAATGATTCCGATCATTCAGCCAGTCTTTTGGGAGACAAACATGTTGGTGGCAATCACAAGTGAAGCACTTTGTGTAGCCAAAAATTGGGCTTACCTGGCTAGGTGACTAGGTGATCCCATTTTTTTCCATGGTAAATCACCATGTTCCTTGCTAAAATGACTCGATGACCCTAACCATCCCCTAAACTGGGTTGTTGTTGCTCCCATGTTCACCACGGCGTCCTCATGGTATTTGGCCAACAGGGCAACGGACCGATCGGTCATCTTCTTCTTCTCGGACATGTCTCGAATCTGGGGCGGCAAACGGGTGGTCTGTCCCCCTGTTCCGGCATTGTTGGGATTCATGCGTTGAAATCAATCGAAAAATCCTCAAATATGCTGACTCTGGTGGTTGAAATACCGAAAAGAGTCTTCATCTCCACCAGAATGCTCAATTTCTTTTCCCCTCAACACATCGAAAAACTGCTCCTGTTTGACACCGAAAGACAGACAAACGCGCCTTCTCCGACAAACGAGCCTCCTCTTCTTCCTGCAGCCAAGTTGTGTCAGAATCGGGTACACCCCAAAATGGATTTCCTTGAAAACAAATAGAGTATACCATGTACCCATAAAATGGCACCAAATGAGAAAGTATTCGTCATGGGATGCCACGGGGTACTATGACTACTACAAGGTCCAAAACCGGGATGGTCCACTGAGTGGATCTGTGAAAAAATTCATATCCCCCAGTTTGGAGATTTCATGAGAGTTATTCCCCATCAACTTTTCCCAAAACCATCCAAAATATCATCCAAAAATCCACGGATTTCATAAGGTGGAGTTATTCCCCAACCATCAACTGATCGAAAAACCATCCAAAAATCCATCCATTGAATTCCGCCTTGGAGCTCTTCTCCGTCTGAAGGCGAACCTGGCTGTTTCAATCCGAGAAATCCGCCAAACTGGAACCCTGGTTGAAGGCAGTCCACTGTCCACTGAACGGGTGATTGAATTGGAGGCGTGGCTTCAGTACTACAAGGATCCCTTGAAGCAAGTATTCATGCTTGGTCAAACTGATGTGAAGCACTGATACCTTCTGATAACTTCCATGTTCCTTATTATATATAGACATCCTCCACCATTCCCACTCAAATATCTAAGCTAAGGTCCTATCACAACTCATATCAGTTACCACTACTTCCCAACATCTCCCAACTCCTCCCCCAGGTCCGGTGTGATCTGCTCAATAATGTCTTTTCGAAATAGAGGGGCTGGTTTGGTATACCATTTATCATCACTTGCATAGTTTTAGATAGTTTTGGAATGTCTTGGATACATTGCAAATTATGTTTTGCAACGTTTTTGGAATGTGTTTGGAATTTGTTAGATTGACCAGCAGTAAGGGTTCCAAGGTTCCAAGGTTCCAGGGACGTTCCGGCTAGGGCCCGGCAACAGAGATTGAAACCCAACAGTGACTGTCGTTGGGATTTTCCTCTCCTTTGATCCATATCTATGGATATAATCAAACAATGCTAGTTAAATAATCCAAGTATGTCAAAATACGAAAAAAATATATTACAAGATCAATGATATGTGTATATATATACATATATATATACATTGGCATCTTTGGGAATCTTTCAGAAGTTCATCCTATTCATCCATCCCAAAACTCGCTGCACGTGCCGCGCCGAAGAAGTCGCGCCTTCTCCTTCTTGGCGTCGATCATCTCCTTGTCGAAGTCGGCCTCCTCTTGAACCTCCTGCGACTTGGTCTCCGCCTAGCACCATCTGTCGAGGATGAGGGTCATGTTTCTTGTGGTTAGTTGTTGATACTTAGTGATGGTTCTTATATATGGATCATTATGTATTGTTATTACATGGTTTATACTTAGTTTTTCTTGATCATTGTCGTTATTATCCACTATTCTTAGTATTTATTACCAGTATGATGCTTATCATGTATGTATTCATGTATATATATATATATATCTGCATATTGACATTGATGATGATGATGATGACGACTATGGGATCCAATCCACTCCCAGGACCTCCATCTGGGCAAAGTCCGCGGAGCAATCCTCCAACACCTGGGCGTTGGAAAAAAGGTGTCATTAATGGTAATGGCTCATGTAATAGCACTATTTTTTAGTAATAATAATAGTAGTAATTATTAGTAATGGGTAATTATTATTAGTAATGGTAATGTCAGAACAATATCATTGTGTCATGGGTAATTATTAATAGTGATAATAGTTACGTAATAACTTCAAAGTGCTACTAATGCGACCAATTATAATATCCTTATTAAACATAGTGGCACTATCAACCGGCTCATCCATCATATGTTTGTATATATGTGTATACAGTAATCCAATCTCCCGGTCATGTTAAAATGAATGCTTTGTTTGGCCCCAAAAATCATCAATCTCCAGTAGTAAACCAAGGTTTCGATTGAGTGGAAGGGATCCATCAAACCAACTAATCAGACATTTGTGAGTAATCAACTAATCAAACCAAAATGTGTCAATAATTGCTGAGTAATTCACAGAATGATGGAATCCTGTGGGAAATCAATCGACTATGGATGGCAGCTTCGCTCCTGGTTAAGAGTAGATACTCTGCAGAAAGGCTCAAGATTTGCTGATCAAGTCGCAATTCATCGATCAAAAGAAACAACCAAACAATACTCCATCAAAACTTTGAAACGAAGCACCCATCGGATAAAGGGCTACTGGCTGATCATTTTTTAGCCAGAAATTGGTACCATTAGCTGCTAATGTTAGTTGGGAACCTCTTTGAACCGTCAATGGATTTTATAGATTCACTGTTGCCATAAAACAGTTTCCTCTCTGGGCCACGTTTGGGGGATAATGGCTGTCCGACTAGTAACTTAGTACAGGTCAAAAATCAACACATATTGCGCAAACAAAATCCATGATCTTCAATACAAAATGATCCAGAACAAACTATCAATGTCAGCTATGATTTATGATACTCAATTCCTAGCTCCAACTGGCTCCCCATCTACCCGGCCTGGTAAACTGACCGTTTGCTGTTAAACATGGCCATAGATATAGTTGAATTGTCCATTAAAAATGGTGATTTTCCATAGTTTTTGGTATGTTTACCAGAGGGTAAACCTCCATTTTCCTATGGTTGTCCTATGGTTTTCCCATTTTCCCATGGTTTTCCCTTCACCCCACCTTGATGATGGCTTCCCCTGGACCCTTGCCATCCTCACGCGCGGTCCAGAAGATCTATTATGGTTGTCCCATCATGCGCAAACCACAACGGGTTGCAACAAAATCCCTATGGTTTGATGAACATGGCCAATATGGATATATCATCCGAGTTTGGACCATGGCATATATTGTATAATATATATATATGTAATGTAATGTAATGTAATGTAAGTATGTATATATCATATATATATATACATACATCATCTGGCAAGTCCTGAAAATAACCATCTGAAAAAATACTAAAAACTATTTGATAAAGCCAACAGAGGTGCCTGCTTTGGGGCTGAAAAAAATACCAAAATCTTCGTCAAAATTGGCCGGCCCTCGGCTTTGGCGATTTTGTGTGTGGCACTGGGCACTGGCCACCACTGGAATATCACTCCTATTTACTATGTTGGATAGAATATATACACATATATGTATGTGTATATAAAGATATAGATAGAGATATAGATATAATATAGATATAGATATATTTATATACATATATATATATACATACATATCTTATGCCATCATATACCTTGCCTTTCTATCTTTATTGGGGGGACCCAAATGCCGTTTTGACCCCAACCCGCCCCACCTCTCACCCCCATTCGCACCTGTCCGGTACCAGAGAAGCCTTTGGACCATGTTTCAGGGGCCTCAGAGGATAAGGGGCACTTGGTGGATCTTCAATGCTAGCCTTTGTTCCATAGCAGCGGCAAAAATCTGGAAGAAAATGTGAAAATGTGGTAAATACAAAAAAAAAAACTCACAGTGGCCACTATTGTTTTTGGGATATGTAAAATGATGACTTGAAAAAAAACAACAAACATATATATATACCATTGGAAGTAGTTCCAATCATTGATGGTTTATCTTCAACTATTGTGATTTTACCTGACCCCAAGTCATTTAAGGAAAATGATGATAAACTTTTCAGGTACCCAAACCACTATGAATTTTATATGATTTTTCCTTTTGTTTCCCATGGTTTTTCCTCACCTCTCAGATACCAAACCGCCCCCCATGGCAGCGCCTCAGCCACATCGGTGGGCTTTACGGACTGCAGCAATGAGGCCGCTGCCTCCTGAGGACGGGCTTCATGGGTCTCCCCATGGTTTTGTTGAGAGAAACCCCCTGGGATATATGGAGGTTTCCTACAGGTACCCAATAGATGGATGGTTTAGTAGGGGGAAAATCCCAAAAAGAAAGTGGATCATTTGCGGGGTGCCACCATTTTAGGAAACCTCCATATGGGTTAACGTTTGGGTTTATGGAGGATATATGTGTGTATATATATATAATTATATATGTGTATATATATATATATAACTATGATTATCTAGAATGAATGGCTTTCTAAACCAACTAACAACTAGAAAAAATATAGTAATGGGAAACCCAATGCCATAAACCTACCATTTTGGGACCGGTTGACTATTGGGTTTACCACATGAACCCAACAATGCATACCGACCCTGGAAAAAAAGTGTCATGGCTCATCTGCCTAGTCAGTTGTAGAGATCCCTGGATTGATTCGGTTGTTTCTCCACTTCATGAAAATCCTCAAAATCCAGGGGTAATCATTGGGATTATCATTATACCATAAGTTATCCTGGGAATTCATTGGATAGAACTTATCATTGGGTATATCATTGGGTATATCCACTTCATTGGGTATATCATTGGGTTGCTCATAGTTCTATCCCAATGATATACCCAATGATTTTATCCCAAAGGGAAATCCCAAACCCCAACCACGGCACCAAGCGCCTCATAGAACTTGTTCAAGGTTCCAATGGCGCCACTCAGGGCCTCTTGGGCGAGCTTGGCATCACGCAGGGCCAACTGATGCTCGTTCTTGGACTCCTGGCTCCGACGTGTGTCCGAACAGTTCAGGGGAAGTTCACCCAAAAAATGAGGCAGAATTTGAGATGCCGGGAAAGGAAACTAGTTTGTAGGATCTGGCCAATACTAAACCAGGAATTCTAGGGTGTCTTGTAGAATATTAGGTGGAACCCCTAAGCTCAGGCTAAAATGGCTCCAACCTTCCAAGCCCAAAGCTCATAATGTCCCTCTTGCAGTCGAGAATAGAGGGGTTGTGTTCAATCAGATGTTTGCATTCATAGTTCATTCGGAATTTCTTCAAATCTCTCAATGAAAAAAAACACAGTGGTCCATTTGGTCACCATTTTGGTCCATGTTTCACCATCCAAAATGCTACAGATCTCCCAATGGCTTTTCCCAGGCCGCCCCCCCAAAGTTCCCAAGGTCCCAAAGCCTGGCGGTCCATCTTGAACTCGTTGCTGCTCTTCTGCAAGTCGCTGAGCCGTTTGGTGGCCTCCTTGATCTCGCCCTGAAGCTCGGTCACCGAGCCTGGCAGCAGAATATCGGGTTGGTAAACCCACCACTGGAAGAGATGAAAAATGACCAGAATCCCCTGGTTAACCGTTTTTTTGGGGCAAAGTGAACATCTCCTGAGACTCTTTGATCTGGTATGAGAAAAAAGTATGATCTGTAGATCAAGTATGTTAGGATGACTTTGAACATCTTTGAACATCTTTGAGTATCTTGATGCAGCTTGCCACCTTGGGCGGACTGGATGCCATTGGTCAGCTTTTCCATGTCATCCTCCTGGCACCGGTGATCGGTGAAATTGGTGAAAACGGTGAAAGAAGGCAACGAAAGTCCAAGCAAACTACCCAAAAAGACAGCCAACTGAGTGCGCAAGGTCCCAAACTGGAGCCTCTTTCAAGAAAGTCATCTCCGAAATTGTGTCCAATGCCTTTTTTCTTGCTGGGGAAACCAGCCAGTTCAAGGAAGCACCCCACGTCCCCACCTTGTTGGTCTTCTGTTTTTTGGTTTTCTTCGTCTCAGCCACGCACCACTGCCACTTCTCATCCTGTGTCGCTGAAGCCGAGGACCAAGCTGGCTCGGGTGCAGAGCAGATGGGTCCCCCAATTGGCCGTTTGAAGGTGGAAAATGATGAAACTACATGGGATGATGTGATCTATATGGCTTGGGGGTACACTATTTGCAGACACTACTTGAGATATCTTGAGATACCATCCCAGTGTTGGCTGGTCAGGAAAGTGTTTTGTGTGTTTTTAAAAATGCAATGTATATTCTGTATATTATAATATAATAAAATAATATATATATATAATATACATTATATAATATATAACATATAATTTATATAATATAATATAATAATATATATATATATAATATACATTATATAATATATAATATATAATTTATACAATAATATAATATATATATAATAAAAATGATAATAATAATTAATAATAATAATGATAATAATATATATATTATTACTATAATATATATATACTATAATATATATATATTATAATATAATATATATATATATATTATTATATTATATTATAATATAATATAATATAATATAATATAATATAATACAATATAATACAATATAATATAATATAATATAATATAGTATATATATATTATAATATAATATATAATATTATATATATATATTATAATATAATATAATATTCTATTATATAATATATGTATATATTATAATATGTATATATATATATTATATAATATGTAATATACAATATATGATATATATAATATAATATATATTATATTATATATATACATAATTGTACCATATTGTACCCATGTCTACCAAGTTTCCGCTTTCCCGCTTTTCACATCGACTGTCGTCGGCCAGACGTTTTTGGCTCGCCCATCTCCGATCCTCTGTGGTCTGATCCTCACGCATCTTCCACAGCTGCTTCTCAAGCATGGCATCCACCTGCTGGGGATCTGCCAAGGCAAGTGGTTTGTGACTGGGTAAAGCCGTAACTATGAGATATGGTGATGTATGGTGATATTATGTGATATTGGCATGAGAAGTTGCCAACCATCCTAACTTCCGGTGGATGCCAGTAGGCTTCCGCACCTCCTTTCCCACGTCGCCGTCTCCTTCCAGCCGGCTCTGAACCTCACAAGGGCATCCCCGGCATAGCCGGCAGACACTGAGACTAGTAGAAGTATTGGTGGCTTACCCATCAACGTTGGGGCTTTGCCAACCAACAAGTGACCAGCCAAGGCCATTCGGGTTTAAGTAAACAAAAAACGCAGAGGGTCAACTGGTCAGACTTTAACTTTAAAAACTTCGGTTGGGCTGTCGGTCCATCCAAAATAGGTGGTGTCGGTGTTGCAAAACGCCGGCAATACGCAGTACAAAGGTCTTCCCTGAAACACAACGCAGGCAAACTCCTTATCATGCCCGTTTTTTTTCCTACTCATCCCAAGGTTGACTCAACTGGATCAGTCTGAAAACCCCATCCCACAGCCCCCACCTCCAGCAGTAAGCGCCTCAGGTCCTCGTTGTTGGAACGCTCCACCTCCCTTTGCAGCAGCCGCAGGGCCTGCGCCTTTTGGGCGGCAGAGGTGCCGAAAGTGCCATGCGACCTGCAGGGGCTTGGAGGGGTTTGGGGGGGGAAGGCATAGAATCTATAGAAGTTGTGGGAAATGGGATTTATTGAGGTGTGTGGTGTACATCATTACCCATAGGATCCATGTATGGTATATATGCTAATATTTGGGGTATATTGATGGTAAATGTTACCATATATAGCATACATGGGTCCTATGGGTTATACATCTGATATATCAAACTAATCAACTGTCAAGATTGCCAGGGCGGAATAGGCACCTGATCTGAATGAAGCTGGCCGGCTTGGCAGTGCGAACACCTGTCGCCTCAGTAACCGCAGCTTGGCTCTTCAAAAAAGCTCAAAACTTGGAGGCGACTCACCTCATTTTTCCAAGAAAAAGTGGACCTGATTGAAATCACGCGAATTTCGAAGCATCGTTTTTGGAGCATCCTGATGATCTTTTTTTTTTTGGATATCGGCAAATTTGAGCATCATCCTGATTGAACTTCGCTGCGCCTTCTGCAGGATCTGAATGCCAAATTTCATGGCCTGACTCTGTTAACCAAACGACCAACAAAAGCGGGCAAAGAACAGACCTACATGGGGATAGAAAAAATCAAACTGGAGACTTAACTAACTTCAGTTTGGACTGAAGCAGCAAAATTGGGTATCACGTTTCCAAACCTTGCCCCTTGGGACACGCAGAAAATGTTAAAAACATGGTCGACCTGAGGAGTGATCGAAAGGTTTCCCCATCATCATGTGCGAATTCCTGGAGGAATGGAAGCCCCAAAGATTTCTAGATTTCCTCATGGCCTCGGTAATCCCTTCCCCCGATAAGGCCGTTAAGGGGATGAAATCACATATTTATACATATTTGGGATCATCAAATGTGAGTGTTGATGAGTGTTTAATATTAGGGGGATGGGGTTTCATCATAAAATGTGAGGATCTCAGTTTCATATGGCCCAGCATAGGGCCCATAGGGCCCTTTTGCGCCCAGCGGCCTCCTGTTCTCGGCCTCGCATGTAGACCCGCTCCTGACACCGCGGGCCCAATCTTAACCTCAATGAGCAGCCCCTGAAATGCTCATATAACAATATAACATCATTGTAACCTTGTACGTCCTTGCGAAAAGTGGGCCTAAAAGGATGTTCCAAGAGACCCAGCATGGGTAACATCAAAAACACAAGTTCCAGTTTCAGACTGGTTCAGATCCCGAACATCGTCAATTTCTCGACAACCCCCAGCCTTGAACTCTGCAGCCTTGGTATCGCAGGTGGTCTTGGTGTCCGACAGACTCTTGGTGTCTTCCTGCGATCTCCAAAATAAAGCTGGGGGCTACTGTCCAAAATGGCTTTGGGATGTTTCGGATATTTTGGGATGCTAAAAACATTGCTGGAAAATCGAATCCTCGCAGAAGCAGAATCGATTTTTGCTCAGCTCTTTGATCAATGGTTGACCCAAGATGCCTCGCAACATCTCGCAACCATCATCATCCATAATCCAACCATCAATCAATGGCCATTTCAGGATCCTAAAATGGAGGTACCTACCATATATAAGGCCTATATAAGGCCTATGTAAGGGAATATCCCCAGAAACTATGGCCTTATATGGTACAGTACCTCCATTTTAGGATCCTGGAATTCCCATTGAATCAACCATCATCTATATATAAATTACCCCATTCCCCTGGTCTCCAGTCGCCTCCAAGTCCTTTTTGGTGGAGGTCAGTTTGGCGTCCAACTCGCTCAATTCGGACACCACAGCGGCCTGGATTTGTTGAGACATATTTTTCATTGTTGTTGGTTTCAACTGTGTGGTATCCGGTATGAAATGTGTATATAGATATGTATATGTGTGTATATATATATATAATCATGTGTGTGTGTGATATCACTACGAATATGTAGATATATATATATTATATATAATGTGATACATACATATATATATATATACACATATTATCTACTCTCATCAAAACTAATCCAATTGTATCCTGTCCTATCTTGTCTTATCTTATCTTATCTATCTATCCCTCTCCATTTCTGGTGAAGTAAATATGTCTGGCCAATGGCCAACTGGCCTTCACCTCCTCTTGCTTTGTCTTCGACTCGGTTGCCACCTGGTCACGACATCAGGGGGATCATAGAAAGTATGATAAGCAGCAGAAGGAACCAAGCTACCACATGTATCCACACCCTTCGCCTTCATGGCGTTGTCCCTGGCACCCTTCGCAAGCTCCTCAGTGGCCAAAGCTGGTGCTGAATCTCCCCAGGAACCATCAAACGTTTGGATTTTAACCAGCGAATAAGTTGATTTTTTTAGGGAGTTTAATGGAATATATGAAGCCATGGGGTGTGCGTTTTCAGGGGATGTAGATACCCCCAAGTTCTTCCCACTTGAAACGGCGAAAAGACACACAAGCCACCTGCCCACGGGTGTGTCTTTGTTGCTTCTAGAACAGGCTCCTTTGAGCAAAGGAGAGCCTGCTTTTGGCAACGGGTTCCTAAAAATCATACACAAGTTTCCTCAGTTTGCCCTACTAAAAAGAAAAAAGAAAAACACTAAACTCAGCAAGCATCCAACCTTTAAAGGGTCAAGATATGGGTCAAAATCACGTTGAGCCTTTCCGTGACCCCCAAACACTGCTTGCAAACAGAGTCACGTACTCCTGCGTAGCCTTGGCACCATCCTGTATGCAAGAGCCATCAAGCCATCAATCGACAAAAATCCGAAGAGACAAATGGAAGGTCGACCATATATCACATATATCAACATATCTATTATATATATATGATTATTCTTAGTATGGGATATTGTAAATAGAAAAATATTATATTATATAATGTTAGTTATAATAATAGTAATAACAACAATGATAATGAATAATGATAATAATCATACAAACAAAAAATGGGGTCATTAAAGCTCTCTCTATCAGCCCATCGAAAACCCCCATGTCGCCCCCCCCATCGAGCGCCTTCTCTGCACTGCTCAGTTTATCCTCAAAGTCCAATTTCAACTTCTCAAGGAGCTCGGTGACGCCACCTGTTCCATGGGCCCTGGAAATTTTCGGGCAGAACTACTCAATGGCTAATTCTTAGGCATTGACCCACCAGTTTTTGAGGCAAAAAGACATAAGTTGGGTGCTACCAAGGTTGCCATCCCAAAAAAAGGGTGATCTGGTCAGTTGCAACGGGCTCCCCATCGGACTGCTTTTTTGGGGTTGACGGTGGTAAACCCAATGCCATAAACCTAAAATTTTGAAGGGTGTAAGCCATGAATTTCTGGTGAATCCAACTGGGATATGAACTGGGGCCTTGGGGGATGGTTTCTGGCAGTGGCTTTACCAAGTCCATGGCTTCAGCCTCGCCCGTGCCCCCACCTGTCTTGAAGTCGTAGTCCTTGGGAGCTGCCGCTTCTTCCAACAGGGCCTCGGTTTTTTCAGGGCTCTACCAAGCCATGATCCCTTGTGGGCGGATAGTTACTAAGCAGGTATTACCGGTCCGTGGGATGATCCTCCAGGTATGCATATGTTAAGAAGTCAACAACCTTTAGAATTGGTAAATGATCCCACTCATGAGCAGTGTGCAGGCCTCGCTATTTCACTTGGGCCCTGTCTCATGTGGTTGAGTCCACGAAAAACATGGTGTATCCCCAGTATGTTCTCATGATATCTTCTCCATGGTTGGTATTTTCGCACCATGAAATGGCAATTTGTTGTGGTCCAACATGTTCGACCCACACACAGATCTGCGAACAAACCGCCAACATCTCGCGCGCTCACGCGCACGCACCGCGCTCTCTCTTTGCCACGCCCGCCAAGCGACGCTGTGACCCACAGTCACAGATGAATATTCGGTGGCCAATCGGGGCCGGATTCCAAACCAGGACGGTCGGAAATATCACAAGTCAAGACGTACTAAGTACCTTAATTTAATTGGTATCCGAAATTTGCCATTTTGTGTTTGGTGGAATCTGAATCTCCAAAAACAATCGAACCTGTAGGATGTTGAGTGGTTGAAACACGGGCCACAGTGTCCACCATACTCCCCGCAGGGATTCGCTTCACTTCTCGACTTCCTCAGGTCTGTGCAACCTCCCAGGCGAGAGACAAAAGCATGAGATCTGGGTAAAAAAACAAATTGGAAACCGGGTTGGCTCCTAATCATCTATCAAAATCATACGAAACTGAACATCTTTTAGCGACTTTGGAAGGGATGTCGGGGTCTTGGCAACTCGTCCTCCCTGTGAACGGGAAATCCACCAATGTCTCCCCCGCCTTATGACCCTCCCTCCAACTAACATAGACGCTGCCTAGTGGGGATTGGCGGTGTGTCTATGATAGTTGGAGAGGTTAGTTGTCCCATGATCTCCCCATTCTTGTTGGTTAAGTCACCATGAAAATCGTGGTAAAATTACCATATACCCACTATAAACCCACTATATACCCACTATATACCCACTATAAACCCATGATATCCCCATGATATCCCGATTCTTGTGGCTATGCTATGTCTGTTTGACTCTCAGTGTGCACCTGCGCCTCCATCGCGCCCGGTCTCGTTCCTCCGCTACCTGCCATGCCATGCTGATGTCAAGGGGATGGGGGAGATCACCGTGGAAAATGGGGAGATCACCATCCAGAATGCAGATGTTCAGCAACCTACATAGCTAAGTTGAACCACATAGCTTGGTTAATGTGTAGGTTGATTATGGGAAATATATAACTTTAGTTAATGAGTGTACAATAACCTTATCGTTGGCATCATAAGCGCTGTGAACCAATATCATTTTTGGTCATTGTTCATATGTCATATGTTCGAAGCGTGGTTTCAGTGTACGCTAGAGTTCAATGACCATTACTTACACAGGAGACTTGGGTGTTTAACATGTATCCGGGATGGCTTTATTGAGACAGTCAGGTTTTTTTTGGGGCTCCAAAACCTGTGATGATCAGCTGCAACTGGCCAGCTCTGAAGAATTGGGCGTTGCCTCTACCGTTTGATCAACATAATCACCATTTTTAATAGGTAAACCATCTATAAATGGGCCATTTTCCATGGCTATGTTAAATAACCAGAGGGTACATAGAAAAAAACATATACATCCTTTCATGTGAGCGTGTCTGAACATGGGCTTTTCCCGCACCCTTTTCTGGCCTCTGGATCCGGGAAAATGATGATTCACCAATGGCTGGTTTAAGGTTTTCCCTGAATTTTCACATAATTAAATGGTATACTCATGGTTAGTGGACTATTAATGGTATACTCATGGGTTAGTGGAATATTAATGGTATACTAATGGTATAAATCTCTGATTTCTTGGCTCCACCCAAAAAACCCTGCTTTGCATCCAGCTTCGCGAAGCTCCGAGACTCCCGGCTGGCCCAATCGGCACGCAGTACAGGGAGCATCGGACGACTTTTCAGGTCCTGAAAAAAAGTCCGGGTCGATGGCGGTTTGCAACTGCTAGGGGGATGGGAGATGATTGATCGGTGAGAAACTTTTTTTGAAACGTTGGGGGATCAAATGGAACAGTCTCCCACAAACGATGATCGTCTAATCAGGCTAAAAAAATGAATGCTGCTGACGAACAGAAGCGTTTTTCGAATCAAAAACACTGGACTAGGTCAAACCAGACACTAAGACCCATCGAGTTTTCAAAAGAACCCATACCTAATTATTTGATCTAGCTCACAAAAAAAACACAGCAATGAGGATCAGCCGCTTCCACCATCCTCAAGATACACAATTTTTTCATCAACCGTTGATCCTTGTCACCAATTTTTCTGCAATGTATTTCCGGAGCCGGGCTCCGAAACAAGGCCTGGAGACACCTTTTCACCAACCCCTGGCGAGGCCTTGATGGTCTGTGTCAAGGATTTGGCAAAGGCTCGACACCAGGCCTGGAAAACCCAAACGGGTGGACCAAACGCCTGGTGTAGTTCTGGGAGATACTTTCGGAGTGCTCAAGTTTGGCTATGACCAGTTGTGACCAGTTGGGTAAAATGTAGATTAAAATATATTATATATAATATATAGACATATATATATATATATATATAGATAGTCAAACATGATTCAATTGTTGGCGAATGTTCCCCATCATGTTTATGACATTCGATCACCAAAACGTCTCGTTGAAAGACATCTTTTTTGATACGAGTCTTCCCACAAATGCACCAGTTGCTCCATTTCGAAAGTTGGAAAAAAGGTTGGTAGACCCGCATCATGGGATAGTTTATAACATTTTATAACCAGAACGTCACAGAATATCAATGATCAGCATGTTATAAATTATCAATGGTTATAATCATTAGCATGGTTTATGATTATCATGGGATAATTTATAACCAGCTAACCCCAAAATAGCTGGTAAATGGATGTTCATCCCACTAAAAATGTATCTATAGGTATTGACCCATACCCATATCAATAGCTGTCATAAAGTTCAGCAGCCTCCAACCATCAATCATCAGCATGCCCCATTTTTTAGCCCAGTTGCTGTGGGGTAGTGATCTGCATTCAGATCCAAGGAGATCCACCTGGCTGCAAGGCGGCTGGACACTCAGGAAGGGAATCAACCAATTGGGAAAATTCACCAAGAACTGATGGGGTAGAAATCCACCTTGCTTCCACCCAGAAAATTCGAGTGTCAATCCAGAAAATGTTCGTTTCAATCCATGAAATGCGGACATCATGGATGTGTAGCTCAGCAAAATTGTGAAGTTTCAGCCACAATAGTCCACTGGTTGGTGAGTCGCAAATCCCCCAAGTCAATCCAACCAGATTCATGAACCCCTGCGCTGTTTCATTGGGGGGATCACGTCAAGCCAGTGTAATCTAGTAGCAGAATATTACTTTTTGGGTGGCCCCCCACTGGCCCACTCATGCCATCCTCCAAGCACCTTTCCAACATAGTTGTTCGGGGTTTCCCCACATCCCATGGTTTTAAACCTGTTCCCCTTGAAATTGCCATAGCTTGGGCTTTCCCCCCACTGCTTGGGCGTAAGCGAGCCAGCGGGCACCAGGCATCTGGAGCCTCCGCCGACGTCCATGTGGTGGACCATGATTTTTTGACATTTTTGGGAGGAAAAATGACGTATAGTGTTAACCATGTGGTAATAACCTATAACTATAATCACATAATTTTATCCCATGATGGGATTAAAAATTAAAAATCCGATGGTTTAATGTCATGTGTAATGGTCATCCCCAATGGGATCCTATGGGATGTGAGTAAAGCAATGGATCCACCATCCCTCTTGTCGCTGATTCGCCTCCTGTTCCAGCGTTAGCCGCATGGGTCGGTGTGCAGCTTTGTAACACCTGGCAGGGTCGAGGTCAGTGGTGTTTGATGAGTTCTTGTCTTGCCAGATGAAAGGTGTAATGTCAACCCAGCATGCATGGCAATCATCATTGATTTGGGGACCCACACATCCTGTTTCTTTCCTGCCTATGTTCCTATCTATCTACAAATTGAAAATACCCCCAAGTCCGTGTATCCAAGTATGAAACGACCTGGCAAATTCCAATGGTATGGGAATCAGTTTGCCACGTATTCAACTATGGTTCAAAATTAGGCAAGTAAAGTGAAAAGTCTCAACGATTGTTGGAATGTCATGTAGATATCATATCCTATTCGACCCATGTCTGTTGGTTGCGTGTCCCCAGTGGTTGAAAACAGTTTCAGGTTGATGGCATTTTCAGACATGATTAGCATTTAAACCTCTAGCACATTATCTGCCCCATCATATACAACCCAAATTCACATTGTCTATCATCATTTTCCCCGTAGAATTGCCACATGCTGGTAAATCCGCTTTTTGGGGACAAACCCATATCATGTGCAATAAAAAAAATATATACAAACGATTCATGGTCACGCTCACACTAGTTGTATAGTCCGCCCGAAAATCCCTTTAAAATCCCATGTTTTGTTCTATATTTCCAAAAAAAAAAGGGAAACTCAAAAAAATCCATTGAAAAGAAGCCATTGCTTCACTGCTTCAGTGGGGCTCAGCCGGCCCGTTTCCAACACGCCTCCGGCGGTCGTTTGGAGAGCCGCGACGTCCTCCATACCTTGGGAACCAACGACTTCACGGAGGTTTGAGTAAAATCCTACAAAGTAACCCATATTGCATGAAAATACTCAGAAGTCCCTTAGTAAACTTAGCTTCATAGTTGTATTGTCATATTCACGTTCTAGAAAAACCAGTAAGTTCCATGATTCGCATGGTTCAATCCATGTTTTTGATTGTTAGAAACCTGCCCAATGCGACTGATGGTTAAACTATAATAAGCATGGACAACGTGACCAAACACACTGATCATTTCACCCGCTGGTTATTTAACATAGCGAACTGCAAAATTACCATGAATAAGAAACATAAATCATCGGTTTTATCATCTATAAATGGACCGTGCCTTCCATTGCTATGTTTGAAACCCAGAGGGTGGATTTTTAGTGGTTCTTGGACTGTTGTTGCTAGGTTTCTATATCTTTTTGAAGCTTTTCTATCATTTTGAAACGTGAATTCCTACCAAGTGTGACTGATGAATTGAACCCACAAAAGGATAGATTTGGCTGAAATCCTAGCAAGTTGTGGGGTTTAAACTAACAAAGTTGGGGATTTCAACAACCGAATCCATAATTTCATTCGCACATGGAGTGATGTCCTTATTATTTTGTTGGGTGGATTGAATCAACAACTCTGCCCCTGAGTTTCTCATCCTATTTTTAGGGGAAAGAAGTGTCTTTTAAAAAAAAAGCCCAAACAAGTCGGACGGCAGATTGGAGTTACCCTAAAATGAAACAGCGGGAAACTTCATTTTGGTTGGGTTTAAGCAGCGGGAAACGGGTGTTAAGAGCCACCTGGGCCACAACGGGGTGAATCCAGCGCCCGTTTTTCCCTTCTGATCATCCCAAAAATAACAAAAGGCGCCAGGGAAAGCCACCCATGACCCAAGGTGATTGACCGTTTGACCCATTCAAAATGGATGGATCATCACCTAGGAATGGGTCAATCACCTAGGTCAATCCCTGCATTTAAGCTCTGATGACCTCAGAAAGTTGCTGCCTCTCTGTCGATAATGCTAAACTCTAACAGTCTGGGATGAGATGCCGCTGGGCAAATGACAGGCAGCACGTGGTGGCAACGGCCGGAACATAAATCGCTTGGGTCCAAAAATGAGGGATTACCCCTAATAGCCGATCATTGATATTACCCTCTGGTAAACTAACATAACTAACTATATGGAAAATCACCATTTTTCATGGGAAAATCCACTATTTCAATGGTCATTTTCAATAGCTATGTTAAATTACCAGAGGGTAACAATCATAGTCCTTATGAACAATGTCCACATCTTGCGGAAAACATGGAAAACTATGTTCCTTTCCAGAAAATCAAATGGCTGTCTGAACAATGGGGTAAAATTTCTGGTACCCCATAATCCAGTGGATTTTAGAACCTTTCTCCGAATCTTTCAAGGCCATCTATCCATGGGCCCAACAATAAACTGGACAAACCGCCCTTCCAGGGAACCCCGCTCATGAGCCCGGGTCTGCAGAAACTGCTCCCCCCGCACCTAGAGAAACGTCATGACAAGACGTTTACGGCAAGGGAGCTGGGGTTGGGGATGTGGGAAGGAATTGGTAGTAGCAGAAGTGGGGATTAGGAGTAGTAGCAACAAGCATCCTTGGCAGAAGAAATGGTATCTGCTCTTGGCAAAATATGCAAAATGGTGCTGAGGGATTAGAATTATATATCTAGAATTGGCTTGACAAACACTGTACTCAGCAAAAAAACAACACATTTTGTCGAAAAGACCAGCAACATCCAGCAACAATGTTTTTTTGCAACTTACCAAAACTCGTCTCAACCCGGCCTTGATCCTTTTCCAGAAGCTTTGAGCAAAATCACCAAAAGGCATGAAGGGAATCAAACCCAAAAATTCGCAGCGGCACAATCACTTCAACATGTCCAGATAATTAGTTGGCACCCTCCAGCCTCCTCATCTAAGGGGAGGATGTTCACCAAGATGTTCTGTGCATTGTTCACTGGATCAAAGATCGTCCACCTCATCACACTGTTGAGAGCCATTCTTCAGGAAGCCAAGAAGAATGGGAAGAAACATGGGCACCAAAACTCCAAAACCCAAGAAAAATGGGAAGAAAAATGGGAATGAGCCCCAAAAAACCTGTGTGACCTGCGAGCCTCGGGATTGAATCCTCGGACTTGACCCAACCCAAACCACCGCCTGCGATGACGGATGAGATCGGCCAGGTCCAAGCAGAAGCCCAACCTTTTTTTGCTGTGATTCATGGGGTGTCACAAGGTGTCAGGAAATTCATCCCTTCATCCCCAAGAAAAATAGAGTACAACAAGCGAGCCCGATGTGACTCAGAGTTACATTTTGCAGATTTTGCAGTTGCAACCAGTGATAGGTTCCACTTGCCCTGGCTGATCAGCCGTAGCAACCTGCATCCTTGGCATCCTTGGCATCCTTGGCATCCCGGACAAACCCACTAAAGAGCTGCACGGCACCGTCAGATCCTGAACGCACGGATCTGTGGCCTCTGATTCTTCACCAAACTTGACCAAGAAAAATAACATGACCTATTTGCTGAGCAAAACCATGGATCTAAACCCAAAAACAATTGTATACACTTCAGAGGGATCCGGAAAGTTATGGTTGATTCTTGATCAAAAATGCCGATATGACTCCCGAAGTTGGGTGTTTCACGAAAATGCGTTCACACCCCAACTGTCAGCACGTGATTCGATTGGCGGTTCGGTGAATCCTATGACATGGCCATTTTGGGGATATTTCGCATACCCCCCATGTTCAGAGAAACCACACACCCTCTGGGAATCGAACATGGCCATGGAAAAATTCCCCATGAAGGCTGCTGAGAACATCACCCCTGGTGGATTTTCCCGCCACCATGATTTTCAACCGGAGGGTAATCCCATCCCAAGGCCTATCCGGAACTAGGCCCCCAGGCCCGCCAATCACTAAAGAGACCCACCATGGTGTCGTTCAAGTCTCCATCGCGCCTAAGTCGGCCCAGAGTGCCTTCCATGGCTTGGAGGGCTTGGGGATTGAAGCTGCCAAAACGAGACTATACGAGACTATAAACCAGCCATAATCGGAATGGGGATATGAATGGCAAATGAATTTCAGCATGAATGTATAGAACCCTCGGAAAGATTCCGAAAAACTATGAAAACAGTTAAATTTAGCACTATATAGATGCAACTTAGGATTGTCGTTTAGACTTTTCTTCACCCCTTCTGATCCATTGGCGTTTTCACATCAAACTACGCGGTAAATGATACGTTGTTCATCCCCTCCGAAGATTGTGTCATAGCCTGGAAATTGGTTTTTCACCACCAATTCACTAGAATTGCCAGTCAGGATGATCTCAAGTGTTTTCGTATTGGAATGATCCATATTTTTCCCCGGCTTTTTTCCAGTGTCTGATTGGCATGATGTATTTCTTTTCTGATTTGGAGGAGCACTTGGTACCCCTCATCCATCTGATCAGGATCAAATCTGTCAGATGTCTATGATCATCTGGACTGTCTGTTTCATAGCGGAATATGCAGAAAAGGTGGGGTTGAAACAAGGACTCTGAGTCCCCTTGCATTGGAGCGTAAAAGGTCAGTGGCATCGTCATCTTGTCGGTTTTTCGTTCGAAGTCCTGTGGAGACATGCTGCTTTTCTCGTTTTCTCTCGTTTTCTCCCACCCACAGGCATAAATCGGCATAAACTCCAAAAAGATGGGATGAGAAGACCCTAAATCAAAAACAAATCCCACTGCCAAGTCCAGGTTTCCAGGACCTGTAGGACCTGTAGGACCTCTCAGGATCTCAGCAACCCTCCCTGATCAGTGCCCCAGCGCCTCGTCAGTTCCACCCTTGTAGAAATGCCTCCCGGAATGGGGGAAGTGGCGGAAAAACAAAAGGACGGAAAAACCAAAATGGTGACCCATGTTGATTCCGAACAAAAGATCGGAATCTTCTAGACACCCAAAAATAACTTGCCCAACACTCCTGCGAAACTGGCTGATGTCCAAAGAAATCACTTAAGATCCTCCAAAAGATCCTACAGCTTTGGTCCAAAAAAAAACATCGCCCAAAATCGGCGCCTGGTGCGTTGCTGCAGCCAGCTGGCTCTGAAGCTGGCAGCCAGTACCACGCCCAACAACACCACATCGAAGGGGATCTTATACCTATCAGGTGACCCCCCCAATAGACCACCGATAGCTGGTTCATCAGCCCTAGTGGTTCTTGGTTATGAACAAGCCGTGAGGCCTTATTATTGGGGGATCTCCTGCTAAGTTGCTGTTTGGTGTAATTTTGGGATAAATGGTACACCTAAGCCCATTGAATCCCAAACAGGCTAGACTCTAAGTGTATGGCCATAATGCCTCCAGTGACCAAAAAAAAACTAGTCAAGCAAGGTGGCAGGTGAAGCACAAAAAAACTGTGTCTTCACCAACAACATGAGGTGCAAACAGGGAAGCAAACAGAAATGACTAATGGCACGGAAGGGCTACCCAACAGAAATGAGACTGGAAAGAAGAACTAGCAACACCAAAGATGCGGGACTCAGCCGGCCGAAACATGAGGGACAATTGATTTTTTTGCCACCAAAGATTTAAAGAGTGAGGACCGCAAGCGAAAAGTGAGATTGAATCTACAAAAAGTGCGTTGCAGCTGGCCAAAAACTGTTGTTTTACCTCAGGTGGGATTCGGATGCTGTCTCAGTGGGGTGAGATCCTTGTCCTGCTCAGTGCCACATGACCCGAGTCAGCAATTTTGTGTCAGCATTGAAATGCGCTGCACAAAAATACCCAGGCTCTTTTGCTGGGCGTTCCCGCGCGCCCGCCCAATCGGCAGCCGCTCACAAACAAAACTGCAAAAGCGGCGCGGCTGCTGACCCACATCAGCAGTTTCCGCGCGCTGCCGACATCTGAAACGCTCACAGTTTACTTTTCGGTGCCTGTCAGGGCTGGAAAGCTCTTGCTCCCTCGGGAGATGGTGGTGTTGACAAGGATTCAACTGAGACCCATGAGATCATTATAGATCATTGAGCTCTGTAACATAGTTCCAGGATACTATATGATACTATGAAGCAAAATGCGTCGAAAACGATGTAATCCAAGATCATCTTCCATGGATTATCATCCTTGTCCCGACATAACCTTCACGTTGCCACCACCCGAAACAAATTATCTCAGCAGAGTAGGGGGTGTCCGTCCTCAACCTTCATTGCCCGCATTTTTGATGGCTGCAGGCTATGCGTAAATTACTATTGCGTGGTTGGGAAACTCGATTCGTAGCTCCAACTGGCTCCCCATTTAAAATGGAATATAATTGCCCATAGCTCCCTTCACTGCTCCCTCACAACCACCAGATAGATTGAAAGATATAGATCCTAATTATAGATATACATATATATATGTGTGTGTGTGTGTTTGTGTGACTATATTATAGATTATTGTAAATATATATATATATACAGAGAGAGAGAGAGAGAGATCTTGATAATCCTGTTTCCTATTTCTTGATGTCCCCATGAAAATGGCCATTTTGACACATCCAAAATGGTTTCGATGTCCTGTTTCCAGGGGCCCGGCCTCTGCATCGCTTGCGCGAGTGGGCTGTGGAATCACATCCTGGCCATGTCAACAGTGATCCCATCCCCTGAGTGATAGTAACAACAACAAAAAAAACAACAAGAAGAAGAACAAGAACAGGAATAATAAGAAGAACAAGAAGAAGAAGAAGAAGAAAGGAAAGAAGAAGAAGATGATGAACAGGAAGAAGAAGATGATGAACAGGAAGAAGAAGAAGAACAGGAAGAAGAATGATGAGAAGAAGAATGATGAGAAGAAGAATGATGAGAAGAAGAAGAAGAACAGGAAGAAAAAGAAGAAGAAGAAAGGAAAGAAGAAGAAGATGATGAACAAGAAGAAGAAGAAGAAAGGAAAGAAGAAGAAGATGATGAACAGGAAGAAGAAGAAGAAGAAGAACAGGAAGAAGAATGATGAGAAGAAGAATGATGAGAAGAAGAAGAAGAACAGGAAGAAAAAGAAGAAGAAGAAGAAGAAGTGTAGTAATAATTCTACAAATGTCACTACGAAACCAAAAAAAAACAATGAGAATAATAATAACAATAAGAATAGTAAGAAGGATAGTAATAATAAGAAGTAACATATAATGATGATAATGATAATCATAATTTATAATGATGATAATAACAATGGTAATCGAGAAAAATGAATAGTAATAACTAGCAATAATATGCAATAATGATAAAGTAGCGTTGATAATAATATAATAATAATAGATAAATAATAATGAAATAGATAGCAATAAATAAGAAGAAATAACTCGTTAGTAGTAGTAATAGTAATAAATATCAATAATAATATATAAAGAAACAATAGTAGTAGCAATCATGCTACAAGTACCAATGCAACCCCAAAACCAACAGATCCAGTACTAAACCAGGCTTCCCAAAGCATTCATCATTAGCGAAAGGCTTCTATCGCAGCGCCAACAAAGCAAGACTTCCCCCACCTGCGAATCTTTGCCCTCAGGGCTGCGCTTTGGTTTGGAGTGCAACTGCTTCTCCTCGCCAGGAAATCACAACATGTTGTCCATGTTGTCATGTCGACCAATTATTTGAGGGTACCTCCCGTTCATCGGCTCGCCAACCCATGCCTTGCTTTGGCTTCTCCAATTATCTAAGGTCTCAGAATGTCTCAGAATATCTCAGAATATCTCAGAATATCTCAGAATATCTCAGAATTGGTTTCTGGCAAAAAACGGTGGAAACTAGGGCCGGCTGTCCTGGCGCAGTGACTGGCCAATGGCTTGTCTGGCGGCCAAATCCAGCAGCACCTGGCAGGGACCTCCCCATGATTTTCGCTGTTACCAAAAACGTGGGGCCTTTAAAGGGGATCAGAATGGCACAACATGGCCATCCAATAAATATCAACATATATCAACCATCTTTGGCTTGATCAAGCTTATGGGCCACCACCAAGAAAGGGCCTTGTTAGCGGGTCCGCCGCCCCCTGATTCGCACCTCTTCAGAACCTCCAGGGATAGCGGAGGCGCGCACCTCGCGGTAGAGGCGCTCCACCAACTTCCCAGGGCCATCGCGCACCAGGGAGGAACCACCGAAGACCTGAACGGTGCAGGGCTCAACGAGATCCAACGGGATTTCAAAGCACCAAAGGTGAGATATGTGATGTAAGTTTGTTTAAGGTTTTTTGGGGAAAAATTAGAGGAAACCTTGGTTTTTGGCCATTCCGGTGGAAAGTTATGAGTTTTGGGGGCAACGGATCCAAAAGAGGTGAGGTAGAAGAAAGGTGGTTTACAGAATTGTTCATCTTGTGGGGTTTTCTGAACCTTTAAGATCCTTTAGGAATAACGACTCACCGCCGAGCTTACCACATCAGACATCCGTTTTCTACCTAATATTCCCAGTGGCCACCCTCCGCTCCCTCACAGCTGCACCTGCGAAGCTTCGCGGGCACAATATTCGAAGGTCTTGGAGGCGAACACCTTCAGCATCCCGCACTGTGCGCCAAGCTTGGCGTCTGGCACCCCGCACTTGTACCTGGGCCGCGGGTGCTGTGGGCCGAGCAAATCTCAGTGCCGAAATGAAGGGATACCTTGAGGGCTGCTACCCACTGGACAAGAAACACGGCGTGCTGGAAGATCCCCCGCCAGGATATTTAAATGATGTTCCCAGGCCATCTTAAGTTACTAGAGGGTGGAGATGGCCAACCACAACGGCAGGCAAGGTGCTGAAAGGCCACCCTCTCGTTGTAGTCATGGAGGGCCTCCACCTGCTGGGGCGAGCTTCAGGGTGCCGGGACGACCCTTGCAGTGTGTAGGGGATAAACAATTACTTTCTTCGAGTGATCCCCACCCTGAAACACTATTCTGACATAGTTTCTGACATACCATCTGGAAGTGTATACGGGCAAATTTATTCTGGCATTCTATCTGACATTCTCCCTGGCGTCTGGCTGAGGTCCGGCAGCACCCACTGAGATCTGGCACTCGCGGTTGAGGTCCGGCAGTGCCGGAGGAAAAGGACGAGGAGGAGAAAGCAACTCTAAAAAAATCTAGAGACCCTCACCTAGCAGGTGGGGAAACACCCGATGGTTCACTCTATAGGCCCCATCAGAGTGATCAGGGGGTGTAGCAAACCAGCTAAGAATCATTTGCTAGGTCCGATTCAATTTCCTGTGTCGATCAGTGAAGTGCACGTTGGTGATGGTCACAAATTGTACCCCACTTTCTGGTGGTTCAATCATCTTTTCTGCCATCTCATAATAGTAACCTCCAAAAAGGACAGAAACTGGTAAAACCATTTCTCGAATCTTTTTTTGGAAGGTCCCATATAATTATATACAGTCAAATACGAAGCCAATCAAACTATACTATATAAAATGTATTTCAAACATAGATGGATATATATATATATACATAATAACATCCATAACTGTTTGGTGTTTTAAATCATCCCAAGAATATGCTCATCATCTCAACCAATCATCCCAAGTATAGATAGATGTCTTCATAACATCTATATTAATATATCTACCTCTGTAATACTGTATAGTATCTACATTTTTTGGGTGCGATGTTATATCTACCTATTTGTAACCTGTATATATTTTACTAGGAAAATCAAGTATAGTATCTATAATATCTATACATCATATCTATTCATGTACTAAAAAAATATACCATCTGGTTATGACATTCACAGTTCGCCATGGAAAGATCCACCATTTTTAAGAACGGTAAACCATCTATTTCGATTAGGGCCATGGCTTCCATAGCTATGTGAAATAACCAGAGGGTATATCATATCTATTACCATAATATCTATAATATCTATTACCATCATATCTATTACCATATTACCATCACATCTATTACCATCTATTGTACTTAGTATGGTACTATAGATATACATAACATCTCCAAATCATCTGGGCCACCTGTCGCAGCATCTCTGCCAGCTTCCAGCGGATCATCTGATGCTCCTGGGATCCCCAGGATCTGAACCCAGGGCTTCGGAAAGACGTGTTGGAAATGTTTTGTTGTGAATTATTGTAGGTGTATCAAGGGTATATATATATAGAGAGATAGATAGGATAGGATTAGGTTAGGTTAGATTTAGATTTAGATTAGATTAGATTAGATTAGATAGATAGATAGATAGATAGTTATATCTATGTATAAATGTATGTGTATATATATATCAATACATATATATATATATCAATAAATATATATCAATCAATATATATATATCAATACATATATATATATCAATAAATATATATCAATCAATATATATATATCAATAAATATATATATATATATCAATATATCAATATAGATATGTACTCTGTGGGTGTGTATTAAATATACGTGTATATATATATATATTATGTAAATGAATAGGTTTGCAAATATCATTTTGCAGTGGGAATCGCACATTGAGATCCTCATGCTCCACGTTCCTTCGGAAATCCAAGGCGCATAGAGCGGCTTTCCGAAGGTCTTCCTCCTCAAGGAGTACTTCCTGAGATCGCCACTGCGGCAACCCAAACGAATAATAACAGTAGCGTATATGTATCATGAAGACCATCCCCAAGTCAAAAAAAAAAATCGAACCCGATGTTGTTGAAATTAAGGGGGGATGCCCTTCAGTGCATTGACATAGATATAGAAAAGCCACCATGAATATAGATCATTGTCCGAATGGGAGACCCATTCGGATTTCCGTTTCAGCCACGGTCAAACATTGGATTGTGCGATATGATTATATATATATATATAAATCCAGTAAAATCCAATATGATATACCTATCTTATCCTGTCTTGGGGATGATGATATCCCCAATTAATAAGGGGATAAAGATATCCCCAAGCACCACCACCTTTTTTTACCACCGAGGCTCAAGGCTTCAGCGTAGCAGAGCCGCGCGAAGCGACAGGTGCTGGCGGAGATCACGAAACGCTCGTGGTTAAAATTCAGCAGAAGATACATGAAGCCCTGACCTGCGGATGGGATAGGATTAATGAGATTAGAATAGATTAGATATCGTAGATTGTTGATGGTGGGATTGATGATTGATGACATTTAATGAGACCTAAAAAATCGTGGTATGACTTGATGGGATGAGTGCTATCATATTTTCCACCGCATGGGATTCATAGGGATAGAAATGGCGACAGGCCTGCCATCAGTGATATTCCACGGGGCCCCGAACCACCAGCTAACCATTGGTTGATATATTATGGAGATTTAGCCAAATTATCAACAGTAGGGTATAAATGGATGTGGTAGGATCTACAACCATGGGGATGTTCTCTTTTTCAAACAACCAGAAATGGTGATATTTATATATTTCAGCCGTTTAGCCAACCAAAAGTGTGGATATAGAGATGTAGTGGAACAATGGGATATACACCCAAGCAATATCGAGGAACAGGTGGTGATTTTTCATGATCAAAAGGAGAAGGGTAACAAGATACAAGTTTGGAGGAAGTTATACCTGTGGGCGATGGACAAATTTGGGGAGAAGATGGGATGGGAATTTCACTAGGCATAAGCAAAGCTCTGGCCTCCATCAGAATCGGGACCTGGGATCGTTTTAAATAAGGTTCGTCATCTCTTTGGGACTTCAACCAGCTTTCACGTTGCATGATTTTTGCACTCAACCCCACCGTCACATCTACTGTAGAACATGATCCCAACAAAATAAGCACCTTTCATTCTCACTGCCAGAGCCAAGACCCTGAACCCCCAGCCTTCCTGACCAATGAGGTTAGACTTGGGCACTCTCACATCTTCGAAGTCCAAAAAGGTTGTTCCATGACAGCTGTCAAACTGCATGTCCATCTTCCTGTGCTTTCGGTCAGCCACACGGCGGCCACAAGGCCTACAATCAAAAACTGCAACTGGAGCCGCTGGATCCAGTTGCCTCTCAAATCAACTTGGAACTTACCCTGGTTATACTATGCTATTATACCATCTAATAATGATATATAGCCATATCAATGGTATATCTATAACATGGTATATATATATACTATACCCTGGTTATCTATTATCTATGCTATACTATTATAGTGATATTCCCCATTAATATACCATTATGCCATTATAGATACCCTCTGGTAAACATAGCCATAGCCGTGGAAAATCACCAACCTGGCGATCGAACTGAAAGGGCCATACCGTGGTTATGTTAGTTTACCAGAGAGTATCTGTAGTGGTATATGAATGGGCAATATCACTATAATAGTATTAGTATATAAATAGATAAAATAGATACATCAAGATCTAGACTTATTTATTATAGAATGTACAAAGCCTGCAAGGCACGAAAACAGACAGCTGATGGTTTATCCCACTATAATCCCATTACTTGCAATGTCTTATAGTTACCAATAGTTGCCAAATGGTGCAGGATTTCTTCCACCCACAGCATCTTTGGTAAATCCCATCAAATCCTAAATCATCTTAAATCCCACTAAATCCTCGTAAACCGTAGTCAATCCAACCCAAAATCCCAAATCAACTTGGAATCTCTCCCATTTTCTCATCGACCCAGTTCCAAGTCATCCCCCCAACTCGTCGGTCGGTCCTCACCCTGAAACCCGGCGTTTTGGCATCCACCAGCAGCAAAGAGATGCCACCGGGCCCGGCTTTGCCCGTGCGCACTGCCAAGGTGAAGAAGTCAGCCCTGGGATAATCATCCAAGGATCCATGGGTCGGGGGATTTTAATTATGGCTAATTATGGGATTTTATCAAGAATGTATTGGCATTTTGTGGGGAATCTATGGGATTTATATGACAATTTATGGGAATTACTAAGGATGTAATGGGGGTACAACCAACAAGAATGGGATGTAAATAGATTTTATGATGATTGGATAATCAAACATGGCTGTGAAATCACCCGAACGAAATGGGGGGTTATAGCTGGGAAAATCATCTATGAACAGCGGATTTTCCAGCAAACCATGTTTGATTACCCGAGGGTGATCATCCTCAAAATCCAGTGGTTCGCAAAGAAATTTATTTACATTCCATGCCACTATTTCCCCACAGATCCACTGTAAGAGATCAAAAAAACCCTTACAATATGCGGATGCAGTGGGATATATAACTGTATAGTGGAAAAATTATAGGGATATAATGAAATACAAAAGAATATCAAACAGCTTACCAGCTATCGGAAACCGATTGGAAAACCCACAAATAGTTGGGACATGGGACCCCGAACTATGAATTATGAAAATCTGCGGGATATTGAGCAGTACACCGCCCAAAATTATCGTCAACCACTGGTTTTCACAACATTGCTCAAATTGAGGCTGATATTGACCATTGACCGTGGATTGATCAAACCCCTGGTTTTTCCATATTCGGGACGTCGTCACTTTTGGGGGTTGACAGGTTGACATCATGGTTCATCAATCGACTTGTCAATGGGTAACGTTTGTAAATGCACATACTTCACAAACATTGTTATCCAATACCATGGTTTGGAATGGGGCATCCAATATATCAATTGTGTTTTCACTCCATGTACACGCTGATTTTGCATTTTGCTAGTTATCAGATATGCTGGTATGTCAGTTTCTCTGGATGCATTTGGAAGCTAGAGCTGCGGAAATTTTCATGGTACGACTGATCAAATAGTCAACTCTGATCTCTTAGTAAGTCCCAATAAGCAACAAAGAAAAATACACACCGTCTGGCAATCATGAATGGCTGGCTAAGTTTTCCATCACCATGCTTGATCACCAGAGGCTAGATTAGTTGTCCGGGGAACCAAGGCTTGCATTGTTTGTACCTGTATTTGTGATTCCCAGGATTGGCCTTCTCTATTGATTGGCCCGCAAACTCCCAATAATTCCTCGGTGGTACGCTGCCGAATGATTGCCAGGCCCACTACGATTGGAGGCCTATCCTGACGGCTTGCCTCACTTGTCGACCCGCGAGGCGAAGTGGGTGGAGATTGACAACAAAGCCTGCGACTACGTGCTCAGGGAGATCCAGCAGCTGGGGGACAGAGGACGCGGGAGTGTCAGGGAGAACCCCGCCAAGTCCACTGCCGCCACCGTTTCACACAAACAGCTTTCTCGCCACGGAGGACGTCTTTGTGTGTCTCCAAAAGCAAGGAACAAGCACACGTACAAGAAGCAGGGAGCGGTAGGGCACGCAAGGTGTCCACAAAAGGCTTCACTTGGAAAAGCACATGCAAGGCAGCCCCCAAGTGACATGATGGCAGTTAGCAACTGGCCACTGGCTGATCTCGTCAATGTTGTGCCTCAGGAGCTGGTGTTTGCACCTGGGCTCCCCCCAGTGTGCAAGCTGCATAGGAGGTGAACCTTGCCCAATGGAATGTGCGGCATGACTGCTTGCAGTGCCACCCCAATTGAAAGGCGTGTTTCAATTGTGTGGAGCGAGGCAGCATTGTTGGTCAATCCTGCATTCGCCTGCTGCCCCAAGCGAATTATGCATTTCGCCGTCGCGTCCACCTTTTTGGGCGCGTCGTAAACCTTCTCGGCTGCGACGGCCAAGCGAGCCAGTGGGGTTCTGCCGAATTAAACGCGAGCTGTTCCGCACTTTCAGCCATTGTGGCGAGAACTGTGTTTTTGGCACCTTCAAAACATGCTCCTGTTACTGCATCACGCTGCGCAACGGAACTGGATCTTTTTGATTTTTGATCAACAAGCCTTTCGATTTGCGACCGTGCGACTTTGAATTCAGGCATGCCATTGCCACCGTATCAAAAGGCGGGAGAATGAGAATATCAAAAAATCCCCCATCGTAATCACCACCACCCAGCGCGACGCAGCCGGAGCCGCGAGCCGTGCACATGCAGCAATTACCCGGAATAACCAAGCTGTTCAGGAAGATGGCGGGCTTCCCACAGCTGGATGTCCGTAAGGCTGCATGACAGGAAACCGCCAAACAGCGAATTGGCCAACCCAACACTCACCATTCACAATGCGGTGGCATTCGGTGGCCTGCCATGCGGACAGGGCAAGCTGGCGACTGTGACGGTGGTGAGCTTATCCACTTTCTAAGATTGCTCTGGGGAGGAAGGTATGTGTTGTCAACACGGTAAATATATCGGGGTTCCATTTCATTATGTGAAGCTGTGCAGGAGTTTTGGAGCGGTCTAACTTTTGTGCATAGGGCCTCAGACTTTAAAATGCACAAAAACAATGAAAACTGGTTCTGCAATAAAATGCCTTGCCAGCAAATTCATGCCCGAATGTGCATCCAACTTCATCCAATTTCGAAGACCCTCAGAAACGCCTCTTTAAAAAGGGGTCAGGAAATTCTTTTTAGATAGGGGTATTTTAGAGTGAAGGTGCCCAAATATTTAGTGTTTTTCTTTTTTTATAGCATTCTATAGCAACAAAATACGGTGGCATTCTTTCGTGGCAATTCCTTAAAAATCCTTTCAATTCCTTAAAATTCCAGAAAATTCCTTAAAAGTCCTTAAATATTCTTTAAAAACATCCTTAAAAATCTTCCAAATTCCTTCAAATTCCGTCAAATTCTTTTAAATTCCTGAAAGTTCCTCTAAGATTCCTTAAAATTTCTTAAAACTCTCTAAATGCCTTAAATTTCCTTATAATTCCTTTATAACTCCTTTAAAATTCCTTAATATTCCTTAAATTTCCTTATAATTCCTTTAAAATTCCTTAATATTCCTTAAAATTCCTTAGAATTCCGTCAAATTCCTTAAAATTCGCTGATCTAAAATGACATGCCCAATAAAATCGATATAAAAAGATCCTGGAAAAGCATTGGTTCCATTCTGCAATAAAATGCTCCAAACACACTTTTTTTGCAATAAAATGAGAATGGATTTTTAACATGTTAAAAATCATCAGAATTTACCTTGCCAATAAAATGCTCAGACCAACCCCCCAACAACAAAATGACTAGCCTGACATCAATTCTAAAATTCCAATACATTAAAAAAATCGTTTAAACTATGCACAGGTTCACCAGTTCAAGAGTGGAAATTGCCACGGGGATGTAAATATATACAAATATAAGGATGGGAAGATTAGGATGAACGACGAGATCAAGACGTTTTTTAATGCACTCTTCAAAAAAAAAGGAATGAACTTCGAAAACGCTATGTTAATATAGAAGCAAACACCATAAAACCCAGAAATAAAAAACAAAAACAGATAATCTCGCAAATTGATGGACTTGGACAAGTTCAAAAACACAGAAACTAACATTTTAGCGTTATTGTCCTGATAAAAAATGCAAAGACTAAGAATAAAAAGTCAAAGGCAAAGACAAAAGTTTGTCGACGCGTTCATCGGCGCATGAGGTAAAGAAATTGTTAGTATCGAGATTGAATGATGTATGTTTTTGGCAAAGGTTGCCATTACTACAACACTCGAGACTCGAGACAGGCCTTCTTGCCTTTCTCAAGGAATCTGTTGACAGAAAGCAATACACTATAAGCGACAGGATGACAGGATGATAAGGCATCTTTTGGGAACACACCGTCCCTCCACATGTCCGTCAGAAGAAGCAAAAAACAACAGCCAAGTATACTATATGATGCTAAAACCACATCATGCGGTTCAGAGCACGGTCCTTCCACAGCTCGAGGATCTTCAAAGCGAGCCAGAATACAAAAGACCAACGATCGCCGAAAAATGGCATTGAAGTCTTTCTTACTAACCTTTTGGAATTCGAACACGATTAGCTTCCAGCCTTTTCCAACCTCTGCGCTCAATCATACGGGTGCGCAAGCCGTATGGCTTGCGACCCGAGATGCCCTCCGCGCTCATGAATTTCTTGTATACATTAATATACCACACGCGCACACGCACGCGCGCACGCGCTCGCACGCACGCACGCACGCCCACACGCACGCCCGCACGCACGCACGCCCGCACGCTCGCATGCCCGTACACCCGCCCGCACACCTGCCCGCCCGCCGCGCCCGCCCGCACGCACGCACGCACTGGACTGGTTTTAAGAAGGGGTGTGAAATAGTTTTAGGATTTTTTTTTGGCGCAGGTTTGGGATTTTTTTGGATTTCTTGGCTGGTACCATTTGCCTAGTGTTTGCAACGGTTTGGAACTTGAATTTGTCATTTTGCATGGTATTTGCCACATTTGGGCATGGTCACCTTCCATTTTGCATGGGATTTACTACATGTGGGCATGTTCACCTTCCATTTTGTATGGTATTTGCCACATTTTGGCATGTTCACCTTCCATTTTGCATGGGATTTCCTACATGTGGGCATGTTCACCTTCCATTTTGTATGGTATTTGCCACATTTTGGCATGTTCACCTTCCATTTTGCATGGGATGTTCTACATGTGAGCATGTTCACCCAAATATTTACAGATGCGGAAGCTTGGGATTAGATAAAAAGCGGGTGGGGGGGATTGAGGGAGGGCGCTAGCTATCTATCCAGCTAGCTAGCTATCTAGCTATCTAGCTAGCTATCTATCTAGCAAGCTAGCTATCTATCTAGCAAGCTATCTATCTATCTAGCTATCTATCTACCTATCTAGCTAGCTATCTTGCTAGCTATCTATCTACCTATCTAGCTATCTAGCTAACTATCTATCTAGCTATCTAGCTATCTAGCTTTCTATCTATCTAGCTATCTATCTAGCCATCCAGCTGTCTATCCAGCTATCTAGCTATCGAGCTATCTAGCTAACTATCTATCTAGCTATCTAGCTTTCTATCTATCTAGCTATCTATCTATCTAGCCATCCAGCTGTCTATACAGCTATCTAGCTATAGCTATCTATCTAGCTATCTATCTAGCCATCTATCTATCTAGCTATCTATCTAGCCATCTATCTATCGAGGTATCTAGCTATCTATCTCTCTAGCTATCTATCTATCTAGCTGGCTATCTATCTATCTAGCTATCTATCTACCAAGCTATCTATCTATCCAGCTATCTATCTATCTATCTATCTATCTATCTATCTATCTATCACATGTAATCCTGTCAGCTTTCCAGAGAAGGTTAGTTCGCAAAAACCAACTAATGTAACTTGGGTTTAAGTTTAAATAAAAAAAAGCGGGAGGGGGGGATTGGGGGGAGGGCGCAGCGCCTCCCCCCAAAGCAGAATGCAAGCACCTCTTCTCACATGTTACGTTGCTAGTTTTCAAGAGAAGGTTGGTCATGTGATACTCAGGGATGTAAATACTTTTTTATCTTACATGAAAATCAAGTATTTAAAGTAGGCAAAGAAACAAAAAAGCAGAGAAGCAAAAAAGCAGAGAAGCAAAGAAACAGGAAACGCACAAAAGCAAAACAGCAGAAAGGCAAAGAAGCAGGAAAAGCAGAAAAGCAGAGAAGCAGGAAAAACAGGAAAAGCAGAGAAGCAAAGAAACAGGAAAAACAGAAAAGCAAAAAAGCAGAAAAGCAGAGAAGCAGAGAAGCAGGAGAAGCAGAAAAGCAATAAAAGCAGAAAAGGCGAGAAGCAGGAGAAGCAGAAAAGCAAAAAAGCAGAAAAGCAGGAAAAGCAGGAAAAGCAGAGAAGCAGGAATCCAAAAATAATTCCTAAACCTGACCCAAAAAAAAATCCTAAAATAATTAGCCCTCCTGTAAGAAGTGGAGCTGGTTCCAAATTCGCCGCGTCGAATCGTGCGTAGTTCGTTCCGCAGGGTTTTTACTTAAGATTTGGGAGTTCCTACCTGATAGAGGATACGCGGCAGCTCCTCGAAGACCGGGTCGAGGTTGCATCAATAACAACGCAGTCGAAGCATGATGACTGTCTGTGCATATGTGAATATTAATAAAACCTATATATGTATGGGTTTGTGACCACCAGCTGCGACCGCTGCGCAGGTGCGTCACTGGCAGGTACGTTTGCACGACAAACTGGAAGGGTCTTCGTCTTTGCCTACAGACACGTGCCTTGCCCGTGAGGAGCACCCGTTGAGCTGCTCAACCTGCTTGCGCGTTTCGCCCTCATTCCACCAGATGTTGGGATCGAAATACGCAAAGTTGGCCCCGTACATTGCCTGCGGTCGCTCACACTCTGTGCACGGGTTGCGGCTCTGCAGCTACATCAATCATTGAAATTCAACCCATCACCATCACCCTTTTGAAGACAATTTCCCTCCTGCCTGAAGATGAGCTGAATAATAAAGAGATTGCCCCACACTTCCTGCAGAGAGGGCCGATGAAAATACGGACGACGTTGAGCCCTCGCTTGGCCAGAGCTTGGGCAGCTTGGCAGCATTTGAACGCCGGAATGTTGCACCAAAATGTCTGGCGGTAGAATCTGCGAAACCTTTCCAGCACATCGGGGGGCACAGATCCTGTCAGACGATGTGGAATTCGTAAGCGCCCTTGATATCAGACCGAGCTACTTGGCACATTCAACGTCAACAAGCAACCCGCATTTTGCAACTGTTGCAACCCTTTTCAAAACACAGGACCTGCCTACCTGTCTTATTTTTGTTGAATTTTCGAAGCCGATTGGGCCTGACGGGCCACGCCATCTTCGCTTTGGATGGCTGGTTTGCTTGATGAGTAATCACACACCGTCGCAAATGATGCAACTTCACATGACTGTTTTCTTTTCCTATTTGTGTCCACGCTGCTTTCGCTGCTGCGCGCAGTAGCGTGCGCATTTTGCAAGCTGCGTGGAGCTGCGGCACCCAGCGGGGCGAGGTAGCTGTCCTGGCAACGATCCTTTCACCTCATCACTTGGCACTCCATATCACCCACCAAACCCCAAAATCCCAAACCTTTCTACCCATTACACTCCCAAGTCCCACCATATCCGCAGCCAGGCCGCATGTGGCCACCCGTGATCCATTTCTTCTGTCCATTCACCACATAGACGTCTTTCTCCAGCACCGCAGAGGTGCGAAGGTTGGCCACATCCGAGCCGGCACTGGGTTCGCTGATGGCCAAACTGATGTTCTTGCCTCTGGCAAGAGGCAACGGGTGGACAACAGGAGGCGCTGGGAGATTCCCCTAGATGAGTTGAATCCAGAAAAGCTGAAATCAAAAAAAAGAAGAAGATGATGGTGATGGTGATGGTGATGATGATGATGATGATGCTGCTGCTGCTGCTGGTGGTGGTGGTGGTGGTGGTCAGGGTGATGAGGATGAGGAGGAGGAGGATGATGATGAGGATGGTGCTGGTGCTGGTGCTGGTGCTGGTGCTGGTGCTGGTGCTGGTGCTGGTGCTGGTGCTGGTGGTGCTGGTGGTGGTGGTGGTGGTGGTGGTCAGGGTGATGAGGATGAGGAGGAGGAGGATGATGAGGATGAGGAGGAGGAGGAGGAGGATCACTACATGCTTTTTCCACTAAGCAAATTCAGCAGTTCCTGGAATAATGGGGCCGGGTAGTGGAAAATCGTCCAATGGGGTTTAAAATGATCACAGAACTGAAATAAATGTTAAAACATGTTAAAACCTAGCTCTTGAGTATTGATGTGTTAGAAAATATCACCAAATGGATACTATCAATCATCATTGATCATGGGAAAATTCACTATAAATGGTGATTTTCAATAGCTATTTTGACATAACCAGAGGGTAACCCATCAAAAAAATCCTCCCCGACTCCTCCGCCAAGTCGCGCCCGTGGATCACCTCCTCCACCACCTGACTCTGCACTAAAGGCGACCCGGCGAAGAGCACCGGCGGCAGCGCCATGGAGTTGATGCCACATTGCCCCAGGGCACCTGCCGGTGCTGTCCTTGACCTCCAATGGTATAGGGATGGTTTAAAGCCATCAATTGATGGCAATGTTGATGGTTTATCATTTTGGGTGTAGCGTACCATTGCTGTTGATATCGATGAACATGGATGAACATGATTGACTAGGGGTAAAATGAAGATGAAGAAAGTGGTCTTTTTGTGCCTTCTCTAAGATTTTGCCAGTTCTCGGAGATGTTGGGTTCTTTGTTTGATCAAGTGACTCCTGTCTTACAGCCTTACACTCCACTTCTCGTCCCTAAACCTGGTGGAATCTTTGATCTATTCATTCTTGGGTGCCAAAAAATGGAGCATTATACCCTTGATTGCAATATCATCAATATTGTCATGATGGACAACTATCAACCAGAATTAACTTTGAATCAACCGTTATAACCGTTATCAACCACGTTCTCAACCTTTTTTGACCATTGTTGACCATCATTCACTCATCAATCATTCTTACAGAAAAAATGGCCCAGTGAAGCCCTACCCTCTGGTAATTTAACGTAGCTATTGAAAATGGCCATTAATAGTGGATTTTCCCATTAAAAATGGTGGATCTTTCCATAGGTTTTTGTATGTTTACCAGAGGGTAGGAATCTTGGGGGATTCCAGGGGGCCTCCAGGTCCCACTGCGGCCAGCTCATCCAGATAGATCAACTCATGAAAGGCGTCGAAGCCCTCGGCTGGCACCACGGCGGACGGGTAGCGCGCCTGCACGTCCTGAAAGGCCGGACACCCAAAGCATCCCGATGACTGGCGCCAGACTCCCCATTCCTAGAAAAATGACTGGCCAATTTTGAACTTAGTGGCTAATACATTGCCAATACTGGTTAATACTGGTTAATGATTATATAAATTATATAATAATGGTCAATAATGAATTTGGCCCCCCCAAAGATGGAACTAGCTCTATATTGTACTCCCCAAATCTTCCCATCCCCTCCTTCTGCAGCCCTGCCGTGGGCAAGCCAGCAGCCAAGGCCTTCTGATGCAGTTCCAAGGGGTATGCCTTCTTGGCAATCCACTCCTGGCTGGACGTGACGGTTTTTCATGGTGTTGAATGGTGCTGAATAATGGGATTTTAATATGGGATTATCATGGTATTTTTCATACTTTTTTTAATGATGGTGAACCAACCTGGATTTGGATCTGTGGGTTTTACTTCAGCCCACTTATAAGAGAACAAACCTTACTAAGCGTACTTGTAGCAGGGCTGAAAAAAAACACGGATCAGATTTCTGGGGTCAACCACCAAGTAGATACATCCGTGTACCCTGGTGTTCTCATCGTCCAAAAATGGAAATCGGGTCTACTATGGTCTACTCCAGGATGAATCCAACATGTCTATCTCGATATATACACACATAAATATATTGTATGTATATATATATTGTGTATATATATATATATTGTGTATATATATATTGTGTATATATATATATATATTGTGTATATATATATATGTGTATCTTGAAATAAGTCTTTTCCTGATCCCCTTACTACACATATTAGCCTTTTTACTGCAAATGATATTTTTCGAGACAATGATGGGGTAAGGGAACATGAACCTTTGTTTCCCCCCATGAATAAAATCGTCATTCCCGCTCGGTGCTTCACCCGAAGTTGTCATATAGCTGGACTAATCCTGCTTGCCAAAGTTACCCTCTGGTAAACTAACATAACTATGGAAAATCACCATGTTCAATGGGAAAACTCACTATAAATGGCCATTTTCAATAGCTATATATGTTAGTTTACCAGAGGGTAACCCATCAACCATCGTTCAACACTTATACCACCATATTCTTGTCCATCAAAAATCCCCAATAAACATCAACAAACGATGATTTTGCATCACCATGGTGATCATTTTTAGCCTCAGATCTTCAGAAATCACCAATCACCATCAAATCACCATGGAAAATTTATAGATGATTTATACATGAGTTATAAATGATGCTTTAAAGAACCATGCCTCAGATTTTCCGAACATGGGTACTCCAATAGCTGGATGGTCATCATTCAAATCATGGAAAATCCCAAACGAAAATGGTGGAGAACTGGGGGTAACCCCCATGACTTGGGGATGGGTCAAAACCCCGGTACCTAGTGAACCCCAAAATAGCTGGGATTTATGGATGTTCATCCCACTAAAAAGGTATCTATAGGTATTGACCCATACCCACTTCGGAAACCACCCACTTTTTGGCGCCTCGAGGTGAGGTCTCACTTGGCCTTCCACGAAGTCGCGACACTTCCGCCGAAAGACCTCGTGCGAAGGGCCGTAGTAGGCCGACGCATAGCCTCACGGCTGCGCGGGATGGGGAAACCGTGGGAAACCGTGGGAAACCGTGGAAAAGATAGAAAGAGTAGAATGTGAAACTCCGCAAGTGAGGAACTTAGGTCGGAATGCGCCTGAGTAAGTTGATGTCATCCTCAAAAATTGCAAAAAAAGCCGGTGCTATTCTTTTACATGAACCAAACATGTAGCAAAGAAAAGTGTATTCCGAGAGTTTTTGCAGCTGCTTCAACAAAACTATCTCTCATTCCCGGCCTTGGTACCAGTAGGGCTCGCATCCCAGTGCTGGATCCCCGAACTTCTCAAAGGTCGTCATTGGCGGATCCAACCAGCCGGGAGCAGCACAGCGATGTGTTCAAAATCTGCTGGTGGTTTTTAAAGCAGCTGGAGATCTTTTGGACTTAGATTTTCATATATTTTCATGATGGCTTTTTGATGAAAAAATCTGAGATGTCTCATATTCTCATGATCTTTGCATCGGCATCTCTAAGCTTCAGTGCTCTTGAAACGGCTGCGGACCTCTGCCTATCTCTACATCCTAGGCTCATGTTGGATCCTCAAGTTCAAGTGGATCATGAGAAGTAAAGAGGGGAAACACATGGAAAAAGAAGGATGAAATGTGAATACACATGGTACATGTAGGAAGTCACTCAATCGCTCATTCATCATCCATTCTTTATTCGGTTCATGTCAGTGCATTCCAACTCATTCATGTCATATATACTCTACAAACACCCAAACAGATAGAAAAGCAAAAATATAAACCAAAACAGTGGTGTTTATATAACCACGGTTCTATTATTAATCCTTGGAGGATTCCTAAAATTAATTCTAGTTATATTACGGCCCCTGGTGATCAAACATGTCAATTGAAAATCCGATATAAATGTGCTTTTCAATGGAAAAATCATCCATAAATGGTGGATGTTCAATTGATGTTTGATTACCAGAGGGTACATCTTTGAAACTGAGATCGTACATTCTATAAATGATTCTATATCCTGATATAGTATCAACTACGAATATACCATTGTAGAGACATACCATTATAGATACCCTTCAGCAATCAAGCATGGCAATGAAAAATCAAAACTCCCCCATGTTCGAGAAAATGTCCCATTCAAGGCCAGCTCGGGAATTTTCCGATGATTTTCCCATTCAAAGCCATTTTCCTATGATTTTCCTCCAGCATATGACCAGATGCCCATCGTCCCATGGGATCCCATAGGGCACGTCTTGCCACATCTCCGCAGGTGCGCCACGGCATCGGCCTCCACCAGGACCTAACCGGTCGAAATCAGAATCAGATGGGATCCATCAGGAGATATCATTCATAGATGGGATAATATCATATATATATATATGATTATATATATATATGGTTATATATATATATGATTATATATATATATATATGGTTATATATATATATGATTATATATATATATGATTATATATATATATGGTTATATATATATATGGTTATATATGTGTATATCTTACGGGATATTTCATGGGAGATATTTGGAAATATTTGGAATATTTATAACAATATGCAACTTCGGCTTAATAGGCTGCCTTGTCTGTACGACTTGGACATAGCCTCCACCGACGCTTTTTGTTGATAAATCCTTATCAAAAATAGTTGATAAGACCAATATCACGCTTGTTTAACACCGGATTCTTACCAAACCACTGAAAAAAATATGCTGAACCCATTTTTCACCATCCATCATCTATCATGTCAATACAATATAATATGGTTAGACCATGTTAGACCACTATAACTTGCGTGGTTGTGGTGCTTCGGGGTTACCAGTTACCAACTCCTCCCACGTGCCACGTGTCCCACGTGTGCGCCTCATGATTGTACACCCACGGGGTCCACTTGGTCGGCGGTGTGCTATCCAAGGTGCATGAGCGCATGGAGAGCTGGTCCTGGGGCTAGGAAAATGATCGACAAATGCTGGCTTTGAAGCCACATCTGTAAGGCATAGTTTACAGGAGGCTAACAGATATTTAGTATCGCTGAAAAACCAATGAAAATGGCGAACAATGGATAACAAATGATAGATCTATGCAATGTGTCACTATCATGGTATATCACTGATTTATATATCCTATCATCATTTTCAAATCATGACATTGATCTATAGTTGTTTTTGGATTTCTGCACTAATTTTTGGGTGATTTAATGGGATATCATGGGGATACAAATACCCTCTGGTACACTAACATAGCTATGGAAAATCACCATTTTTCATGGGAAAATCCACTATAAATGGGCATTTTCAATAGCTATGTTAAATTACCAGAGGGTAACCAATGGAATGATAATATGAGAATTATCCACAAGAATGTGGCTTTAACAACTCAAGTTTATCAATCACAGCAACCATCTTTTCCCCATCTTTTCCCCATGAAAATCATGACTTTCCCCATGAAAATCATCATGTTCCCTGTGAACATCATCATAATCCCTGTGAGAATCACCATGTTCTATCCAAAATGGCCACACAAAGCACCGCAAGATCCGCAAGGTCCGCAGCCGCGGTCCGGATGACTCCAGCTGGGTCGACCCTCCAAAGCGCTCAGGAAGCGTTGCTCGAGGACCTCGTTTTTTTGGGAGAGGATTCTGATGGATCCCATTTTGGCTTGATCAATGTCAACCCCGGATTAATAACCCCTGGTTGATGAAAATTGTGGTGTTTCCCCAAATAAAAAAATAATAGGTTTTATGAAAATTCACGGTTGACATAAAAAAGAGAAAAACATGGGAGGTGTTGATGTTCCGGAGGATTTCGATTGGATCATTGGTTGAAAGGGAATCATTTGGGCCCTTTTCTTCGGTGAGTTGGGCCTCGAAGGCCGCACCAGGTCGTAGTGGCAGCAAGCGGCCCGGTGTGCTCTCGGAGCCTTCACCCGCAAGCGAACCTCGGAGACTGGGCGACTTGGGGAGGCCCCCATTTTGCGACATCACACCCACGGCGGTGTTGACCAAGTTTCGCAAAGCTGCTTTATGGAAACTTTATAAAGGAAATCTGGATTTGTTTGACACTCACTACCCTCTGGTAAACATACGAAAAACTATGGAAAATCAGCCATTTTTGATGGGAACACTCACTATTTCTATGGCCATTGTCAATAGCTTTTTGTATGTTTACCAGAGGGTAAGATGCTTCCAGGGATTCAACTTGTCTTACACGGCGGAGTTCCGTTCTAAAAATCTATTGTCTAACTCTCAACTGAGCCCCTGACTTTGGCTTGCAACCCATTCCTGACAACTGATGGCAGCTCAAAGGGATTTAGATGTGTGGGCCAGTACTTGACGCGAAGATTCGGGATCTTTAGCTTTGAGACTTCTCCCTGTGGTAGACCCAATGCCACAAAGCTCTAAACCATCCCATATTATCGCAAATGGGCAATAAAGAATCATGCATTTACCACATTGCAGCTTTTTGATCGTAATATCTAGGTCTCTGGGCACCTCCTCTTGAGCATAAAGCGCAGCGAAATCTGTGACCATTGGCACACTGCAGAAGCCATCCTTGGCATGGCAAAGTACTGCCAAATGAATCATGCACTCCCTTGGCTAGGGCTTAATAAAACCACAAAGTGGTCATTTAGCCCCCTCCAAACTCCAACCCATCCAATTCCATGGATCAGCAAGAACCATTGGACGCTGACCGGACCGCCCTAAGCACCCCAGCTGAGTAAGCATGAGACACCACAAACTGCAAAAAGCTGCTGGGAGCGCCCCAGTCCTGGAAAACTCAACAGCCATCCCAATCCAAACTTCCTCAAACCTACCCCCAAGGAAGCCAAGGCGGCAACCATGGCAACCCTGGCAACAGCGGTTTCAACTTTCCAGTCCTCGGGTCTTGCAGCTGCGTCATCACCCTCGGGTGCAGATTCCAACAGGAACAAGCCAATGGCGATGGGCGGTTTCCAGCTGCGCCGCATTTGGTCCGAGGCCTACCAGTGGCGACGCGAGCAGTGGCGACCAGAATAAATGAGAATCCTAGAACTTGATGAGCACCAAAAGCAAATGTAGGAAAGTCAAAAAAATTAACTAATACATTGAAGTAACAATAACCATGATAGTAATAACATGTAATAATGATACTAATAACAATAAATAGTAACAATAATTAATAGTATTTAATAGTAATAATAATCATCATCATCATCAATAATAATAATAATAACAATAATAATAATAACAATAATAGTAATAATATATAATAATACATTAGTATATAATGATAATAATAGCTGTGCTCCTATAAGTTCTCAGATACAACCGTTCTTTCGGACCTCCTCCGACCATCCGACCTGTTCCACCTCGCGCCAGGAGCGGCACCGCACCACCCGGACCCGTTCCTTCAGGAACTCCTCCGTGAGCCTGGCTGTCTTCGGATCCCCAGTACCCATGGGTTGCCCTAAAAACGAAAAGATGACGAGACATCCCTGGGTTTAAGTGAAAGCCAAAGTGAAAAAATGTGAAAAAGCTAGGGTTTCACTGTTTGGGTTTTACAACTAGTTTCTAGCTTTGATTTGACAAATGTGTGGGAAACCTCGATATTTGACAAAGCAACCGGAGAATTGGATGATCCCATAGGACTTCTAGTCTTGCGAGTTGAGTTTTTAAATGATAACAGGATAAATACCCTCTAGTAACATGGTTAAGCTATCAAAGTCTTAGAATTTCGGACTTTGGCAATGTTTTGGAAAGATTGGATGATCGCAATTTACGGATGGAAGAGGGGGAGCCCAGGATCAACAAACTGCCACTCGCATTGATATGGGGAGTACCATGTCTACCACTGCTGGGAGTAACAGCCAAGATAATCAACAACCAGGGGAAGTGGTCTCACTCCGTCCCCTGAGAAATGTTTTTTGCTCGGGTTGCTTCGGGCTGTGGCTTTTGCATCATTTCATGCGGGATCTTCATTCTTCATCGCGCCATATCGCGCCTCAACGGCACGGACTTGGGCCAGGATTCCTTCATGCTCCAGGAGACCAAGTCCTTCCCCTTCCGCACCAGTGAAGACACCGAAGGCCATCCCGCCACGGCCAGCTCCAGATGCTGCCAGAGCATGGCATGCAGAGGACCCGTGTCACGGAGGAAGCGCAGGAGTTCCATACCTATGCCGTGGCAGGTGTCACAGTTGACTGCCAGAAATGGGACAAAAAGCCAGAAAGAATCGTGAATTAAGCCAGTACAATGGGCCATATGATGAGGACATGTGACATGGACACGACATGTGCCTAGTAAATCCTAGTAACCTAGTATCTGTGCTTAGCAAGTAGCCACCAGATACCATCTGCGGGATGATCGAGAACTGACCCAACCCGACCCAAGCATCGCCAGGCGCCTGCTGGACTCTCCATCTCTGCTCTCAGCCCTTCATGTCTCGCCAGCAAGCGCGCGGCGGCACGGCGGAAGCAGGTGACATCCAGCAGCCCCTTGCAGCCATAAAGCCACTTACCTTCCACCGGGCTGAAAACATCAGGATCAGGAGCCAAAGGACAAACTCTTCCCACTGACCCATATTTCAAAGTTACATCACATCATTGAAAAAAAAACAGGTGACATACCATGACATAGCCAACTCAAGCTCAACTATTTTCTTGGGCTATAGCTGTTGAAAAACTCCCATGGGTTTTGCTTCAAGCCCCAATCTTCAATGGTTCGCTCCAAGTCGCAGGTGCTGTTGACCTGCCCCGGTGCGAACCAAATGGTCCGGGGCTGCCCCCAGTCTCCACTGGCCTCAGAGACCTGTCAGGCTCCGGAGATCAACCACCCAAAAGTGGTGTTTGGCTCACCCAGATGTGGAAAAAATATGGAAGCGTGATGAAATATGATGGATATATTGGAAGTCTTATAAATTATATAAAGTCGATTCACCCCGCAAAACAATACCAAACAATACCAACAAGACATGGGGGGTGGTTTTTTAGCCCTGCCTGTTGATCACATTCCTGTTGTTGCTCCACCAACTGCAAGAGCTCTCCCACGCTGCCGCAACGGAAGAAATCCTGGGGTTTGATGCACTCGCGCCCGGGTACAGCCAGGCGGAGCTGGCGGCACAGGGTCAGCACGGCCAGGGAATCCACACCCGCAAGCCTGGCACGACGGGGACGGGACGAAGCCTGGGATGGACCCAGCGGTCCTAGGTGAGTCCTCCTGTAAGAAAGCCTGGTAAGTCACCGATTTCCGGGGTGCAGCATCCCATATTTTGAGTGGGTGAAGTGCCGCCCCACTAAGCAGTGATCCAGTGAGTTGAAGGGCAATCGGGAGAACTCACCAGTCGTGGATCATCATGGAATATGTCGTGAGATAACCATAGTGACATAGTGGAGATGTAGGCAACAAAATGGAGCGGTTGACTGATTGAAGATGATTCATCTACGGGAAACCATGCGTTTCACAGAAAGATCAAGTGGGCTCCGGTCAATGTTCAATTCTGACATAGGTTGGTCCGGTGAAAGCCGGAATGTTACCTGCTGAAGGGTGAAGTTGACATGTCCAAAATCTTGCAGATTTTGAACCAAAAGTTCCTTCAAACCTGTCCATCCTTTCTAAAGATCTTCCACTTTCTCAGCCCAAATTCCACATCTTCCCTGCCTGGTATCACTTGTCAGCTCTCCCAACTGCTGCGCCAGCAACCTCAACACCACCTGCCCTGCGGCCGTCCTAGCCTCCACCCCAGGCCCGTGCTGACCCTGACCGAGCTGTTCGGTGGCGCTGTCGGAGTCAACTTCCAAAGTGATCACGTCGCGGGTGTGGAAGTCCCACCAACGATCGTCAAAGCCGCGGTGGCACGACTTGCCTTGGGGTGATGGGATGGGATGATGGGGATGCTGACAATGATGGGTTGAGCTTTGGCGGCGTTTTCCGACAGGGGATACAAGGGTCAGCTTAGAAGAAAATGACGACAGCCGGCCCCAGATTTCCCACAAAATGATACAACAGTACCACAAAATCACGTCAGCTCCAAACCAGGTGCAATAGAAGTCCTCCCCCTCCTGTCTCCAATCACTGCCCCATGGTAATGCCACTCCGCATTCCACGCAGGACCACTGGATTTGCTCCGGAGCATCTTCATTGGGAATCCTTCCAATGGCTGGTGATGGCGCTGGCGTCACTTCTTCTGCAACCTCTGGTGCTGCATGCGCAACCTCTTCCGCAACCTCCGGAGCAGCCGCAACCTCCTCGGCAACCTCCGGTGCCACCTGTGCCTCCTCGGCAACCTCCGGTGCCACCTGTGCCTCCTCGGCAACCTCCGGTGCCACCTGTGCCTCCTCGGCAACCTCCGGTGCCACCTGTGCCTCCTCGGCAACTTCGGGTGTCACCAGTGCCTCCTCAGCCACTTCCGGTGTCACCAGTGCCTCCTCGGGTGCTGCTGCAACCTGCAGGCGTTCGGATGGATTGCCATGTATCCGCACTTTTTGATTTTGAGACAGGGCCAGGACTGTTGCAAAAACCATTTCCACAAGCCTCCTCTTGCTCCGTCATTTCAGGGCCTGAACATTGGCCATGGAAAATTCATGGGTGGGCAAGGGCTTGTACGAATCCAGATACGAGTAGGTATCATATCTCCTACGATCATCAACCATCATGTTTCCACTACATATCACCACATGTTTGATGCTTCAAACCCTCTGAATTGTGGTTTATGACCGCGGCAAATTTTATGATGTATTTTTTGGCACAAGATCCTGCAAAATATGTTTTTTATGATACATCAACTGGTGCGTCACACTCCTGGCCTGACTCAACTGGTGCGTCACACTCCTGTGACATTTCAGACGCTGGCAAGTCCCATGGCAAACCCTGCGGAAAAATGTTTGAAGTGGGAGATTTAACAAACAACAATGGGGATATAATATATATATATAATATGTATATAATGGAATATTTGTTTATATATATAGCAACTTAACAATCGATAACAATAAATACTTTGGCTCATCAAACTACATCTTGGGGACCATCCGCTTTTCCTGTGACCCATCTCTACCAACCAAAGTTGTAATCTTGTCTGCGCCAAGAAAAATCTTTGAAGATTTACAAGATCATTAACCATCCCCTATCGGTTATTTATGATCATACTTCTACTTGTCTCAACCATTTGGGGTTACGTTGCCGGGCCTGCGCCACCGCCTGGAACCGGGGCGGGCCGCTTGCTGGCGTGGTCTTTGCGTCCTGGACGTGCTCGTGTTTAGGGCAAAGCTGGGAAATCTCCGGAAGATAATGGGAAAATCATCTAGAAATGGATTTCTTAACGGATGTTCCTCAGTTCTCTGAAAAACAAACATGTGGGATTCCAGTTTCGTCAAAGTTTTCTTTGCAGGAGTGGAAAATTGAACCATGCAAAAAAAAAGTGCAAAAGAGAGAAAGAAACTATCCCATCCCATTATACTGGTTGCTCAATAGGCTATAATAATCCTAAAAAAGGATTCCGAAAGCATTTCCAAAAAGATGATGTTTGCCAGTTTGTCCCATCATTTCCACCAACTGTTCCAGCAAAATTTGGGGGTGTCTATGTCAAAAAAAACATGACATCCCCACAAAAGAACATCGTTTTCTGGGTGAATCACCATCAAATTCTCAGGTTGGCCTTCAGCCCCTGAGGTTCTGGACCTCAGTTTGTGGACAACTGTCGAGTAGACTGTGGTAATGGTTTACTTTTTAAGAACTTTTCAGTGGATTGAATTAACACTCGTGACTAAGGAAAGTATGTTTAGCAGCCCCTTCTGTGTCCTTGCAATGATCCGACCATGGCTATGTACTGTCACCATTCCGGACACCTTGTAGGACTTGCTAAGTGCCACAATGACTTACCTGTTGCCTAAAGAACCAATGACTCAGTAGGACTCGACTCGTTTAGAAACGCTTTCCTCAGGCACTGGAGTTCCCCCATCGATGTGTATTGCGAGATGTTGACGAAAAAATAACTTAACATTTGGGTTTATGAGACATATAACTATATATTTAATATATTTAATATATTTAATATATCTAATGGCCTTTATGAATCAACTGATACCTGGGAGGTGTTTTTTTCTTACCAGGCAAGTTGGAAGTGGTCCAGATCCTTGTACCCTGGTGAAATTTGGGGTCCCAACTGATCTTGGCCTCATCTCAGAAAACCCAAAACCAATTCTTGGTAAACTCTCCATGAAAACACGAGTTTCATGGTCATATCCACGTTTATATGTGTATTATATATATATAGTATATAGTATATATATATATATATTCTGACATGACGATGAACGGCTTTGTCTGAAAATACCCAAAAACCCAAAAGTTGTGTGGTTTATCACCACTTTCCCATGATTTCATGGCCATGGCCATTCAGACATGGCCAATCGAAAAAAATACGCCAAGCAGCGCCGCGGCAAAAGCTCTTCTGGCGGTTGATAAGGAAGCCAGTTCTCCCGCAGGCCTGAGATTTTTTAAGATCTGCCAAAGGTACCACTGTTTTATCAGTGATATTCCTATGAGATTCCCATAATAATCATAATATCTCCCATCTATGTAATATAATTATATATCTGGGTAAATTAGAATAGTCACTAACCTGAAATGTGGGGTTATTTGGCCATGATTTAACCTAAAATAAACCATGATTCCAGGGTTCGGTCGTAGTGAGGTCGTGATGAAATTTACCCAGATATAGAGTTTTTACCAGTGGCAATGATAAGAAGGAGAACTTCATGTTTTTGCATAAATGTACATTATATACGCACATAGAAACAGTGCACAGTATACTTAGGCTAGAGAAGATAAGATAAAGTCAGATGAGAGAGATTGATTAAGACATGCAGACAAATAGATAGATAGGACAGACAGACAGACAGACAAACAAACAAACAAACAGGAAAGATAGAAAAACAAACACTGTACGTTACATTCATATAGACAATTTACATACAAATTTATTTCATACATTTGGGAATAGGGATGGAGGTGGTCCCCCTTCTGAATTGGTAAATAGAATTGGTGAGGCTGGCTGGGTTCATAGGGGGCTACAATTTTTGTGGCCTAGTAACTACTTAGTTGGGCCATATATTGTCCTCGGAAACCTGTCGACCAAAGTTTTTGAAACCCATGTTTTGGGGATTGCTATAGCATCTTTTCATGGTGATGTGCGGGATGAGACTTTGGGGTACCCCCAGATTTTTGCGTGATCCATACTCAAAACTACCACAACAAGTCAGGCCTTTAAAAATATTGAACCTCTGATCAAACCTGGCCAGCGAAAATCCCTCATTTCGTTCGATGCTTTCCCCACCCAAAAAAACCTCCATTTACTTCTGTCCCAGCCAGGTTTCATATCCGCTATACAATCATCAAACATCATCAAACATCATCGTCATCATCATCATCACCATCATAATCATATATTGTATATATATATATATTGTATTTATTGTAGATACATATATATATATATTATTATATAAATATATTATATAATATATAATATATAATATATAATATATAATATATAATATATAATATATAATATATAATATATAATATATAATATCTAATATATAATATATAATATAATATATAATATATAATATAGTATAAAATAATGAAATATAATATAATGTAATATAATGTAATATAATATAATATAATGTAATGTAATACAATATAATATAACATAATATAATATAACATAATATAATATATACATGTGTATATGTATATATATATTATTTATATATATATATATATCCATTATGATCAATCCCCATATTCTCCCCATATAGTCCCCCACATTTTCTTTACGTTTTCCCCACGTTTGCCGGATCATCTCGCCCCCATCTCGCTCAAAATTGGCTCCAAAAAACGCTTGACGCTCTCCTGAAGCATCTCGGGTGCCGCGCAGATGGCCTCCACCAACGATGGTTGTGAGATGCGAGATATGCGGGTTGGAATAGCAATGTGGTGGACCAGATTCCGCTAACTTGTTGAGGGGGATAAAAAATGGTGATTTCATGGGGATTCATTGGGATGTCCACCGAAATTTTCGTGTGTCTGAAACGTGTAAAAATACAAATAAAAAAAAAATTTATGTTCAAGAAGAAAAAAGAAAAAAAAAAAAAAAAAATAAAAAAACAAATAAAAAACAAAAATCATAACCAAAATAAAAAAAAAAAAAAACTAAAACAAAAAAAAAAAAACAAAAAAAAAACAAAAAATTAAAATAAAAAAAAAAAAAAAAAAAAAAAAAACAAAAAAAAAAAAAATTAACCAAAAAAAAAACAAAAAAAAAATACAAATAAAAATAGGGAGAATCACAAGATTGACCGGATGAGGGGAAACAGGTTTTTCACGGCATTTCCTTCACTGGTCCTGTTACTGGGTTGAATTTTCCATTTTGTGAAACAGCAAAAGGTGTGTGTGTGTGTGTGTGTCACCATCCTAGTGAGGGGGGACACTTGGATTTTTCCCTGAAAAAATGTCGAAGATCCAAAAACACTGGCGCAGAAATCTGCGGTCAAATAGCCATGCCAAGCTCCTCGGCAGAACCCCCAGCCTCAATGGTGTTGTCAGTGATGGAAATGCTCCTGATGGGTACAAATCCCTTAAATGCTTCACACTTGGGGCGAATGCTCGTCCGTGTGTCTCTCTCGAAAAAGTTAAGCAGTTTTGAAACCCTGACCTGATTATATCCACACAATTCCACACATATGTATCTTGTGTATGTCTGTGTATGTGACTGTGACTGTATGTGTATGTGAGTGTAAATATAGGTATATGATTGTATCTGTGTTTTTACATGGATCCGTATGATCCATAATTGATGTACATCAATTGTGTTTTACTTGGGGCAGGGTCGATCATCCCCAGCTCGCTAGCCCACCTCGGCAAATCCCTTCGCATGGATCAAAATCCCCCAAAACTGTTGGGTTATAGTGAAGTATAACCTCTGGTCATCTAACACTTCGCTATGCAAAAAAAAAACACGATGTTGAAAACTGCAAATACTGTACAGTAGATCATCGAACTAAACATGGCCTCTATGACTTTCTTAGTTTTGGAGGGTAACCCCAGCTGCTCACCAGGCCGCCTGGATCGGAATTCCGCGAGAAAGGAAGTCACTTCGTCCTGTGGTTGGGCTTTTGCTACAACGTTCAGTTGGGCAATGTGGATTTCATGGAAATTCAATGAGGATTTTTCTTGGGATGACAAAAAACGTCGATGCGTGTCTGAAAATGGTACATTTCCCCCCGGGTCATGGCCATTTCGAACTACAACCTAATAATACCCAGCTGGGACGGAAAGACTACCACTGAATCCTTTGTGAATCAGAATCAGTCATCTTATGCCATCTTTAGTATCCAGAACCATCCGAAAATTGGAGGGGTCAAACTTAAAAAAAATTGACGACCCATACCATCCCATAGCCACCGGCCGGTTGAGTTGGTCTCCACTGAGACCCCCAACCATATACCACTTCCAACCCTCCAGCTTGAACCACCAGCCGCACTCCATCTGCCAGTTGCAAAGGAGGAAATCTCACTGGGTCCCTGATCTGATTTCGATCTCCAGAAGAGCAATTCAAGCAAAAAAAAACATTGGTACAAATTAGACATAAATCGAAGACGGATTCGATGTAAATTCCACAGAAATCGACGTAAAACTTGGATGTAAATTGGATATGGATTTGATATTAGAACGATATTCCGTACCCATACTGTAAGCGTCTTCCAGAAACCATACTTAGCACCATTCTTGGATTTAGATCACTTTTTAAGTTGATATCATAATTTCGATTGGCTGCCTGGACGTGATCGGGGATGGCCAGCCAAAAGGCCAGCCACCAGGGGACCAAAGCGTCACGCCTTGAGATCTCTGAAAAAGCGCCAGACCGGATACTGGAACGCTTGGCCAAAAACTTTGGATTTACATCAAGGACCAACAAATGTAACAAATGGGGTGTTCACTTTTGGATTTCGCCAACAATCTTATGTTGGATCTCGGAAAAAATGACGATTGGGCCACCAAAACTGTGGAATTCATCAACGAACTTTGGGATTTGACGAAAAAAGAACAAATTGGGTATTCACGCACCAAAATTCAAGTCTTAGCCCGCAAAATTGGGGACTGAACCAACACGTGGGGATAGAGAAACTGATTGAGGGCAGGGGGTAGAGCCCATGATCAACGTTAGAAACTGTATCACCACCAAAGAACGGATCATGTTTAATGGAATTGCTGGTTAATAATTTAACATAACTATTGAAAATGGCCATTTATAGTGGATTTTCCCATTGAAAATGGTGATTTTCCATTGTTATGGGACAGTTTACCAGAGGGTAACCGCCAAGAACAGCAATCGAATGGCAATCGAATGGCAATTTTTCGTAGTGTCATACCTAGGGTTCACCCTCATGGTGCCTGCATGATCAACTGAAACATTAAGCTGTCTATTTCCAGGTTTGATTAGAGGTTATTCGAAAGTAAAGGGCTTTTCCAAGAAATGAAACATGCTAGGCAAAAATGACTTTCGTTCAATTTCACCAGATTGAAAGATTTCATGCCTTGTAAACAGATTACATCCCAGTCTATACAAGTGATTTCAGGTCTTAAACCGTTTAGAAAGCATTGGGAAACCATTTGCGACCTGCAGATGAATCATGCCCGTAGCAGTGCCCCATCCAGAGCAGGACAGGGGGAGGAGAACATCCTTCGAACCTTTGCTGGATGCACTGTTCTAACCAAAAATTCAACACATCGGCTTCAACTGGCAAAGTTTCCATCTTTAGGGCATTGGGTTTACCACAAAAAACACCCATTCTACAGCCTCCAACCCCATCATTCCCACCTCAAAGTGGAAGCCCCCATCGCCGTGCAAGCCACCAAGGAGACGCGTGCTGCTAAGGCTTTTCCTCCTCGAGGCTGTCATGACGCGTATCATGAGGCAACCAGAAATGCCCGCATTGACTCAGAATGTCCATTGATGTCCATTGTTTTTGATGGTTTCAACCTATCTATCTATATCTGACATTTTATATACCAAAAATACCCTATATGACACACAACTCAAAAATCTGCATCTTCCGGGTCAAAAAAAATTACATCAGCAGATGAGGATGCACTGAAACTGCGATCCCCATGGGCAATATATGCAAAAGAGAATGAATAAACTACGTATAGATACTACATGATACTACGGTATAGACAAGACCGAACCAATCTTAGCCCTGAGATGCGATATCCAATACTTCCCCAGCAGGAAGTTAGAACCACAAACCAGGTGGAGAATGGCTGTCAACTGTGGATCCGAAGACAAGCCAAACTGCACACTTGCAGGCAAATCGCGTTTTGGCATTGCGTCTCTCCGCAAATGACTGCAGGGAGCTGATGGCTACACATCGCTCCAAAGAATCCAAAGATCCAAGAAGCAAGACAAGGTCTGTTGGCTACGCATCGCCCCAAAGATCCAAGCAAGACAAGGTCTAGAGTCTGAAACCATTGTTCAGACATTTGTTCGGCACCATAGGTCCGCTATGCTAAAACCAAGGCCCAAAAACCTTGGCATCCGCTTTCTGTCTCCAACAGCAAGCGAATCTCAAGCGTAAAGAAACGAGAGTCTGAGAGTTTGAGAGTCACTAAGTCGCTCAGGCTCACTTAGGCATAATTGTCTCCAATCATGGTGGCCTGCACAATCTTCCACACCTTCAGATAGGCGTTCTTCACAGCTTCAGTGAACTCGGTTTGCAAGGCATCGTCAAGGGTTGCGATGAATGCTTGGCCCACCACATCATAGTGAGGTGGCAAGACCTTGTATCCCACGTGCTGCAGGCCCAAACGCTGCAAGACAGGGACGAGTGCCTCAAGGTCGTTCAACATGGACACTGCAGTGGCAACCGTGTTCACAACCCTTGCGCCATGCTTCTCCAGTCTGCTTCCCGGCAACCACATTGTCTCCTCGTCTTTGGCAAAGGAGAAAAGTGCTTTGGCTTCGGGTGCAATCCGGAAGATGTGGCCAAAGAGGATGCGGCCTGCTGCTTCAGGACCCACTTCCGCCACCTTCTTGAAAGTGGTCTGCACCAATTCAATGTCGCGAGCATCCAATGGCTCGTCGGCCGAAACTGATGGGTTCACCAAGTCAAGTGGAAGCTCGGTGGCATTCACAGGGGATCCAGCAGCCATGATGCGACAAAGGAAGAATCCACAACTACTCACGACTCACCAAGGGCAAAACTGCGGACGTTCTGAAGGTTACGCCCACAGTCCCGAGTCAACGGCATGAACTGGCTCTATCTATATCTGACATTTTATATACCAAAAATATCCTATATATTTGATAGTGACACACAACTCAAAAATCTGCATATTCCGGGTCAAAAAAATGACATCAGCAGATGAGGATGCACTGAAACTGCGATCCCCATGGGCAATATATGCAAAAGAGAATGAATAAACTACGTATAGATACTACATGATACTACGGTATAGACAAGACCGAACCAATCTTAGCCCTGAGATGCGATATCCAATACTTCCCCAGCAGGAAGTTAGAACCACAAACCAGGTGGAGAATGGCTGTCAACTGTGGATTCTCGATTCTTTATGGATCACTTGCCAAAGATTGGCAGTTGACCGCATTGACATAGAGGTTTCTAGAAATGGATCTAGAAGAAATCCGAAGACAAGCCAAACTGCACACTTGCAGGCAAATCGCGTTTTGGCATTGCGTCTCTCCGCAAATGACTGCAGGGAGCTGATGGCTACACATCGCTCCAAAGAATCCAAAGATCCAAGAAGCAAGACAAGGTCTGTTGGCTACGCATCGCCCCAAAGATCCAAGCAAGACAAGGTCTAGAGTCTGAAACCATTGTTCAGACATTTGTTCGGCACCATAGGTCCGCTATGCTAAAACCAAGGCCCAAAAACCTTGGCATCCGCTTTCTGTCTCCAACAGCAAGCGAATCTCAAGCGTAAAGAAACGAGAGTCTGAGAGTTTGAGAGTCACTAAGTCGCTCAGGCTCACTTAGGCATAATTGTCTCCAATCATGGTGGCCTGCACAATCTTCCACACCTTCAGATAGGCGTTCTTCACAGCTTCAGTGAACTCGGTTTGCAAGGCATCGTCAAGGGTTGCGATGAATGCTTGGCCCACCACATCATAGTGAGGTGGCAAGACCTTGTATCCCACGTGCTGCAGGCCCAAACGCTGCAAGACAGGGACGAGTGCCTCAAGGTCGTTCAACATGGACACTGCAGTGGCAACCGTGTTCACAACCCTTGCGCCATGCTTCTCCAGTCTGCTTCCCGGCAACCACATTGTCTCCTCGTCTTTGGCAAAGGAGAAAAGTGCTTTGGCTTCGGGTGCAATCCGGAAGATGTGGCCAAAGAGGATGCGGCCTGCTGCTTCAGGACCCACTTCCGCCACCTTCTTGAAAGTGGTCTGCACCAATTCAATGTCGCGAGCATCCAACGGCTCCTCGGCCGAAACTGATGGGTTCACCAAGTCAAGTGGAAGCTCGGTGGCATTCACAGGGGATCCAGCAGCCATGATGCGACAAAGGAAGAATCTACAACTACTCACGACTCACCAAGGGCAAAACTGCGGACGTTCTGAAGGTTACGCCCACAGTCCCGAGTCAACGGAATGAACTGGCTCTATCTATATCTGACATTTTGTATACCAAAAATATCCTATATATTTGATAGTGACACACAACTCAAAAATCTGCATATTCCGGGTCAAAAAAATGACATCAGCAGATGAGGATGCACTGAAACTGCGATCCCCATGGGCAATATATGCAAAAGAGAATGAATAAACTACGTATAGATGCTAAGGTGTAGACTAGACTAGACCGAACCAATCTTAGCCCTGAGATGCGATATCCAATACTTCCCCAGCAGGAAGTTAGAACCACAAACCAGGTGGAGAATGGCTGTCAACTGTGGATTCTCGATTCTTTATGGATCACTTGCCAAAGATTGGCAGTTGACCGCATTGACATAGAGGTTTCTAGAAATGGATCTAGAAGAAATCCGAAGACAAGCCAAACTGCACACTTGCAGGCAAATCGCGTTTTGGCATTGCGTCTCTCCGCAAATGACTGCAGGAAGCTGATGGCTACACATCGCTCCAAAGAATCCAAAGATCCAAGAAGCAAGACAAGGTCTGTTGGCTACGCATCGCCCCAAAGATCCAAGCAATACAAGGTCTTAGATACTAAAACCAAGGCCCAAAAACCTTGGCATCCGCTTTCTGTCTCCAACAACAGGAGAAACTCAAGCGTAAAGAAACGAGAGTCTGAGAGTTTGAGAGTCACTAAGTCGCTCAGGCTCACTTAGGCATAATTGTCTCCAATCATGGTGGCCTGCACAATCTTCCACACCTTCAGATAGGCGTTCTTCACAGCTTCAGTGAACTCGGTTTGCAAGGCATCGTCAAGGGTTGCGATGAATGCTTGGCCCACCACATCATAGTGAGGTGGCAAGACCTTGTATCCCACGTGCTGCAGGCCTAAACGCTGCAAGACAGGGACGAGTGCCTCAAGGTCGTTCAACATGGACACTGCAGTGGCAACCGTGTTCACAACCCTTGCGCCATGCTTCTCCAGTCTGCTTCCCGGCAACCACATTGTCTCCTCGTCTTTGGCAAAGGAGAAAAGTGCTTTGGCTTCGGGTGCAATCCGGAAGATGTGGCCAAAGAGGATGCGGCCTGCTGCTTCAGGACCCACTTCCGCCACCTTCTTGAAAGTGGTCTGCACCAATTCAATGTCGCGAGCATCCAACGGCTCATCGGCCGAAACTGATGGGTTCACCAAGTCAAGAAGCTCGGTGGCATTCACAGGGGATCCAGCAGCCATGATGCGACAAAGGAAGAATCTACAACTACTCACGACTCACCAAGGGCAAAACTGCGGACGTTCTGAAGGTTGCGGCCACAGTCCCGAGTCAACGGCATGAACTGGCTCTGACATTGCTCTTGGATTGCGACATGTCAGATTTACCTGATTTCTATGGGGAAAAACAAGGCCTCTGGCAACTTTGGGGGGCAAGATCTGATGTGTGGATGAACTGGAGCGTGGGAAGTTACCAACTGCCCCAGTCCTGTAGACCGAGCCAGGTGATACCAAAGGCATAGCCTCAGTGGTCGAGCTGCATCTTGGTAGATGCTTTCAAAGCTCCAACAAAATAGGGAATTGGTTGAAAAACTGTAGTAGATTTCTCCAAAGTATAGATATAGTCAACCCTGGATTGTTCTTCACCCCTGGGTTGCTCATTGGGTCATGAATTCTAAGTTTATCTGCCCAAGACTTGAGCCAAGCAACACACCAACCCGCCCAAAAGGCACGTAATTGATCCAAGACCTAACTTGGCTGCTGAATCACTGCTGAATCACTGCTGAATCACTGCTGAACTTCCGGAAAAGTCACCAGTCAACATTGGGAAAATCCGTCAACGCATGGAAAACCTTAGACGCTTGACCATTTGTTGGATACGCGATCACACCAGGAGATCCCAAAGTCGGATTTCCCCTCCCCAGCCCCAGATTTCGCCTCAAAAAGTGGATGGGCACATGCAGCGAGAGGAGCCACAGATAAGGGACCTGGAAACTGGAAATGAGCCCTACAAATCCTCTCTACTGAAAGTAGCTGGTTTCTGGTGGTGCCGATTTTTGGACATATTCAAAGTTTGGGTCGCAAGCATCTCTAGATGTTCGGAACCCAAATTTGTCTCCAGGAAGGGGGTTTGTAAGGAGCCGCTGATAGGTTCCAGCACATCCATTTTGTTCGACCAAAAATATGAACTGCGTGCACTTCCGGTAGAGTACCAGAAACATCATCGCTTGCCGAAGGGCTGGGTACGGGCAAGTTCCAAACAAGTTAAATCATTTTGAAGGCACATTTTCCTTTCTGGCACTGTAAAGTTTCAACTGGTAGTCAGGAAGTCACGGTCCCCAAAACTTAAACCGGATTCCATACCACAAGCTTTTGTGTTTTCATAATCAGAACGAATTTTGGCCCCAAAAATCCTTCAACCCATCGATCGACATCGCCAAAAGGCTGCTGCGACGTGTAGAAGCAGTTGGATCAAGTTTTTCAACGAGGTCCTGCAGCAAATCCAGAGCGGGCTGTCCCTAAGTTTGATCCGTACCCAAAATGACCTAAAGTTACGGAAAGAAATTTCTGGTGACTCTCCCCTTTGGTCACTTTGAACATATCTTTGGGTATTGCCCTCTGGTAATCAAACACGGCAACACGGAAAAGCCATGGATTTTTCAGCGCCTCGAGGCTCGACCCGTCCGGAGCCTGGGGGATGTGGGATATGAACGGGAGATCATGAGGATATCATTGGGATGCAATGGGAGATATACAAATATATATATATATATAATTGCATAATATTCATATATATATATATATCTATTTCTACAAGCAACAAGATGATATTTGGATCAAGTCCCGAGAGTTACACCTTTGAAAATTCACACGGACCCCGAAAAATGCAGTGGCCATTTTCGGCAGGGAAAAACACGTTCCAGGGCACGTGAGGGTCGAGGTATGTGCATGACAAAATTGGAGGAAGCACTTTCGATCCAATGAACCTGACTTCTTCACGTGTGGAGCAATCATAAGGCGTCAAAGGTTCACGTCTCAGATCTACACGGAGGCTTGAAACACAAACCGCTATCATGAACAAACATGTATATGCTGTATATGTATCTCTCGTTGAAAGCAATGTCCCATGGGTTGTTGCTACTGCTTGTGATTCTGTTGGGATGATGGGATGATGTGGTACCGAGGGGAATTGAGGCCCTTCTCCTCCAGCCATCACTGGGCGACCCCACCAGGACGTGAGATTCAACGCCCCCATCATCGCCACCATCAGCCCCCACGGCAGCTGCGGCCATAGCCGCGCACGCAAGGCCGGCCACACCGCTGAAGTCGTCTCGGGACCCGCAATGCCTCGGAGGCGGTGCCGTATCTGGTTAGTTATGACATGCTAAAAACATGGTAAAAACCAATAAACCACCCACAATCCACCCGAAATGGGTGAGGTAAAATGCCTACAACGTTCATGATTGGACCAGTCTCGAGCTGGTCTAAGTCTGAGTAAGAAACTGTCGCAGTTGCTAGCTGCAGATTGGGGGTTGAAATGTCCATAATTCTGTCTGATATGAGCTTTCAAGAAGAAATCCCAAATGACCCAAAATGAGATCAAATGAGCCAAAAAGTGCGTTTCATGTTTCATGTCTCATCCCCTTTGCGTGGTATTCGTGGTATTCACTGCAACTCTTCAAAAACACCATGCCTTTTCTCTAGCCCTTCTCGATACGGTATCACCATGTATCACCAGTGTGAGGAGCCCATCAACAATTATTGCGCCCATGTGATGAGGGAATTTACCAACCAAAAATGCTGGAATTTGTCCACCAACAATGAGGCCAACCATTGCTATACAAGGGGTACACTGTGGCCACTAGACATGCAACACCACCGGTCACCAAGAATTGTCTGAACATATCCCACTCCCAGACCCAGAAATTGAAACCCAACGGTCACTGCTGTGAATAAGATGTATACCCTGGCTCGAGTATGAATCAGTTATTACCAATGGATACTATCAACATCTATCAACCATCATTGATCGAGTATACATTGCCAAATGACTTTTGAACCATGGCTCTTTTTGGATTCCCCAGGCCTAGCCTAGCCAAGCCTAGCCACTCTGCAGCAAGCTTCGCCGATCCACTTTGGTGGACACCGGATCCTGAGCTCCCGTGGATCCACAAAAAAAGCACCACCCCAACCATCGCAAGGTGACATTGAAAAATAGCAAAGTTGTAATCCCAAAGTCGCACAATCCTTTGCAGCCACCTAGCCTTGCGCGATTTTGACCCAGTGAACTCAGTGAACGTGGATCATCCCGGGGATCAGATCAGATCCCAGGGGCTTTGGGCAAAGGTTTGCCCAAGAAATGCAGCGCAACGGAGTGGGGCGCCACGGCCCGCGCCCTCTCCACAAGCCTCACAGCACCAGGGAAAGATGAGATGACCAACAGAACCGGGAGATCCCTATTCCAAGATAAACAGTTTCTTGGATGGAAATGATTGATCATTATTGATCATTTGACAAAACCTTTGTAATGTGACAAAACCAAAGATTGGATAGCTTAATAATTCAAAAATATTCAAAACATTACCCAATGATGCTTCCTGACTATTGCTGTGGCTAAAAAAGGGTCCCATGTCTTGAAACTCGACTTTTGGGAAGGATCTTGTTGAACATGATGGTGTGGAACTGATGGAGATTCACACATAGTACATATTGATGTGCTTTTTTGCCTTGATACATGTTCGAGGTCAGACATCCACATTGGTTTGCTTTCAATCGCATAGACAAACAACATCACAAAATATGGCAATGGGTCTACGCTCTGGGGCCCTCGTGAACATCAAGATAGCTGCGAAATGGAGGTTCATCCCCCGAAGTGCAACTTATGGGTTGATCCCACCATCTATGTGCAAAAATGATGGGTTTTATCATCCACATTGTTGAACATTCATAGCTATTGAACCATCCAGGAACCTGTAGAGCAAAGCTTCAAGACCACTGATGACCCTCTGGATACGCCAAACTCCAAGGATTTCACTGCGCAAGTCGAACATGTTGGACATCGCCTTTTAGATTCGCGCCTGGCAGCTGCGGCGCGGCGCCCGGCACCCAGCACCGAAATGAAGACATGCCTCGCTGCGAGGCTGGGTTTGGTGGGGAAATCCTCAGGAGATCACCCAACAACAGCATATAAGTTGGGCCATTGCGGGATCAACATCAGCATCCATTTTGAGGGGTTGAAAAATGCGACCCATACCCAACTAGCGCGACTTTGGGGACGTTGCAAGGAATAGTTCTGACAGCCAGTACAAACACGCCAGACCAATACGATAGCCAATACCTGGGGGGATACAGGGACTGGGAATATCAACCAATATATGAAGGTTCAGTAATGCAATGTGGTAATGGACAATGCCAGGTTGATTTACATTTGTCCATGTTTGAATATATTATTTTGGAACAAAAAACAAAACGCAATGGATCGCGGTTCTTGATTGGTCTACATCCGGCCCCCTGCTGATATCAAGAAAAGCTCCAGCTCATAACTTTTGATCACACTTGTAGAGATACCCCACTTGACCCATATCGCAAACATGCGTCAAGTATTGCGCAGTATTGGTTATATTATATTCTGTTCTCTTCTTGGTTGCATCCCACTATTGTTGCTCGCCCACATTTCTTCAATCATTCCATTTCTGAAAGCCTAGATGACTCCATATCTGACTCATAACCATGTGGATATGCCCCAAAAGTATTCACCCAGGAACTTAGGTCACTGTAAAATGTGTGTTTTGATCCTTGAAATATGCCTGTTGCATGGTCCCTTGGGCCATAGAGAATGGCTACCCGGCTACCAACTTTCGGCGAATCGAGCCGCGCTGGCGCATCGTTCAGCGAGTTCCTTGTCGCCGGCAGGACTGCCACCTGTGGCAACAAGCAAATGAATTGAGGATACCCTCTGGTAAACTAAAACACTAAGCTGCAATGCACGCCCCCTTTTTTCAAATGGATAGCTGCCACATGCTGGCTCTGCTGGACAACCCCAGCAGAGACCAGCACATCATAGCCCCCGCATGGAGCCAGTTGCACTTGGGCAACACAAGGGGTTGGGAGGGTGGGGTTTCACAAATGATCAAGCCCGATGCATTCATCCACTGCAAGCTGCTGAACAAACATCCACAGGGCAGCAGCTGAAACACACATACCATAAAGGGCTTATGCAAGTGCAGCTGTAGTGTTGTTTCTTGCACTGAAAAGTGCAGGTGTCAAACACTAAGCTGCAATGCACGCCCCCTTTTTTCAAATGGATAGCTGCCACATGCTGGCTCTGCTGGACAACCCCAGCAGAGACCAGCACATCATAGCCCCTAACTGCAAGGTGGCAGCCTGCTGGAAAAAAGGGGGCACCAATAGCAATCCCCACTCAAGAGTGCCCCAAAGAGGCCCAAGGCTCAGCCAAAATCTCTAGAAGATCAAATTCTACCCGAAGCAAAGGGTTAAAACCTGACACCTTTCCACGGCTGAGGTCATCCGCCCAGCCATTGCGCTCTCCCGCGCAATGTGCAGAGGTGAGCTGCACACCGTGTGCCACTGCATGATAACTGATGGCCTGTAAAACAAAAGCAAGAGGTGCCTTCAATGATAGCATCTTCTGCGTCGATGCGGCCACGGCAGCATTGTCGCACAACTGCCTCATAAGCAACACATGATGAGCCGGAGACTTGATCCCACGCACACGCCCTAGCAAGAGCAAAAGCTGCCCCAGAGCTTCGTATGAAGCTATGTAGGATTGAAGCTTCTCACAAATGAGCCATTCCGGCAAGTTCCACTTGCCCAAAGAAATGCTGAACCAAAAAACTTGATCTTGGCGCGCACTCTCTGCAGTAGGCGCCCACCAGCCACCCACACCAGCAACAGCAACTGATGCGGTTGCAAATGCATCTGCTGCGCAAGGTATGAACGACTCTTCAATACGTCTTAAGGGGATAGACTGATGCTTAGCCACAGCATTATAAAAAAGCTTGCATGCCCACATGGATGCCAAATTTGTACGGACAGAAACACTGCTGTAGTTGTAGAAAACACAATCTACCTGTCCTCGCTTCAAACGTGGAGACACTAAGGCATCCGCACCCAATGAAGACACGGCGCAGTTGGCGACAGCATGCAACACCCATCCTTGCTGTAGATCGCAACATTCCATGTGACCTGTCAAAGCTAACTTCGTGTCCAACAGTTGACGCAGCACCTCAAACTGATGGGGGGTAACTGATCTGAATACGCAGAGTGGTTTATACAGCAGATGATACAGCTTGTAGCCAAGGCCGCAGATGCACAGCACCACCCGAGTACCATAGCAAAAGACCAATAAGACGTTCAACAGTTTTGCGGTCCACCTTCTGTCCACTGGTGCAAAAAGGGCTCAACGCTTCCAGAATTTTCTGCGACTTGTCATCCGGCAACTGTATGTAACCAGATGAAAAGCAAAAACGCCATCCGATCCAAACTAGCTCGTCCCCCACTTTAACCTTCTTCCAGCTCAAAGGGACACCCAAAGCAGTCAGAAAGGCCAAGCAGGCCGAAGCAAGAAGTGGAGCAACATCCTTAGGAACCAACACCAGGCCGTCATCCACGTAAAGGAAGCAGGCGTGAGAAATCCAGAGAAATCTGTGCAACATCCTCACTAGCCAGGCCCCCACGCGAGACCACCAGTATGCCGAATACTTTGCACCGAAATAGCACGAACGGTAAACGAAAAAATCGTTACCCAGCGCGAAACAACCGAGCCCCTGTTCTTCAGGCTTGACACGAATCAGCTTGTGGGCCGAAGCAACATCAAAGCTCAGAGCAACCCAGGCCGAACCACTCCCGGACTCTGACAAAAATCTTTGCACGCTGCTCAAGCCAGGAAGACGCGCTTTCTCAGGACTAATGCAAGCTCGATTTGCTCCGCTGATACTTCCATCTCCAATCAGCCGAGGTTTACGGCCCGGAGCTTGTACAACGCCAAGGCGACCGGCAGCAACATTCGAACCCCACTTCTGCACTGCTTCAGCAGCACCACCAGGAAGAATGTAAGCAAAACCAGCAGAAACATCTTTCATGAACAATTCACGCGCGAGCTCAACATTGTCAGCAGCACTTTTCCAGGGAACAAGGTGAACGCACAATTCATTCTCGAGCTCAGTATCACAATCTTCTACTGCATCCCAAACACCGGATGCAGATATCTTGGAAAGAATGCCAGTGGGAACGCCCTCTGTCAACAACTTTGGCAAGTCTTTGTCCATGTCAGAAGTTGCACGTGTCAAAGCCCGCCAAATGTCCAGCAAAAAGGGCTGGTGAATTGGAATCTCACAGCTGCAAGGAAAACCTAGTGTGTCTAAAGCTTGTGCAAGACTACCTTGAAGCTGCCCCTGCTCAGATTCAGAGAACAAATGCTGTTCTGAGCCTTCGCTAATATGCCTCAAAAGCCGGGGCACAACACCCCAAGACCGCATCCAATGCAAAAACTTTCCGCGCAAATATTTCAACCTATCTACAGGTTCCTGAGGGTGAACCCAGCATGCTGTAGATAGGCGACCACCACCATCTGCGATGGGGATGGAACAAAAGGAAGCCAACGGGGAACTTTTCGCAGGAGCCAAATCTGCGCAACAATGCTGATCAAAACTTGCTTCTGGGCGGGCATCCCTTTGGCTGCCAGTGCCATATTGTACCTGAGTTGCCAAATCAAAACCGGAAGACGCAGCAGAGCGCACCACAGCATCCTGGGCAACAACAGTTCCATGATCCGCACAAAAATCCGACGCCAGCAATGGCATACTGACCGCAGCCGCTTCATCACCTGACCCTGGCCCTAGTCACTCCCGGTCCTCATGTGCAAACTTGCACTCATCACCAAACCTACACTTGCCATCCTTTTGCCATGCATGGCACTTCCTGCGCTTAACGGCCGGATCTGCCTTTCGGCGCTTCAATGGCACCCTGTCTCCCTGTTCTTTGTCCTGCAGCCGCTTGCCAGCGGCTGGGGTCTTTGTGGGCCCCTTGGGCAAATGCAACAGCTTGTGCCGCAATAAGTCTTCACGCACAACGCTATCCAAAGCATCTTCAAACGTGACATCATCATGGTACACCATGCGAAAGACCTCGCCCATGACTTCCTTGTCCGCCTCTTCTGCCTCGGTGGGGGAAATCAAACGAAAAGCAGTTCCCGGCCGCTTGGTGTAGTGGAAAAGAAAGCGGTTAACATATTTCATCCAGGAATGCAGGTGTCCCACCGAGCACAATGAATACGCATGAGCGCGAACACACAAAAGATGAAAGATTTTCAACGGCGCGCTGAACAATTCCAGATCCCACTCATCCTCACACAAGCCAGCCGCTTCAGCCACAAGCTCAGCCATATCACGCTTGCGCACGCCGCGGCGAGACTGCACGTCATGCATAGCTTCCTCTGAAAGAACCTTTCTCCAGGGAGTCCACGCCCAAGACTTCGTTTTACACTGCTGCTGAATCATCTGAAGATATGGCAAAGCAGGCAGCACACCTGGATGAAGATGAACACCTGGATAATTGTCCCCGAATTTTTTGATCATACCTTCCCTGTCTGCTTCAGACAAGCGATGGCTAATGCCAACTGCCGGCTGCGAGAGGGGCAACAAAGGCAATAACGGCGCAGCAACCGTGCTGGGAGCTAACAATGACTCGCGCACGCGACGCAAGGCACCAGTCACTGGATGGAAACTCCAATCTTCTTCAGAGGCAATAGGGGGAGTCATACCCAGAAGCACTGACTTCGCGAACTTGTCCAAGTCAGTTTCGGTGCGGAAACAGCTTTGGAAAACAGTTTCATTGGCATATGTCTCCACCACTTTCTCCGCAACTGCCGAAATCACTCCAGCCTCTAACAACGTTGCCTTCCACGTATTTTCCATTGCACACATACAAAAAAAGGAAGACACACAAGGACGAAGGAACACAATCGCAGCAATGTATTGTTGCAAACTTAGCTGTTACTGGACGACTGGCGAGCAGCAACTTTTCACCAGGACCCAAAGGCATCTCCGCCTCGAATGAGCCAAGCCTAACTAGGCAAACCCATGGAACAGTAAACTAGCAAAACCTATCTAGGTCAAGCTAGGAAAAGGCCGCTGCCCGCTCTCAGGCAGTCCCGACCACGGACCCCAAACACTAATACCTGCACTCAGGTACAAAACATAAATCAAAATCCAACCGCAACGAAGCGGTATCTTCACTCGGCGCTATCCATAATCAAAAAACCTTGGCCCAAAACCAATCAGGAACTTGGTCCTTCTTACTGGCCGCTGCCCACTCTCAGGCAGTCCCGGCCCAACACCTTGGCCGCTACCCACTCTCAGGTAGTCCCAGCCCCACCTGGCCGCTACCCACTCTGAGGTAGTCCCAGCCCCACACAACTGGCCGCTACCCACTCGCAGGTAGTCCCGGCCCCGGACCGCTACCCACTCTCAGGTAGTCCCGGCCCAACACCGCCAACCGCTCTCAGTTGGTCCCGGCGTTCCATTTTCCAGCACACTGACCAAACGCAGTCAGCAACACGCCGCATGGGGCACATTAACAACATCCACGATGTCTGCATGAACGAAAACCTTCAAACCAAGGATTATCCGATCGCTTTTCAAAAGCCGCGTGCAATGTAGCACCCGGGCGACAAGCCAGGAACACAGTATCCTCATTGCCATCCACATGAATTGCTTTATGCGCCACACCTGATAATGTGTTCAGCAACCAAGGCCCTTCAAATTCCGCCGCATCTGACAAGAAATTTTCGCTGCCACAATCTGATTGATTATCCAAATCACTCAGCGCAGCACTCGAAGAGCTACTCCCACTTGAATCACTTTCTGTATCCGATTCTTGCCCTGCGCGCTCATGCATCAAGCAACCAACACCACGCTGCAGCGGAACCCCAGGCCGCCAACCCGAATCCAAAACTTTAAGCAGTGCCCGCTGGCAGTTAAGTTGCGGGGTGACATCATCCCGACTATATGGCTGCACACACTGAGAAAACCCATGATGCCTATGATGACCCTGCGCTGCACGCTCCACTGGGTCAACTTTGCATTGCAATGCCCAAGACAACAAAGTACATTTGAGAGAATGTAGCGAAAAGGTCCACGCAACTTCGCGTTCAAGCCCTGCAGCTAAGACCAGGCATCGCCGAAACTGCGCCAGCATGATGGTATAAGGCATGGGTTTGCCATTCCACCCTATGAAGAAATCCTGCGTAGGACGTTGCGCCCGAATTTCAGAAATCACGTTGAAGAGGACATCACCCCAATTGCTTGCAGCGCAGCCACAGCGTAACACACCCCAAGGCATACCCCGAACCGAGGATTTGGTTCGCCAACACCACCCTCTGATAGAGGTAGCATCCGAGGTGATGGATTGTAAATCTAAACGTTGAAGATCTGACCATCTCAGACTACCCCAGGCCATAAGTAAGATGGCGCAAAGTAAAATTCGATCATCACCACTTGCACCTGCGACTACCTGCTCAAGTTTTTCTAAAGCAAAAAATGGTATCGGCACCGCTTCCTTCACTCTGCTGCGCTTCCACTTGTCACCTTTTTTCCAGCTCTGAATCATGGGCTCACGTAGCAATGTCTGCAAACTTTCCAAACTTAACTTTGCAGCGGCAAAAGTCATGGCGCTCAAAACCCCCAGAGCATTGCGCTGTCGAGCATTACCGCGGTCTTCAAGCGCGCCAACACTCAAACTTTCCAAAAAATCAAGCAAAGCTGATATTGGCGGAGCACCAGGCTGCAAATCATGTATAGAACAAAATGCTACCCACAAGCGCCATCCACTCAGATGGCGGCGTAGAGTGGCAGGTGCACGATCCAGAAACAATTGCCGCAAGCTCATTGCAGATGTCGATGAAAAATCACAAGCAGAAGCGCTCGAAGACGCCAATGTCCTGGCAAAACCTGCCCAGATGCCTGCCAGGCGCGCACGCTCCTGATCCTCTGATGCGCGAGCTGTTCCCACCAGTTGAACCCCAAGCTTGCCAGACGCCAGCCTCACCGGCAGTGTGTCAGCACGCGCACGAGCCTCAATTGGATCATCCTTAGAATCAGTAGTGCCAACTACAGCCGATTTACGAACGCTGGGCAAGCACAATCTAGCAGGGGGCCGCGGCAAGCCCGTACCCACGGGCAAATAGGGCGCCCGGCGTACCTGCCTCCTGGGTCTTTCAAGCGGCATCAAAACAGCAAAAAGAAAAGAAACAGTTTCACAAATGATCAAGCCCGATGCATTCATCCACTGCAAGCTGCTGAACAAACATCCACAGGGCAGCAGCTGAAACACACATACCATAAAGGGCTTATGCAAGTGCAGCTGTAGTGTTGTTTCTTGCACTGAAAAGTGCAGGTGTCACATAGCTATGGAAAACCACCATTTTTAATGGGTAAATCCACTATAAATGGCAATGTTCAATAGCTATGTTAAATTACCAGAGGGTACAAGCTATGGCACAGGATATACAGAACAAACATGGAAATGCAACCAACCAACAAAAAAAAGGACGTGGAATAATTGAAGAGAGCGGGAGATCGACAGTGCAACTTCTGAAGTGGCCCCAAACCTGTGACTTCCGATGAATTCCGGGCCCAAAATTCTAATATGTTGATATGCGCAAATGCCACCTGAACGATGCAAAACAATTTCTGTCCACACAGGGACAGAGAACAGACTAGTATGCAAGCATGTCTTGCTTGATACAAAGTTCAGCAAACTCCAAGTGCAAGAAATTGAACGAGCCAATAGAGGGCTCACTCATCCAGTAACACAGCAACAGAGTGAATATCGAAGAATTCACACTTCCCATGCTGCAGGGTTCTTCTTCAGTCTCCAAGTGCATGGCATGATGTCGAAAGCCACACCCATCAATCTCTCAGCCTCCTGAACGATTCCAGTGTCAGTATTCTCAGGCGGGGGAAGCATGGTTTCTTTCAGACCTCATTTGGACACCCAGATTCTGGACACAGGAGGTTCAAATCCCACAGGACACCAACTTTCTATGCCCAAAAAAATGCAATTTCTGGGCATATTTAAAAGATCAAATTGATCAAACAACAAACACTTGACCCATCTGGAGACGTAAGGGTAATCCCCAGCGTTGACGGACGTGAATCACCCCCTCATAGGAATCCTCTGCCCACCCCGGTTGGTGGGGCATGTTAAGCACCTTGGCCTTCCCTTGAGGCCTCAGGCGTTCCTCGATGTCGCTCAAATAGTGGAACTGTCCAGCCACCTGCACTCAAGGTACCAATCCACCAGGGTTTTCCGTAGCAGGTTTGTGGTTGCTGGGTTGGCAAATTGCCACCACAAAATGAAGTATTCCTCCAACTACCTGGAGCGAATCAAACACAGCAAGGGAAAAAAGAACGCATGTGACTTTTCTAGTAGGGAAACCATCTGCACATGGATGTAAAGAACTAGATGTGCAGAAGGCATGTGCATAAATGGAGCATCCTTTCTTTCCACACCACACAATACCCCCAGCGCACCTTGATCAGCATATCACTACGACCTTTGAACTCCAAAGATTCGGGTTGGTCGGGTTGGCCTTGCAAGGTCACCTCAGGGCTGGCAAATATCGGAGCCTTTTGGGACACTCTTTCTACAAAAGCCATCCCCCTTGAACCCGTTAAAACCAATGGTATCCCCAGACTTAACCATCATTCCCTGCCCATCTCAGCATTGGATTTGAATGATGATTGAACCAAGCAACTGGGGAATTCTCAGGCAAACGAACATGGAAACTCGATTCATCCCTTTTTCTTCAATGGGCTCCTCTACACCTGGTGCTCAAAATGAAGCTGTGCGCCCCGACGCTGTCGCAAGTCTTGAAAAAGGCTTCCTGGGTTCACCATGGGTTGGTGCACCATTTTGAGCTCGTCCAGGATTTGGGACAGCCGATCTGACCAACATGATATCACTGTACAAATGAGGATGAACGCCGCTCACAATCTCAATATCTGGGAGAGGCCCCAACCATTTGTCTCATGTTTGAAGTCCACCATAGAATGATGCATCTTGATGGTCTTACTGACTCTACTCAAGGAACTGCACCAGGCCTCGCCCAAAACCTTCCAAAAATAAGGACCTTGCAGCCTTGCAAAAGATGTCCATTCACTGGCGCAAGCTGCATTTCAATATTGACGAAGGACCACTTCTATAGTTTTTCTTTATCATACTCATATTTTGATTATATATATATATATACACATACATTAGGATTCAACAAAAGCAGGTCACAACTCAAAATTTCTCCACCACCCTGGAGGCCCCGAACGCCACCATCAGCAGCTTCCACAAAGGAGCTGGCACCACCTCGATACCTGGAAGCCATCGCTTTATGGCAAGTGAATGAGCAATATCATGGTCAAGCCCAAATTCTATTGCCAGTTTTAGAGTGACAATGATAATTATATAAATAGGCTGGCCCTTGCAGGTACCCCATTTTCTATCATTTTCTCACAAACCCACTGTAAGTTTCACTTCGGGATCAAGACTTCCCAACAAATTTCATGAAAATTAAAGCTTGGAATACTAAAAACATTCAAACAACATCCTGGTAAATCACCTGTCACTGTTAGTTGGTTGTAGCTCCTGGTGGCACCTTCCAACGGCGTCAACGGCCGTCCGGTCACCCCACACCGATGGTCGCACCCAGGGGTGACCATAGGGCCGCGGAGGCATAGCTCACCTGTCCCATCCTGCGAAAAAAATCCATGGGAGCCCTGAATTGTTCACCAACCACGTTATCAATGAATGGTAATGGTAATGATTGTAATTGATGGTTAATGATGGTTTTTGTGATGCTTTTTATGATGGTTAATGATGGTTAATGATGGTTAATGATGGTTAATGATGGTAATTAGTGGTGAATGATTACTAATGTGGGTAAAACAATGTCAGAAAAACCACCCATGACTGGGAATGCTTAGAATCCAATCTATAAAAATGGTGATGACTGGGGGATGGTTGATTATTGTTTTCATGATGACAACCTATCGATGTAACCTCAATCAAATGGCACCCCTTTCATTTACAGTCACTTTGGGTTGCGGTTAGGTGAAAAGGAACTCTAAGAATGAAGGAAACCTATCGAACTGTCATGTTTTTTGGACAAACTTTTCATGTCCCACAAGTTCTAGCCCCAGCGCTCCAATGTGGGTTTTGTCCAATCATATAGAACCCAAGTCCAATATCATAATTTTCCCCATGAAATGTCTACAAATTGATTGTTCTACCACCACATTCCGTGTCAAATGTGCAATTGTTTCATGAAATGGCCACAACTTAATCATCACCATATTCCGAATTAACCATAAAATGTTTGTCTTGTCGCCAAAATGCCCATGAACACTAGCAATTAGGTCCCCATAGCCCTGTGGTTGGTTAAGAACAGGAGTCCCAGTTCATCCATTATGATCATCCCTAATAATATGTTGAGCAGTATAACCCCCTAATCATCCATCAACGAGGCTTTTGAACACTGCTCATATTTACTACTTATACCCATAAAAATTTTCCACAAGATCCCTATAAAATCCCATCAGGTCCCTATGAAATCCCATAAGGTCCCTATAAAATCCCAATAAGGTCCCTATGAAATCCCCATCAAATCAGACCCTTTTTCGGACCGCTCCTTGCAGAGCTCTCCATCACGATGCACCGCAATCTCGGCCCCCTCCACGGCGGCGTAGACACTGCGGCCGCTGCGTGGATTCCGGCCCTCGCTGTAGAGGCTCAGCCAATACTCCGTGCCTTGGATCCCATGGATTTCACACGGAAAATCACGGAAAATCGATGTGACTTTTTGGGGTTTTCTGAAGATTGGTTTTTTTTTGAGAAATCTACAGATATCGACAGGAAGCCTTTTTTTTGACGCGGAAGATAATACAGTAAGGGGTGCCTGCAGACTTTCGTAAAGTGCTGGGAGTGGAGTTGGTCGAAATGGGGGGGTCGTGGTCATGGGGATTCAACGTTTCAGGGTGATTTTGATAGAAGGATTGGGGATTTTTTTGGGAGGGACCCCCAAAGGTGTTAATCTGCTTCCAATGGGTAACCCCTGGAAACAGCCCAGGGTGTCCATATCGGCTGACATTGTAAATGGTGTTTAAACGGGCATAATAATCTGTTTACATATACAGTTGGTGGATAGAACCACCACACAATAAAACCATCCACTATGGCTCGCCAAGAATTGATTGTGATGGTCTCAGTAGCGGTGGTGGTCCATGATGACAACATTGATACAGTACGTGGAATCGCACAGCGATGGAGGTTCGAAAGTGCCTGCACTTTCGCCCGATTGGCAAATTTAGGTTGAGCATCCCACTCATCCCATCCATCCCATCCATCCCATCCATCCCATCCATCCCATCCACTAAATCACAACCGCCATACCTCTACCTATCTACACATAACCTACACCACCCTTCATCCTCCCATCCACCAACCACCAAGTTTCCAATCAACAAACAAGACTTCACCCAAAGATCATCCAAACATCCCCCAAACTCACCAAAACATCATTCAGACATCCCCAAAAATCACCAATCACCACCAAAATCGCAAAATCGAAAATCACCAAGTTTCCCATCCATCCGAGTTGCTAATCAACAGCTCCACCACCCTAGCGTTTTGGCGCCACTTCTGCCCCAGCGCCGCCGGCAGCGCCTCGCCCCAGGTGAAGATCCAGCGCACCGTGGGCAGCTCCGCCGGTTGCATCGCGTCGAGGCCGCTGGGCACCACGCCCAGGACCGTGGCGCCGTGGCGCTGCACGGAGGCCTTTTTTTGTGAGGGCGAGGACGGGGAGACATGGGGGAAACCATCCAGAAATTTTCATGTTATAAGCTATATTATATTATATTATATTATACATATATATATATGTGTGTGTGTGTTTTTTCTCAAGGCCCAAAGTCTTGAATTCAGAAGAGGGAAAAAAGTTATACAATATACAAATCAATACAAATTATATGTACATTTATGCATGTATCCAGATAATTGATTTGGAATGATTGAAACATATTTCCAAGACATGGTGGGAGAGCCACTCTATCGATTTTCATCGGAGTTTTGGACCATATCATACCATATCCACTTCACAGACATGGACCCAGCCTGAAACCCTGGATGGATGGTGCGGGATGGTGTGGACAAATGTCTGGTTGGATTCTTAAGGACTGCCCGGTTTCTCCCTAACGACACCTGGTCGAGCTCATCTGCAATGCACAGCCTGGCACCGAAGCTGGCCGCAATGTTGATCTGCCCAATGGCACTCGCAGCCCACAGCACCGGGGTGTGTTGCAAAATCCGATCCTGGTACACCAGCTGTGATAAGTCGGAGCTGGTTGGAACCAGCAACCCACTCCTGCCCCAAAACAGTTCAACCCCCAACCTCCCACTAGTCCCACCCATTCCCACATTCCCTTGGGTGTAGACCCCATCCCTGACCTCATGGCTGAGCTCCGGAAACGCCTTGGCATAGGCCTTGAACTCATGCAGCGCCATCCGTTGGGCAATCTCCACACACTTGGAGGCCCCAGTGGTGCCACCCGTCAGCTGAAAGCAGAGCAGTCCATCCGCACCGGCGCGGCGGGGTGGGACCGCAGGGTGCCGGGACTGGTGCACCGGCACGGGCACCTGGCGGCTGTGGCCTGGAGAATCATCTCACTTGGTACCCTCTGGTAATTTAACGTAGCTATTGAACATGGCCATTTATAGTGAGTTTTCCGATTAAAAATGGTGATTTTCAATAGCTATGTTAGTTTACCAGAGGGTAACTGGTTAATACATGTTGATACCACTGTTTTCCCGCTGTTTTTTGTCTGTCCCCTATCTGAAGCTATCACTAACTGGGATATAATCCTACTTACGATAGTTAGCAAGCGTCAATGGGCCATCCTCCAGCAGCACCTGCGCCTTTTCCAGTACCAGCTGCCGGCAGCCATGCCGCAGCAACTGCGTCAGTTCGCTGGGTAAATCCTGACCCAACAGCAGCAGCTGAGGACGCAGCAGCCTTAGGATCTCTTGGTTCTGCTGCATCTCCTGGTAAGGCATGGGGCCAAGGCAGGGGCGGTGTGGCCAAGGGGTGTCAGATTTCACATGTCCAAAACCCATGTCGCGGCGGTTTTTGAACTGGAAGTATACTATGTAAGTTCGTCACAGCTTGGCAAGCAGCACAATCATCAAGTTTGCACAAGCTCCTGATGGGTTTAGCTGAAAATTGGTATCTTAGGCTAATCATCATCTTCCCCACCATCGAGGAATTCCCCTGGCCATTCTGAGGTACACCCAATTTTTGGACAACAGATGTGTTGCAGACAATTCCCATCATTCCCATCTCCTTCTCTCGACCCTTGGAGAGCTCACAGCCCATCCACACAAAGGGCACGCCCTGGCGCACCACCGCCAGAGTGGCGGCCAGCCACAAGGAGCTCCTCCGGGAATAGATGGCAGCCACCTCGATGGGCTCCACCTGCGTCGGTCACAAGGGTCGCAGCCCTCAACAAACCATCAGCAGTGTAAACTGGCCACTGATGTTGATCCCCAAAAGATCGAAATTCAAAAAGTCAATCAAAACATGAAAAACATGTTTTACAAAACATGTTTTACATGACTGTCCTGCCCAAACCAAACAGAACATGATTTTTGAAGCTGGAGGCCCAACTGATTTTACTCCTTTTGTGGCTACCTGGGCGAAAAAAATTGTCAGGTCCCAGAGCCGCATGTCATATCAAAATGCGTTGTAAATCCCATGGCATCTCCACCAAACCTAAATCCCCCAAACAAGTCCTTCAAACACAAAGAAATCTATAAAAACCCAACGAAAAATCAGCAGTTTCCACCCCACAGCTGCCTCCATCTGCTGCTGCACATGGCTTGCCACCGCCAGGGACAAGCCCTGCAGTTCCAGCCAACTCAGCTCCACGCAGCCATCCGAGACGGCACAGCTCTCGGGGTAGACCTGAAAAAACCAGGTCTGGGGGAACCAGAGAAATTGGGACTTCGCCATGAAAATGTCGGCTTTTCACCATGAAAATGTGAATTTGATCGAGATTTAATTGGGATGAAAGCCATTTGTTTTCATAAAAATTTGGATTTAACCATGAAATTTGGGTGTTTACTGTAGCCATAAGAATCGGGTTTTTTCCATGGAAAACACGGATTAAAGCAGCAACTGATGCCTGGATAGACGGCAAGGATATGGATTTGTCATGATTTGTCCGCAAAAATGGGGGATACCACAATTCCGAACAATTCATGGCCCGAAAACCTGAGAAAATTGTGACAAACAATGGGATGGAGATCCCTTCAGGCCGTCTACAGAAAACCCAAAGATGTCCAGCAATAGGGATGGAACAAGATTCTTGGTCATTGCAGAAAAAAGGGTATATAAGTTGATGACGGCAACCAAAGTATGTGTTTGTGTCTGAAAATAGGCTACCAACTTTGATGCGTAGTCCCCATTTTCCCCATTTTCCCTAAAGCCACCTTTTAAAACGCATCCAAAAACAGCTGCGACAGCTGGGTCCCTTCCCACCTTCGCCCAATGATCAAAGGCGTCTACAAAATTGGTGAAGGGCGTAAGAGGATCCATCGCCAGCACTGCTTTGGTCCTTTCAGTCACATGTTTCTTTGCCTGTCACGAGTGCGCTTTTTTTTAGAGTGACCGTCCTTTTTTTCCCTCAATGGATTGATTCAAGGAGACTTTGTTCCAGGAAGCTTTAGTTTTTTTCCGATGAAATGTAGGTGTTTCCTATAATGTTTTACCTTCAATCAGTTCTGGTTTGAAAACAGGACCATAAAAACACTTCATAGCTGGTAGTCATTGACAGGACAGCTACTTCCATCACCCAGGGCAGCAAAGGGAAGCCTCTGATGATTTCAGAGTGCCTTCATCATGGTTTTTTCCATATTTCCAAAGCTTTGAGCCATCACCCAAATGAACTCTGGCAAGGCGTCGTCCCCTGATCTTGACCAAGAACTCACCAGAAGCCAGAGTTCAAACTTTGGGACTGACTTCCGACTCCCAAAAACAACCAATCAAAATATTCAAATATATTGGTCTTCTGCCATCAACACGTATGCTTCTATGCACACTCGTGCAGCTTTGACCAAAATAAGGTATTCCCTAAATTCCCAAAGTCAGTATCGTGTTGAGGTACAAAACCCTTATGTGTCTCATGGTTACTGCAATGATCCATAAATTTGGGTTTCTTCGTAACTCGAAAAAATCAGAATAACTAGCTTTTTGGGCAGGATGTTCTATTTTGAGCCTACTATTAGTAACCAAAGTTCTTGTAGTCACATATTGCAACCTGCATCTTTTTGGAGGACTGCCCCCATGGACTTCCCACCCTGAACAGAAGTGCCTGAGCTGCCGAGCCTGCTCCTCTTGACTCAGGGCCACCAAGACCAGGGGAATCTGCATGACCTGGGAGTTGGCTTTTGTCCACTTCGATGGGGGTATATTAACATGAAACCAGGGGATGTCATAGGAATATGTGTATATTATATATATATATGTGTGTGTCATGGAATATAGTTGAGAAGATATGTGGATATGTGGAATGTGGAATACACATCATTGGATATAATTGAGGCAATATGTCGAATATGTGTCATGGGATATAATTGAGAAGAGATGCGGAATGAATGTCATGGGATATATATATATATGTAATTAAGAAGAGATGTGGAATATATGTCATCGGATATAATTGAGAGATATATTTGTGGAATATATGTCATGGGATACAATTGAGAACATATGTGGAAAATTTTGGAATGTACTTGGATACTTGGAATATAGTGGGAATGGTGTACAAACTTGATTCGGATGCAATAGGAATATAATGAGATGTAGCGGAAATACAAGATAGCAAAAAAAAGATTGGGATACAGTATATACTGTGGATATATTAAACTATGACTGGCAATGTTATTCGATATATAACGGGACATAGCCATATATCCGCAACATTTTTTCATGCCATGGAAACCACAGATCGAACTGACAGTCATATGCATTTCATTGGATGGTTGATATATATATATATATGGGTGTATATATATATTATACCTATAAAAGTATCCTTGCAAATTACCGGTCGGAATGAATGGAAACGGGTCGAACTTTGACCAATAACCATGCGATTGCTGCATGATATCCCAGTAATTCGTTTGAGAAATTCCCCATCCGTTGCGGCTTCAGCCCCCATTTCTGTCCGGGGAACCTTCCCATCAAAGGGGTCCGCCAAAACTGTTCTTTCCCAAGAATGGCAGTTTTAAACATCAGAAATGAAAATTGGGGGTATCCTGTATTCCTGTACTACAATAACCTCAAAAAACAAAGAATCAAAAAGTGGTGCACCAGAGTTTACCACGAATTTTTAAGCTAATTTTGCTGCAAGCTGTGGGGGAAATCGTTGTGAAACAACCCAGGATTCTCGGCCTTGCTGAGAAGAGCAACATCCTGATTCACCTGCGATGCCTGCAATGGGATAATCCCAAATCGTTGCTTCATCATGGAAACTCCTATGAAAATGGATAGAATTTAGGGGTGCCCCCATGACTTAGGAAAGCTCCATTTTTGGAATCCCAATTTTTTCGAACACGGAACAAAAGGGAATCAATCAACAAGGAGGGATATTAAGCAACAAAAATCAGAATATCACCAACAAAAATTGGAGATGAACCCACAACAATGAGGATCTGAGATTCATTTGGGTTACTGTAAGGGAAAACCTACAGGAAACCATGGCTTTGGTATCCAGTAACGGGCAGGCGGCTTCCTGTAAATCCGTGATCCAACTGGATAGCGCTCCACACCTCGAGGCTGGTCACTGCCTAAAGCCAGGATCCGTGGCGACATCGAAATCATGGGAAAACTACTCCCATGTTCGGCTGAATCTCCCCAAATTCCACAACTTTAGACCTGGATAGACCTGGAATCTTCGAATCTTGGTTGATGAAAAAATGCATAGCTCTGGTTTTTTGGCATGGAAGTAGCCAGCCAATCCCAACTATCTTTAGGAATCCCCCCTGATTTCATTGGCCAATTTCAGCTTCCCCCTGACTGAGCTTCCCCAGCAGTTCCCAGGGACTCGATGGTCATCTTCAAGTCCTGGATGTCATATGCAACACAAGTCTTGTTCCCAACCAGCCCTGGATTAATGTCCCAAACGGCTGTTTAATTGGGAGGGTCCATTTAAAAGTATCAGATAATGACTCTATTGGAGGAGTAACCCCCCCAATTAATAAACCATGGTTTATTAATCCGGGGTTGACATTATGATTCAGGGTGATATTCGTTGGTCTGGGTTCAGGTATAATTCACAAGACACCCTGGTTTCGATCAAGACGAAAGTGTCGAGTTGCAATTGTCCCTTCATCCACGCCTGTGAAGTTTGAAACCAGAAAGCTGGCTGACCATTTTGTTTCGATTCGAAGAAGAATTCCTGAATTTTGAGCGACTCCCAGTGCCTCCGAATGAAGCTTTGCCTAATGATGTCATAAAACAGACCGTAGCGGCGTAGCTATTGCGCAAACATTGGTCAACAATAACACAACTCAGAGCGCTGCTCAGCAATATGGCATTGAAGCTCACCCCCGAGCTCCGCTGATCAAGAATTTTTTTGGTGACTAGGAATGACCAATGAACCTCCGAATCTGCTCCCCGTTTTGTTCAGTCAAATTCCCAGTTGAATCCCACCACTTTTTTGGGTCATGGGATGTCATGGCTATGTCTCAAAAAGAAGTCAAAAAATGGGTACCCCAGAATCCTATGCTGCCTATGCTTTAGAAAATCACTGGTGTGGTAAAGCCAATCACAAAAACCATCCCCCAATTGAGTTATATGATTGGGTCGGAATTGGGATGATATAGAAAGACTCCCATTTTTGGTTGGTTCATGGCATGGTTCATTATTGAATCTGACACATTACCCTCTGGTAAACTGTCCCATAACTATGGAAAATCACCATTTCTAATAGGTAAATCATGGTAAATCAACTATTTCTATGGCCATTTTCAATAGCATTTAGTTTGCCAGAGGGTAAAACTAACCTTTCCCCATGGAAAATCATCCGCCGCACCTTGACGCTTTGCTCGTGCTGCTTCTTCTGCTCCGCGCGGTCATCGGCCGCTGCTGTGGCCGAGGCCTGGACCACTGGTCGAGGCCATTGGGCTATTGTAACATAGCTATGGTATGGTCCATTTGGTATGATAGCTATGTTGAATTGCCAGAGGCAAAAAATGATGTGGTTCAAAAATACTCAAGAGGGGGAACTTTGAGACATGTAGATAATTTACCGATGTAGCTATTCAAACGGAGCATGTTCCGTTGCAATGTGGATTTTCCCGATGGCATGAAATGAATGTGTCAGTGTATCTGCGCCTGCTTGCCTACTGTAGCGATATCTTAGAAAGCAATGTCAGGGTGCAAACACTTTTGAGACACACATCAGCATCCTCCAAACTAGTTAATAGTTCATTCGACCGTCTCGGCATAGATCAAAAGGTTCGGCACACCAAGAATGAAAATATTCCAAATAGGATTCATAGCAACAATGGCCAGCAATTCTGCACTTCCCTGGGCCATTTCAAACTTTACTCCTCAAGCCCTCAAAAAAAGACTGCCTCGAGCTCGCTCAGCTCCTTTGTCAGGGCCTTTGTCAGGGCTAAACTTCTAAACTTGGTGGAAAAAAAATCAGAAGGAGGATCATGGAGATCAGTGGACAAATATGTCCTTGAAATATGTTTGGGAAATCCACACATCAAAAAATCGGTTGTCCAGCTCAGCTTTCGGTTGTAACACAGGTGCAGGACTTGCTGGACCCTGACCTCGATGGACTCAGTCAACTGCTCCTTTTCCAAGGTTTTCGCTTCAATCTGGCGCACGGGGTCAAACTTTCTCATAGAAATGCCGCAATTCTCATCGGTTGATAAAATGAGGCTCATTCCGTGCTGAGCTGAGCAAAAAATCCATAATTCGGGTGAGCATCATTGGTCAGTACCCCAACTATTGTTGGTCAATACTCCAATCGGTTCTTAGTTTCCAGAGATTCTTCTTGGTGCTGTGTGTTCAGTAGCAATCAGCTGCGCGAAAGTTCCGCAATGGGCAGAGAAAATGGCAATGTGCCATGTTTGAAGACTCTTTAGCATGCTTCTGAACAGCTATCCGGCACATAGTCCATGACCCATTCATGGCAATTTCTGGCAGTCTTCTTTTCTACCAATTGTGGGTGGAGTACATCCCTGTCTTCCGACGGCTTGCATTCTGATTACAAACCCAATGATGGTCTTATCTTTCCGCTGCCGAAAAAAAATGCGTCCCCTCCATGTTTTCGACATCGTTACACCCAAATTGGAAGATGGAACCCCAATTTATAGGTGGTTTGTAGCTGGTTTGTCGCTGGTTGTATTCCTATTGCAATAGGTTTTGACCCCCCCACAAGTGGCTCGATGATCTACTTGGAGGCCAGGCCTTTCCAGAGGTCTTCTCTGAAACCTCCGTCTCTTTTTCGATGGCCTGGTGGTGGCTGCAGCATGTCCATTTGAAGGTCATATGAGGGTAGATTCAAGAGATCCTGAGATGAGACAAATCAGCTTACCCTCTGGTAAACTAACATAGCTGTTGAAAATCACCATTTTTTATGGGTAAATCCACTATAAATGGCGATTTTCCATAGTTATGTTAAATTACCAGAGGGTACCACAAATGACAATAAAAAAATGTGGTCGCTCTATGCTGATTCATCTTGCCCAGAAGTCCACGAAGCTACGATCAGCCAGGATTTGTCGTTTTGGAATAGAAAGATGATTTGCCACCCACTGCTACACCTGAAACAAGACATTTCATCATTCATCCACTGGACAACAGAAACCGATGCAAGGCGGCACAGAGTTGGTTGCACCTTGTTCAGGCTCTTGCTAGACTTCTCGCACCATGCAACAAACTTGTCATACCTCAGGTCACCCCACAAATGGCATCAAATGGCCTTCCTTGGGCCCCTGCACTGACCCTCTCTCCCTTTCTTAGAAAGCATCAGGAGGCAGCTGCGATGTCTGGAAACAATCCAATCGATCCATCCCATGGATCATAGGTATTTTGCGCTCGAATGGCCGTGGTTGGGGCGCACTCCACTTCTGGACACATGAGACATTTGGGCCACTGTCGGCTTGGAACCGCACGTGAGCTGCTCCTCCTTCCCTTCTTCTACCGACTTGCTTGCGAGTTCCTTTCGAACGGCTCTCATCCCCCAACAAAAGCTGGTTTGTTCAAGTATATCACAAATTTGGACAAAGGACTAAAAGTTCTAAAACTTAAACCCTGAAACCCCAAATTATTACCCAAAAAACAGGGAATTCTGTAAATCATCCCGTTAACCGACCCAATGACGGTAGGAATCCCCATTATATAGATAAACCAGGCTCGGGACAAATATGTAACCATCGATCGTCCACAAAAAAAACCAGGCCGAAATCACAGCCGAAAGTCACAGGTTTCTGGGCTAAACTGACCAGATATGACAATTCTGGTAGGTCATATCTGGTAATATCTGGTTTGGTCATATCTGGTAATTATATGGTAACCCATCTGGTAATTCTCTGGATTTCTCCGGATCTGGCGACCTGGACAAAAGGGTTTCACCCAGCCATGTCTTAGGGGCGCCACACCGCCCCATATTTCCTCCATGGGCTCCTCCACAAGACGAATGACCCGCTGAATGGGGTGCTCCGACTTGACCTGTACAGGATGGTGCCCAGTGATGGCCTTGTTGGTGGCTAGTTTCACCCCATGAAAACCACTTCGTTATATCTACCATATATCTACCATAAACCATAGAATCCATAGAATCCAGCCACTGTACAACAAATACCCAAGTTTTGTTACCTTCTTTCTGTGGCCTTCCTCTTCGTCTCTTGGCCAAAAATACAAACCTTTGCCAAAATTAGGAGCTCCAAACACAAAACTGGAGGCATAGACATGTTGTCTGAAAGAATGGGAGAACAATCTACCCCATTTCAGTTGGCCACCAAAGTTGTTGCCAAAAAGATGCTATGATAATGCATTACAAACAAAAAAAAACATTGTCTATCTACATCCATGAAGCAAAATGCTGAACCTCCCGAAGCTTCACAGCCACGAGGGGGGCCACCAGGCACACCTTGGTGGCCACGGCCAGGGCTAAAAATGGTTGTGATTCGTTACAATCGTTAATTAATGCTTAGGTTATGTACTAGTGTTATTTTCATAGTAATCATTCATGATCAATGTTACTACTTTTGTTTTCACCACATGTATTGTAACATCGCTATCGCTATATATAATTTCATCAATTAACAGTTATCATCAGTTATCATACGTTATAGCTATCATTATCATTGTTTCTACTTATACAGTGTTTGGGATTATGAAGCTAGATTTCACTTATTGTTTCCCATATTCCCCAAGTGGAGTTTTGGCGAAAAACCTCTCCAGTTGTTACTTCGGAAAAACCACCTTCATAGTTCCGAAGCATTCCTAACCGCCAGATATGTCGTTCCATAACAAATGGGGATGGACGGGGATGAACATCCAAATAAAGCCGAGAGTTTTGCGTGAAGAAAAGGGTTTTGATCCATAGATATCCATAGCCAAATAGCATCATTTTTTGAGAAACACATCTCATTTCAAGGACGATAGTTCTAAAAATGAGTAATTTTCACATCTGCAGCATTTCTGAAAAAACAGTTCCTTAGAGTAACAGGCGTTACTTCAAAGAGGAGTGTTTCTGGGAAACATGTAGCTTCAGATTAATATAGTTTTATGTATACAAACACTGTGCATATCAAGCATGCAACTAGCCCTTCAATGGTTGGTTTTTTGGCGAAAACATTGTATTTTTTAAAGAAACCTGACACATGAGGACATGTTTCAAATGTGCAGCAAATTGAAATAGTCTATGACAGGTGGTTATAAAGAATTTCATTTGTCGAATAATATGCATATTATATATATATATATATTAGAGTGTCATTTATGTCATATGTATACATATGTGGATAAATAAAGCATATGCTAGCTCCGCCACCTTATACCGACCCCATTACCTCTTAATCCCAATGCACATGCGACAGGATGATAGGCATGACTGGCTGGAAAAATGTGTTTCATTGTTTGCGTGAAAACTGTTTCCAAGGAAAACAACAGTTTTGAAAAACAAATAGTTTTGAGTAAAATATGTGGGCAAGGTTGTTTCACAAGGGATGATACCTTATTTTATGACCCTGTTAAAAATTGTGGTTAAAAATGCGGGGAATAACGGTCAACCATAAGATTTCGTTGTTCCAATTTGAGAACTCACAATCACGGGTTTTGTTCATTTAAAAATTTAGAACGCGTATGTGAAGATGGTTTTTTTTTATGGGATGGAATTAAAAAACATATTTTAACCAGATCGTGCTAGACACAACCAGCAACCTGGTAGGTTCAACTCGACTGTCTGGTGGTTGTAGCATGTCGTAACCATCCATCATTGCATGGTTTCCCCGTCTTTCGTGGACAATTTTCGGTTGTGGATGTTTATATAAACCCTAAAACGTTTAAATAATGGATGAAATTCCAGTCTGGCAGTGTGTCAAAAGTTTGTACCCCTGGTGAACATCAAAATAGCTGGTAAATGGATGTTCATCCCACTAAAAATGGTATTAATAGGTATTGATCCATACCCATGTAAGTTGCAACCAATATATAATACATAAATTGGGCATTGGGATCATTGGGATCATTGGGAGTGGCGACGCAACCAGCAACAGTCCAAAAAAAACGTTGAGGATCCCAACCAGCAAGAAGCCCGGCCTGAACCATCGAGAAAAAACTTGCAAATGGGGTTCATGCTTCTGAAAAATTCCATTGGTGTGATTCTTGTGGGTTGTCCCGGATAAAGGAAAAAGGGGCAGCCGCAAGCAAAGTCTCTGCCTGGCACTCTTCATTTTGGTGCAGCCTCTGCGGTGCTCAAGGGCAAAAGACAAGGTTGATACTCAATTTTTGGTGGGTACAAAATCAGCACATTGAATATTTCATCATGTCACTTCTTGAAGTAAACCTTCAATCTGTGTTAAAACCATCACCAGCACCGAGTTCCGCACAAAATGCCAGGTCTGCACGGGCCCAGCACTAAGAACCAAAATGTTTTTGCAAACATTGTAACATGACGGATCTTTGGTACACAAATGAAACCCAATGGATGATTTATAAGTAAGGGAAAACCCTATTAAAATTGATGATTTAGGGGTACCCCCATGTATGGAAATCCCCATATATACTTCGACGTTTTACTAAACGCAACATCGGCAAAAATTAGGTTTGGTTTTGAGGCAAAAAAAAACTATGCTGGACAATGTTCAAACAAACTAAAAACCCGTTCATGGAGGAAACACATGGCAACCGGGTTTGGAGTCAAACCAACTGCAAAATTCCGAATTCAACCAAATGTGGTTGCAATGCGATACAACAGCATACCTCGTGATATTCACGGCATCGTGTGAATGCCTGCCAACCTAATCCATCCCCGACCGTAAATCTATTTACATTGGGTTTTTTTCCGCACTTGGAAAGAACAGGGCTGTGAAATTCCGGGCGAAATTAGTGCACACACTCAACCAAAAAATCATGGAAGTGATTGTCTGGGGACTGATTCCTTTTGTTTGACATGCACGAACCTTCACACTTAAAAAGACCATCAAATAGATATTTTTATCATATCGAAAGTTTACGTTCAGTTTCATGGAGTCCACGAGGAAATCCAATAATACTACAAAGCCGTTCGAACCAACCCGCATTCGTCCAAACCCGATATAGCAGATCCCAATAAATAAACCAGTAGACCACGTCGAAATAAATCTGGATTGCGGCAAACGTGCATGAAGACCCTGAAAAGGTCAGCATTGTGGTTGTCATCGTAGCCCCATGCCGTGACAGCAAATGAAAATTGGTACGTAACAAAAGCGGCCCATTGTCGGACCATTCTCATGAACAAGCAGTGTCTCCGTTGGTGGACGACTGCCAAACCATGCGTCCACCTTTTGCTGATAAATACAAAAAAAAAACTCAAAAGTTTACTTTTTTTTACGGAAATTACACACAAACACCTGGCCGAAGCTGGGTCTACAATGGGAAAGCAAGAGGAAAAAAAAATAGACAGGCGAACCGACGGACGAGACAACGAGACAATAAACAGAGCTCCAAACTGGGCGTGAACCCGCACAGGGCACGCACAAGAACCCAAGACACGCACATTGCGGAGGGGCACGAAGGAAAAGGGAAAAAATAGATGACCACCAGATAAGGAACAGCAATTTACTAGTGGTGCAAAAGTTCCGCCCTTGTGCAATGAAGGCTCTTCAATTCAGAACTAGAACCAAAATTAAAAAAAAAACAACAACAATTAACAGACCAGGAAAAAACACATGTCAAAGCAAGTACGGAACAGGTGTGAAAATGAAATAGGGAAATCTAAAAAACAAAAGAGGCGGTGGAAGACGGATCAGTAACCAAAGAAGACGGTGTAAGGGAAGGTGTGTATTGAGTATTGCGCAGGATGACGGAGAGAATCGCAGCAGTGTTGTGTAAAAGACAAAGTTGTGTGTGTGACAAGGTTGTGTGCGCGCGACAGCGTTATCTGTGACAATGGCGTTCCATTAGAGAGTCGTGCGTCCGTGGGAATTTGATGCAAAGGGGGTGTCAGCAAACAGAAGCAATGATGCATGACCAAAGACAAGCTGACTTGAGCAGCAATATCATCACAGCCTTCACTTCATAGCCCACCAATCTTCATCTTTTACTAAAGGTTGCCGTGAGTGGGACGCATCAATGAGATTCACAATTTTTGAGGAGCTTTACGCTCCAACTGTTACCTGAATGAGATGGGAATTGAAGTAGGGCAGTGAAAGATACAAGGGAGGCCCCAACTCCGTCTCCAAAAATCATATCAGTTTCAGGTGCCAAAAACGAACCCAAAGCTCCTTGTACCTGCTTGCCTTGATCATGATAATCTTTCCCGTTCTATTATGTTGATGAAAGAGGCCCAGTGTTCCCAAAGCCTGCAATCGAGGCGCTTCGAGGCTCGGCGAGGCCTGCCCGAGGCCACGCCTCGGACGCAAAACATATTGACACAAGGACAAAGCGAGGCTCACGGGGGCTCTAAACTATATAATGCTATTGTTGAAGTCCCAGCAAGGCTGAACTTGAAGTAGTTGGTAACTGTGCTGCCTGGGTAGAAATTTAGGTCGCGGCTGGCGCAAAGGGACGGCCTCAAGGCAAGCCTCGGGGCCTCAAGGTTATGGAAATTGCAACAAAACAAAAAGTTTACAGAAGGGGTGGGAGTGCGGTTTTTCACTGCATTCTGCAACCACCGACACTGCACATGTGCCATGGTTCTCTCACTGCTTTGCAACCATTGACAATTTCTGCTTGGCTTTCAAAACCAAAATCCAAAAAACGAAAAACCAAGAAACCAAAAAAAAAATGACAAGACCCAACTCTCTGCCACTACTCCCCCCTTGGGGTGTGCAATCTTGTTTTTTTTGTTTTTTTTTGGTTTCTTGTTTTCTGGTTCGTTGTTGGTTTTTCTGCAATGGCTAAACAAAACCAAAATCAAAAAAGAACATTAAACAAAAAAACAACAAAAAACAAAACAAAATGACAAGACCCAACTCTCTGCCACTACTCCCCCCCTTGGGGTGTGCAATCTTGGTTTTTCTGTTGTTTTTTTGGGTTTTTGTTTTTTTGTTTTTTTGTTTTTTTGGTGTCTTGTTTTTTTTGTTTCTTGGTTTTTTGGTTTCTTGTTTTCTGGTTCGTTGTTGGTTTTTTGAAGGGCTAAGGACCTAGACCTAACTCTTTGCCAGTTCTCCCACTTTAGGGGTTGCAAACTTGCTTTTGGTTGATTTTATTATTTCCTTTTGGCCTGTGGTTCTGTTAGAAAACAATACAAAAAACTATGGCAAAATGCAGGTATCACTGGAGGAAGGTTGGGGGGCTTGGGACACAATTTAGGCAATTTTGTCTGCTTATGTAATCTGTCAAAGACGGTGTTGAACAATGCAAAAACATACGCAGCCAATGAATGTGTAGAATTGATTTCTCAAACCCTTGGATTAGCACATGCTCAAACACTTTAAAAGATGCCCTTGAAAAGGAGTGACGCATCTCTTTGAAGTGAGCGCTTCCCTCAACAAGTGCATTTCTTTTATAAAATGGTAGAGCCCGCTAGAGCATGCCATTGAAGTACGTCATGTCTTAGTCTACTTCTATGTCAAAAATGAACCCTCTTGCACATGCAATGCCATTTTCACAACACATGGAAAATGTAAGCACGTAAGATATGTCGTTCACAATTGCACATCATTTTTCTGAATGCATAACGTGATATTCTTTGAAGAGAGATCCATATTCTGGGAATACAGTTGCCTTTCCGGTCGCCATAGGCCACAAAGTTTCTGTTGAAACCAAAACATTGCCCTTCTTCAAGCCCTGATGCAAAAAACTTTACAACTAGACGACGGATGG